ATTATTGTTATTTAGTTTGCACTGCCAGTGTTCCACAAACAGCCATAAAGTGGTGACTAATTGCAGAGGATTGTTGACCAGGAAACTTGCCTCTGTTTTCAAATAGTGTCATATGAATTTTTATTATCCGACTGACTAGGCAAACGGGACCTTGATGCAAGGACCATTCCTCTTGACAATGTAATGGTCTTCCCCCATTAAACAAGAGTCAGCCTGGATTATGAACTCAAATCCAGAGTTGGGGTTAAGTCCAGAGGTGGGGCTTGAAGCTGCAACTTTCTGATGGACAGGCGAGAGCGTTATTAAGTAAACCATGCTGACATGAATTACATCACCAATAAATCTAAATTAGTAATTGACCTTGATAAGCATTAATAAAATGCCAGGTGATTTGAGCAAACCGCTGAGTGTTTTCCACTCGGTAAGAAGATTTATCAAGCGATTAATCACCAGTCATTAACCAATCGAAAGCACTATTGCATATCTGTACAACAGTCAAAGTAATCCTTGTGAGTGGGACTGAATTAACTTGTAATGCGTGGTGTAGATCACCTTCAATAATCGCCCTCTTTTTTATGTTTGTAAGCAGGAGTTTAAGGCCAATCATGCACTCGGTTGTGTCAAATATGCAACGATTTCTAATTGGAAATCCTTAATAAGAAAACTGGAAGTCTGTAACCCTGAGCCACCAGAACAGCGCTCTGACAGAAACAACTGTCGGAACAGAGATCCTGCAGGTTAGCGTGACATGGGTAATGCACTTCTAGTTTCTAAAAGGAGACCCCACTTGGATTAACTCACTAACACCCTATCACTTACCAATATCTTGAAACTGTGTGACAGAGTTGGAATTTCTACCCATTCTTATTGAGCAGCGATTTCTTCAGAGGAAATAAATCACTGTCAAATGAACACCTACAATATGCTTTACCCTGTTTTCTATGAACTTTGCAACAATCGTAGTTATTGCATAGACTGCTCAGTCAGAGGAACTTGAAAAAAAATCACAACAAATACACTCATGTAGCCCAAGCAGCATTTTTTTATACAGATTTTTTTAATTTTATTTTTAAAATTACGGTGTGATTAGTGAAGAATACCTTCTGTTTTCAGTTTTCATTATCAGTAAAGTTGGGCATACAAAAGATCTTTGCACATTTTTCCCGGTGAAATATTTGCCGTATTGTTGCACGTTTTTGAAGATGGATCACAGCAGATATTTTCACTCCTGACCAGGAGTGTGAAACTATACTGATGGTCACTTGGAAAAGGTGTTTGCCTGTGGCACAACCAATTAACGTTCTAAGACGTACCTTCAGTGTGAGAACAAATCTAGGAAATATAACTTGTTCTGATTAATCTTAAGAGTTATCACACATGTGATAACTCAGGGCTCTGAAGCCATCTGCAATCAGGGGCTACGTATTGACAGTAAAAATATATTAAACATTTTTACAAAGATAAAATAGCGTTAATATGTGTCAATGTAGTAATACCTAGTCTGGACAATCTGCCCATTGTGCAATTGCAGCCTGATCACCGCTTCCCAGCTATGCACTCGGCTATGCTCATGTGATACTCATCAAGAGTTAGTACAATATTTTATTATTTTATTCATTTGTGGAATTATTGCTCAGGGTTTTAAAAAGGGGTACACTCAGCTTTTTTAAAACATAAGCGTGTTCAAGTTAACAATGGAATCTGATTTACGGTTTGGGTTATCATTTGCAAACCCACATACACACAGAGACAAATACAGATGCAAATTTGTAATCCTTCATCTTGGATGTTAATGACCAAAATAAAGGCACCTGGCTTTGTATGCACATGGTTAACCCAACCTTCAAATGTTCTACATGGGTTGCTAAACCAACCTGCAAATTAGAACCCAAGATCTCCATTTCAATAACCAAGACAACGCAGTTTTTTGCACTTATGTAAAACTCGTGTTCTTTGTGATTCATTGTAAAATTTAAACAATAAAATGGTTCTTACAGGGAGCCATTCACTCGACTGTGTGGAACTGCAAGTTAGCTATTTTATTCTGAAAACATCCAGTCAATTCACTTTACAGTATATCCTGTGATGCGCTTTGAGACGTCTCGAAGACGTGATAAGGCGCTTTATCAAATGCAAGGATTATTATTAAGGTACTCTACTCAGGGGGGTGGTTTGTGAAGGTAGTATCTAAAATGATTACAGTAGTAACTGCTGTCCTTAACACAGCAAACTCTGAACTCCTAAAGGTATTTCATGGGCCAAAACTGATAGTCAAAAAGAGCTGCAAGCCAATAACACAACTAAAGGGAATCGGGTGACAACACACACGCACTAAACACTACGACTGTATTCTGACTGAAACCTCCTCCCTATGTAATACATTTTATAATATATACAATTTTGCATCAGTTATTGTATATATTACAAGCCAATATGACACAAGCGATTACTTTTTCTTAGCTCAGTGATCATTAAAAAGATGTTGGATTTATTCAGGTCTATGTGTAGTGAAGGAGCTTGCTTCAATGTGCTTCAATGCTATTTTGCATCCCATTTTGGGGCTCAGGTTGAATTATGTTAAAACTGGGATGCAAACTCATTGATTGATTTTGAATGGAGCAAAATATATAATGGTGATGAGCTCTGAGGCAGAGCTCACCCTTTCAGTCCTGTGTAGAGGTTTTTAAATGTGCATACAACATCCAGTTAGTCATTCAAGAGATACACTTGCTGGATTGATGCGCTACATTTTACCAGCATACTCAGAATGTTTTCTACAAGTTCTTTTCTCCCCCCCCGACAATATTTTTTTGTAAAAGAGGAATTAAAGTGCAAGTAACAGCCAGACAACAGAATATCTGCTGAGATGAGTGTACCCCTTTAATACAAGTCAGCATCGCTCTGTCCAGAATCTACCTTTCAAACACTATTCCACGTGAGGTTTATTGGTTACGATGTCATGGCATCCTCTTGATCCCTGCTGCCTGTTGCAGTCAGCGCTGCTGTACAGTTTGTGCAGTCTCTTATCATTCTAGAGCTGAAGAGGGCACAGCATCTCAGGACCACCAGATCTTAGCATATAGAGCAAGTCTTGGACTGAGCTTTTTCCTCACCACCAGCGTCATTATCTGATAGAAAAGGATAGAAAGAGAAAAACAGATGAATCAGAGATTGCTTAGGTGTTCCATTTTTTTAATATAATAATCATTGCATTTGGTATAGCAATTTATCACGTCTTTGAATTGTCTCAAAATGCTTCACAAAATATATTGTCAAGTGAATTGACTATCTTTTGTGGGCGAAACGCTGCAGCCAATTTTTACATTAACATGGAAAGTTTTTTGCTAGTGAAAAAAAAAGAATATTCCTTGCATTTGATATAGAACCTTATCGTGTCACAACATCATGGAGCGATAGGGCATGGAGCAGGCCATTCAGCCTAACTGGTCCATGCCAGTGTTTGTACTCTACACAATCTCCCATCCCTTCTCATTAATTAAAAAGTGCCCCTCAAATTAGAAATAGGCAAAATTGAAATATCATCCTCCAAGTCAGCATTTAAAGGAACCAATTCACCTAGAACCCTTTCTGCTCAACGTAGTTTTAAGTAAAGAAAGGGGCATCTTATCGTTATCATCAAGGTGAGAGGATGAAATCTCATCACTGCAAATGGACAATTTTCTACCTTTTCTATCCAGCATCAGTATCAGATACGTCTGCCTGTTCAGGTGGATGTTAAAGCTCCCATAGCACTTTTCAAAAAGAGAAGGGAGTTTCTCTCTTCCAGTGTCCTGCCAAGAATCATCCCAGATAAAATTGGTCACTCACTCCATAGCTATTTTGGGGACATTGTCATGCGCAAACAGGCTGCCACATTTCACCTTGAAATACACAGTCAATCCACTTACAATATATCCTGTGAAATGCTTTGAGATGTCTTAATGACATTATAAGGCACTGTATCAAATACAAGAATTATTATTAATAAACTAAAGCTTTCTCTCTTCACTTCTCTTATACACACCTTTTCTGCTGAGTTTATACTGATGGCAAATGGTAGCAATCCATCCACAAATGTGCAGTTATCAACAGGGGCTTAGGCAGAATGCATCACAATGTAGCCCTGCTCTAGAAACCACCTTTCATTTTCCTCAGTAACCACATCCTCTCCCCTCTGTGAAACACCCCAATGCCAGTGCTTTCCGTCAGAGATCAACGTTAAATAAAAATAATAATATTCCTTGCATTTGGTATAGCATTTTTCACAATGGGAGGACGCCTCAATCTGTTTTGCAGGATTTATCATAAAATGTAGTGACTATGTACTTTGTAAGCAAACATGGCAGCCAGTGTACACACAGCAATGCCCCACAAACAGCATGAAGTAAATTTTATCTGGGCGATTGTCAGCCAGGAAAATATTTGGGGTTTGGACAATAAAGGGACAGAAAAGTAACAGAAGGACAAATACAGATTTGTAGCTGCAGATGATTGCTATTCTGGGTATAAAATTAAAAAAGTGCTTTCTGCAGAGAGGAAGGTGATTTAAATAGACAGTATATAGGAGTTTTGTTTAGGTGGGACTGGAAAGAAAAGGCTGTATTTTGCTCCTTGGATTTCTATATGAGAAAAATATGCTCTTTTGCAAACTTTTTATTGTAGGATTTGCTCATATAGTATTGCAACACACACCCTTTTCTTTATTTCCTACACCATTGACAGCTATTGACCACCTTTTTAGCTGATGGGAATTCACTACCACATTAAGTTCTTGCTTAAACCGGGGTTGAGTATCTGAAATCATAACCTCTGGAGAGGAGACGTTAATCCAACTAACATTGGCTGAAGGTCAAAGAAAATTCGTTAACACACCAACCAGTCTTCCCCCCCATCAAATTGCAAATTCTGAGAGGTTTAGATTTAGGTTCAATAACAACCAATATTCTAATATTGTAATATTCTGTTTAATAGCCATGAACAGATAACCATATTTCCCGGTCTTCAAATATCACATATTTGAGCTATGCTTTATTAACCAGCTTTCTTGGCTCCTGATGCTCCTGCTGCTTTCTGCTTGGCCTCCTCTGCAGTCTTTACTTTGGCCTCATATTCATCGGCAAGAGCCTTCCATTCCTTCTTGTTGTTGAGAATACCATCGAGCATCGGCTGGATAGAACTGTGAAAGCGTGAGAATTCCTGAAAATAAAGTTACATTTAGGTTCAATGCATTTAACGAGGGATTTGCTGTTACATTGGGGCCTTTTGTTTCTGAGACCTGGGTTCAAATCCACCCCCGACTGCTGGGCAAAATGCCCTCTATCTGTTGCCTATTGAACTATGTGATTGACTTTGTTCTTAAAAAGTTGTCAGGATCCGAGCACAAAAACGTGCTTAATTTCTTCTGGTATCGTCCTTCAAGTGGTAAATGGATTGTCGCAATCTGTACAAAGTTTGGACTAGGTGTGGGGAGGGTGGGGGGATGGCGGTGGGGGAAGGGGTGAACTGGAAATTCTTTCTAGAAAACTCCCATGACTAAATGGGTTGTTCAGTGGAGGATTTTACATATAGTTAGGTTATTTGGGTGGAAAAGTATGATCCCACTGTCCATTATGAAGATAAGAATGGAAAAGTGATAATTATCACATTGAGCAAAAATATGGTCCAAAATAGTCAAAAGTTATTACCAGCCACATGGTTTGGAGAGCATTCACTCTAAGATTAATTATTGACTGCTATTGACCACCTTGGTTACTACTAGTTGTGAGAGCCCATGTCTCATTTTTCCCTCCATAGTCTTCAAATTATGCTAATAACACTCAATCCAGATCTATAAATAAATTAGTTGAAAGAAAGTTCCGGACACTGATGAAAATTTTACAAAAACGCAACTAAAAAATCAGCACACTGCAGAATCCACTGAATAGTTAGTGACTTCATCACTACTAGTGAATCAATTATGACAACAGTGAGTGAGTGAGACACAATTAAAAACTGCAACATGAACAAGCTAAAACATTTGCTTTGATGCAACCTCTCCCCCCACCTATATAAACACACACAGACACACACATCATATGTGTTCAAAGACTTCAAGAGGGAACAGAGGGATTGGGTTCCAACACAAAGTGGTGGTTTAAAAGAGGAACAAACAATACAATATTTTGCAAAATTAGTCCTTGAAATCCCAGTGTATATGAAAAAGATGTACCTTGTACACAAATGTGCACACAAAGTCGATGAAACCACATTGAAGCTTAGGCAGTTCAGCGGATTTATTCCTGTCCATCATAGGCTAGAGGAGTTGAAATAATACAAGAGTTATTTTTCCAATCTGTGCAGTTCAAATACCAAAAATATGCCACTTTTCTAGCAGTTGCATTAAAATGCACTGTAAGATGACTACAAATAGAATGGAGTTACTGGTCTACTGAATTTCTATTTCTAAAGTGGTTGAATTGCAGTTTCGATACTCACAATAGGCTGCTGTTCCAATACAGTCCTTTCCAAGTCACCCTGTTCCCAGAATTCAGCCGCTACTAAGAGTGCCACCTGTAGCACAAATAGAAGGAATTAGTACATAACTCGCTCTACTTACAAAACACCAAATAATCACATTTACCTTCAGACTTCCCCGCACCCCATTTTTTTCTTTTTCAGTTTCCTCTTGTGAGAGCCTTGACTCTCGCTGGGTCACTGATCACGCTCACTGCCAGTCCTTACTCAAATGTCTATTTTGTGGGACGCTGCTGTGCACAATTGGCTGCCGCGTTTCACCCACAATATATATATAGTCAATTCACTTTACAGTATATTCTTTGAAGCGCTTTGAGATGTCTCGAAGACGTGATAAGGTGCTAAATCAAATGCAAAGATTAATATTACTATTTGTGTTAACTCTGAGAGATATTGCAGGGAAGGCTAATTCTATCCACACATGCACCTTCTAACATCGATCAAGTCGGAGTTGGAAATCTAACTGAATCTACTCCTCTCCCAGCCAAAGAGCACCGAGGTCAATTATAGTTCTCTGAGTGAAGAGTACAGACCATGGGTTAAAGGTGAGTCCTGTGGCTCAGCATATTCAGGTGGATATTAAAGATACCATGGAACGACAGTATTCAAAAAGAGTAAGGGAGTTTCTACTGGTGTCCTGGCCAACAAGCCCCAAATAAAATTAGTCATTTACTTAATGACTGTTTGGGGGACTTTGCTGCGCATAAATTGTCTGCCAAGTTCACCTGCAAGTGTGCAGTCACTTCACTTTACAGTAAATACTGTGAAGTGCTTTGAGACGTTTTAATGAATTGATAAGGTGTCATATCAAGTGCAAAGATTATTTTTATTATTTCACTCCATGACACTGCATGTCATTTCCTGTCATTTATCCATTCAGTGCCTTGGGACGTCCTCCCGATGTGAAAGGTGCTATACAAATGTAATTTGTTGTTACTTGTTATTAAACATCTGCTCCCAACAATGGTAGATAGATGCTGACAGAAACAAATACACACTGGGTTACATGGGTCATAACTCAAGGAGTGTTGATCATGAGGAGTGTTGCTCACAAACCACATAACCATCATTCTTCTATCCTTTCATCCCCTCATCCGTGTCATGACCAACTCTGCTTTCCCTCACTTCCGCAACATCGCCCGGCTCTGCCACTGTCTCACAACACAGGCCGCTGAAACCCTCATACACGCATTCATCACATGCATCCAGACTACGCAACTTGTGACTTGAAAGTCACAAACGATATCCTCTCTGCTGTGACCAGGGCTCCCTCTGTCTCCTCATCCTCCTGGACCTCTCTGCCGCGTTCGACACAGTTGATCACGCCATCCTCCTCCACCTCCTATCCTCCATCATCCACCTCAGTGGCGCCGCACTCGCCTGGTTCTCCAAACTTTGGAATTCCCTCCCTCAACCCCTTCACCGCGCCCCCTCCTTCCCCATCTTCAGGTTGCGTCTGAAGACCTTCCTCTTCAACTGCGCCTACGATCACACAGAGGATACTGTTCAAGATTCTGGTCCTCACCTTCAAAGCGCTCCATGGCCTTGGTCCACCCCACCTCTGCAACCTCCTAACCCCCTACCAACCTGCCTGCTCCATCCACTCAGCAGGCTCTGGCCTGCTTCATGTCCCCCGTCTCGCCCGCCCTACCATTGGTGGTCGGGCCATCAGCCACTCTGCCTCCATCCTCTGGAACTCTATCCCACAGTCCCTCCACCTCGCTCCCTCCCGTGACTCCTTCTAGACCCATCTCAAGACCCTCCTCTTCGACCATGTCTTCAATCCCCCTTCTACGCCCTGCCCTCCACCCTCCGCGATCCCGACCCTTAGCTCAGCTGCGAAACATTTATTGTCCAGCACATTGTGGTGACCTCCTAATGTGAAAGGCGCTATACAAATATATTTTGTTGTTGTTGTTCTACATTGTATGCTGGGCTACATGCTAGAACTAGAAATTGAATATGAACTTGGCATTTTTATTGCACCTTATAGCGTCAAATATTTCAAAATGCTCCACAAGCAATTGCTTAAAGTGTAGTGACTATTTTATGTCAGAAAACATGGCAGTGATTTGTACCAGGAAGGTCCCCAAAACGGTCATGAGGTGAATATCAATTTGACTAAAGGATTATTAGCCAGGACATTGGGTCCCTTCTTGGATTGAATAGTGGACCATGAGATCTTTAACATCCACCTGAAGGGCGGGCGGGATTCAGGTTTCATGGCATTGATGCTTTGCTCACCCCATTGATTCGCTAGAAGACAGCCTGGTCTATCAGCTCAAATTCTGATGCGGGCACAAGAGTTAGTTAGAGACTGAAAAAGGATCACAACATTAATTGCCAACTCACGAGGCAGGGGACAAGTAGAAGACACTCTCCTCCCCCCATCCCCGCGCCCCCCTCCCACATGATGTCTTCTGAGTGCGAAGATAACAAAATCACAGGCTAAGCAACCACATCCTCTGACAGTGCCATCATTGCAAATGGTATCACTGAACAAACAGTGTGTGTGATATGAGAGTACGGATGGTATCTCACCTTACTCTGAACCTCCCAGGGTTTAGTGATGGCAGACAAATCACACGCCGTCATCATCATGGCCCTATACAACAAGAGACATTACAGTCAGCTTCTGGAATGCACTGCCTGATAGGGTGTTGGAAGCAGATTTAATGACACATTTCAAAAGGGAATTGGATATATACTTGAATAGAAAAAAATTGCAGGGTTATGGAGAAAGAGTGGGGGAGTGGGACTAATTGGATAGCTCTTTCAAAGAGCTGGCACAGACATGATGAACAGAATGGCCTCTTTCTGTGCTGTACTATTCTATGATCTCAAAGGCTTTCACACTAGCCCAGTATTCTCAATCTACCACCTTCCCTCACTTACTCTCGGTGAAGTCCTCCTGAGATAACTTTAAAAATCACTCACATGAGAATTTCTTTCCTGGTTGTCTCCAGCGACAGGAAATCCACCCATTTTGCTTCATCTTCATAAGTTTCGGAGAGGTCAACAATCTTTTGAAACATTGTCCTCTTTCTGTAATATAAGGAAAGGACTCTTAAGGGCCAGTGAGAAACATTCTGCAAAGCAGATATTTGGGAGGATAAAGTGGCGTTCTGGCTGTGACCAATGTACACATAACAATAACGATTTGCATTTACACACCAAAGGTGAAGTGGGAACTTGAGTACGGTGGGAAATATGGGGTTTGTGATTAGGAGAGAGGCGCAGTTCAAAAGTTTTTTTTTACACGTAAACTTCAGTAAAGCTTTCAGAGTTAAAGCTTGCAGGATTTCATAACGCGATCCTTGTGTTAACATAAAGAACACAATATGAAACACCACAAAGTTACCCCATAGTTTCAAGCGGAGCCTCACCCATTCAATGCTCTGCAATAAAGGTGCTTCAAGTGAATCATGGACAGCAAAGTGCAAATAAACCTACAATTATTTTTAAAAAGTAAACCCAAATGCCAGTATCAGAAACTTAACAACAACAAACTTGCATTTATAAAGTGTCCCGAAGCGCTTGACAGTGGCGGAGTCTGACACCAAGCCAGGGGGAGAGGGAGGGGGGAGGCAACCGTAAGCACAATCAAAACGCAAGGTCTTTAGGCGGGATTTGAAAGTGGGGAGTGAGGGGCAAGGTGGAGGGATTGAGGGACACAGTTCCAGAATTTTGGGGTGTTAGTGACTGAAAGCACAGTCACCGATGGTGGAGTGGAGGGGACAAACAGCAGGCTGGAGCCAGCCCAGCGGAGGCAGTGGGTGGTGGAGTGGGGGGTAAGCAGATCGGATAGGTAGGGAGGTGCGAGGGCATCAAAGGATTTGAAATGAGGGGAACAAGGGTTTGGGTTTTGCCTACATCACAGCCTGTCTGACTTGGTTTTTTGACAAAACAGCCCCTCCTATCATTGCAAATACAGTACTGTCTGCACATGTACTGTAGTCAACATACTGACCCACTAGAGGGAGATCCTCTGCTTTTTGCAAACCAACCACTGCTCCTACAATACAGCAGTTAACACAAATTGAATCACCAAGTGATTCCACAGAAAATAGCAATGAGTAGAAATACTATGGGTTTTTAAAGCCTGTTTCTCTGAAATATTGTTGTACTGTTATTCAGTACTGTTGATCCCCCCCAACCCGGTGTCCTGACCAACAATCCTAGAGTGTTTGTGGGACATTACTGTGTCCAAATTGTTTGTTGCATTTAATAATAATAATCCATGCAATTGATGTAGTGCCTTATCATGTCGTTGAGACATGTCCAAGTGTTTCACAGAATATATTGTAAAGTGAATTGACGGTGTATTTTGTGGGTGAAACGCCTGTTTACCTAGCAGTAAGTAGGAACCAGGTTGTTAGTCCATTGGTGGATCGCTTTGTGGGGGTAATAATCCCTCCAAAAATAATAATAATAATTTGGCCACACAACATGACTGTTTGTGGGACATTGCCATGCACAATTTGCTGACGTGTTGCCCTTCAAACACAGTCTCCACACTTCCCATTAAATTCTGTGAAGCGCTTTGAGACATGTTGATGACCCAATTAGGGTGTATATCAAATGCAAATAATATTATTATAAATAGGGAATCAAAACCGATCAAACAAGGAAGCTGCTGTTTCAATGCAGCTCTTATGCGAGCTTGGTTCTTCAAGGACAAAATCTTCACAACTGAGATTTGTGTTTCAGAAAAGACACAACTTAGCACGACTTTTTTTTCTTACTCTTCACCACATGAACTCCAGTGGTTAAAAATCCATCCTATTGGCATTGAATTACTTTAAGTCATTGTCCCTTACTTAAAGTAGAGGGCCAAGTCTGTAGCAATGATTGCAATATCCATCAAGTGAATGCAATTTTCATACTGCCTCCTGTTCAAATTCTGGTAGATGTTCAAATCCTGCAAGGAAACAAACAAAATGCAGTTAAAATGGATAAAAACTAATATCATGAAGACAATCCAACATTTTAAATGACTGACAGTAAGTCTTTTTCTGCATCTCACAACTCCAGAATAAAGTATAAAATTAAAATCCATCACAGGGGGCTTTGGGTGAAAAGGTCCTTTTAACTCATCATTGTGAATTTTGCAGCTCTGCAGCCTTTTAAACTACAAATCCTGCCTATGCCCTGCTCCTGTACGAGAGGCACCAGCAGCAAAGTGAGTCTCTAGTGAGATTGAGGGCAGCTAGTGGAAAAGTGGAGCCACACTGACTAAAAAGCCACACAGATAGGGAGGAGAAATAATGGTCACCATCTGTCCACATACGGGGGGAAAAGGCAAGGGAGTGGACTAAACAGAGAGTTCTGTTGAGAGCTGCAATGGGCACAAAGAGACAAAAAATGGCCCTCCCTCCCTTTCTGCACTAAAAAATTCCATTATTCTCTCAGTTGAAGAACAGCCACAATTAGTTCTTAAGAGCAACAGGGGCAGGAAAATTCAAGACAAGTGGGAAATAAAGGGCAAGAGAACACATAAACTTTCTGCTTTAAGCTGTCGGAAGCCACATTTGATCAGAATATTCAATACTATGATTCATTTATTATCCTCAACTTCGTGAGGACCAAATTGTTTTAATATAACATTAATCACTAATTCAACCTCAGCTATTTTGCAGAATTTCTACAATTTACTCAGCTTTGCTTTTTTCTCTTTAATAATAATAACAATTTTTGCATGGGATATAGCATTTTCGGGGACAGATCTATCCTCCAGATGAGACGGTAAACTGAGGTCCTTTCTGCCTGTTCATTTGGATGTTGAAGATCCCATGGGACTATTCGAAAAAAGAAGGATGTTTCTCCCAGTGACCCTAACCCTAACCAACAATCCCCCAAATAAAAATTGGTCATTCACTCCATGGCTGTGTATGCGACATTGTTGTGCACAATTGGCTACCGCATTTTACCCACAAAATACACAGTTCTTAAAAGACTTCTCAATGACGTGATAAGATGCTATATCAAATGCAAGAATTATTCTTACTTATTATTATCATAGCGCTTCATGGGATTACTGTTTTGTCAAGGGCAGTGTCTGTGTATTTTGTAGGCGAAAATTCCCCCTTTGCTGTGGGCCTCTCTTTTTTTTTAAACTCTGTTTTTATTTGAATTCCAGTTCCATGTGTTTGCATTTATGGTCTGAAATGCTGTACACTGTCCAGCACCTTGGGAAGTCCTCCCAATGTGAAAGGCGCTATATAAATATAATTTTGTTGTTGTTGTTTATGAGTCCACTGTGATGTTGGCAAAGACAGCTCCACTGTGCTGGGGTTAATTGGAGCATTCCTCACCCTAGAATTTATAGCCTTACCTCATCTTCAAGCAAGGTCTTGCTGAACTCCAAGTGGTGACGTTCCAGAATCGAGGATCCATGAAGTTTTGCCAGTGGGTGCTGGGATCTGGTTATCAGGGGGGAAAATGAAGAGAATAGTTTCCAAAGAAATCAGAAAAACTGATGCAAAGTAAAACCTCCTGCCGCTAAATATGGTAACTATGCCGTGTCTGCTTATAATACTGTAGGACCTTTGCCATTAGTATCCTCCATTGGAAGAATTCCTTAAAAAGCAATCCTTATCATTCCTTCTGATGACTGGAAACACATTTCAGGGGAATTCCACTCCGATCTGATTGGTTTCTGAAACAGAGTTCCCACGAGTCGATAAGAGTTTTAATGTGAATCCTTATGAAGGAATCCAATTAAAGAATAATGCAAATGAGACCCCAATGTAAAAATGCTTCACCTACAGCAAAAGGAATGTATCACTTAGAATCATAAAGAAAGCAGGGAAACATTGCAATGAACAAAAAGTGTCAGTTGTATATGTATTTGGCTCTATGGACTTCTAACTCTATACCCTCCTTTCACTTCATAGATCTCTAACCGGATTTACTATACAAAGCATCACTATGTATTTGTTCGTTTAGATGCATGGATACATTCCGTAAAAGATGACATTTGGCAATATAGAAATGTAGTAGAAGGAAATAGCTATGGGAGCCAAGTTGTTTAACAACAACAACAACAACAACAACAAGGTGCATTCATACAGCATCTCACACAGCTGAAAGTGGGAGACAGAGCAGGGTGGGAGATGGGAGAAAGATGACTGAAGGCACAATCAAAGAGAAAGGTGGGTTTGGAAAGTGGCGCATTTCCTGACCACAAACTCATTGCTGACCGCTGGGATTTAATTTGTGAAAATTGTGTTTGCTTAACTCTTTCTAATTCTTAGATTTAATCTGCTGCCTCCATTCTGTAACAATGTGGAGTCCTGTAGCTCAGTGGTTAGAACACTTGCCTCACAAGCGAGAGACCTGGGTTGGATTCCCGGCAGGGCGAATTGTTGGCAAGTTTCCTTACTCCACATGCCTCTGTTTACCTAGCAGTAAGTTGTTAGTCAATTGGCGGATTGTTTTTCTGGGGTAATAATTCCTTCAAAAATAAATAAATAAATTGGTCACTGCAATCCACAACTGTTTGTGGGACACTGCTGTACGCAATTGGCTACTGCCTTTTGCCCACAAAATACAGTCAATTCACTTTACAGTATATTCTGTGAAGCGCTTTGAGACGTCTCGAAGAAGTGATAAGGCACTATATGAAGTGCAAGGATTATTAATAACAACCACTAGTGACACCTTCCTTCATTCTTGGAAAGACTAACAGCATGTTGGTGAGGAGCAGGTGAAGAATTGGACAAGAGCAGAGTTGGATGCACAAGGTGGAGAGATACTGCAACCAGCAGGACATAAAGAGGGTGATGAGGTTTTAAGCCAAACAGTTATCTCGGGGATTCTTTAATTAACATCTTCTTAAGGAAGACTCTAATACAGCAATATCTTCTTACTCTATACAGTCAAACCTCACTCTAATGAACCCTGCTTATTACAAACCCCCGGTTTTAACGATCCCAATAACAAGACACAATTTTTTCACCTCTTAAGCGAAACCCTACAATAGTGAATACCCTGATAGTGAATAATAGTGAATAATCATCTTTGCCTTTCCCGAGGGGGTTCGTTATAGTGAGATTCTTCTGTATAGTTCCTTTATTTACCAATCCTAGTTGATTTAATGGATGCTTTTTAGGAAGAACTTACTTCAATTGATATAAATTGTTAGTTCCTCTGTGATCGAGATCATGACAAAATGCTGCGGTTAACATGGCGAGTGCTTCCAAGTCTGTGTAGTAGCGTTTCAGTTTACCAGTCTGTAAAGACAAAACAACCTATGAGCCATCTGGGTCCAATCTCTCAGAGGCTACATTATAATGAAATGTGACATTGACTGACTTCAAATCATCAGGGATTTCTGACCCCATTTCTTTCACAAAGCCTTGTCAGCAACTCTTCCTGCACACATATACCACACGCAGTACATCAGCAGTAACCTGATGATCCATACGTTGGCCATTTTTCAGCATGAGAAGCAGCACCAGAAGCTGATTGTACCATACTCCTGGTATATGAGTCCAAAGTAAACCCATCATAGAATCATAGAGTTATACAACACAGAAGGAGGCCATTTGGCTCATTGTGTCTGTGCCAGCTCTTTGTAAAGAGCTATCCAAATCAATCCCATTCCTCCATGCTCTAGTCTAAGTGAATTCCCACTCAACCACATTCTAATGGGACCACCTTGTATCTTGTATGTATTTTATGATAAATGTATTAACAAGAGTAATGGATACCTGCTAATGCATTAAAGAGATGTACCTGGGTTTGTTTGTGTTGCACTTCAGGTCACTGCTGATGACAGACCAGCCAACCTGGCTTACTTAGAGAAGCAATCCAGGCTTACCATTGGAAAAAGGGATTCTCAGCTCCTCTTAACCTACAAGCCAAAGTCTTAATTGGTAGAGTGGTTCCACTGTACAAGTAGTGGGAAGCTTGCCAAAAAGTGGTCTCAATGGCAAGCAGTGTGCTTTTAATTTTTTAAACTCCAAAAGTACCTCAATAAACATTCTGGGGTTCCCAAGCGTTGGCTATTGCCAATCCGTGCCTAATAATCTCTGGTTTTAAGTATAGTGCATTTCTCTAGGGAGAGTATATGCATTATTTCCATGTGTAGGGGCATTACATATGTGGTTTGGATATTCTTAAGCATGGTGATGAGTTTCTGCATGTGGCAGACATGTGGCAGATTATTAAGTTGCACCTGCTCTGAAACTCATTTCAGAAACTGCTCCAAAGATCAATCCAGAATTTTAGCAGTTTACTCTGACCAGTGAATGAAGACCCATATTATAGTCTCAGCCCAGGTTTCCTTTTAGAGCATCCACTCCCCACTCTCTCTTTCCTTTTTCTGTGGGGGAAATTGCTGTTTTATTTATTCATAGACGGAAATGGGAAACCTTTCTTAAAACACTTACCATCAGAAGACTGAACATGGTCTGTCCAACGTTGAACCCATGGCGCCAGTTGTGGTAGGTGATTTTTCGGTATCCTTTACTTAAACTGTATATAAAGCGCACTAATACCTGCAAAATAGCCAAAGGACATGGCAGTCATTTCACAGGAAGATGAGAGGCTATATTTAACCAGCAAACACAGATACCAGAAAATGCTGATCTATGATTCAGAAGCTGATGTGGAGATTCTGCACTGTGCGGTGCCAGATTGGTGTTCTTGTCATGATTTCAACAAGTATTTATTCCCTCACATTGTCTCTTTTTGGACCCCATGTCACACACTATCGCAAACCAAGAGCAGCTAAATTATTCCTCGTCCCCCGTGAATGTTATTCTGTAGCCCACCAGTTGGAGGTTTGTGAGAGCTCCTTTTGGTATACTCACCTACAATTAACCTACAATTCCCCAGCTTACACTCGCCTCACAAGCGAGAGACCTGGGTTTGATTCCCGGGTAGGGCGAAATCTTAGTCAAGTCTTCTTTCTCCATACGCCTCTGTTTAACTTGCAGTAAATAAGAACCTGGTAGTTAGTCGATTGGCAGATCGCTTTTCCAGGGGTAATATTCCCTCCAAAATAATAAATAATAATAATTTGGTCACTCAGTCCATGACTGTTTGTGGGACATTGCTGTGCGCAATTGCCTGCCACATTTTGCCCACAAAATACAGTCAAATGACAGTATATCCTGTGAAATACTTTGAGACATCTCAATGACGTGATAAGATGCTAAATAATAATAATAATCCTTGCATTATATATAGCACTTTTCATGTCTTCTCGATGTCTCAAAGCGCTTCACAGAATAGACTGTAAAGTGAATTGAACGTGTATTTGTGGGCAAAACGCGGCAGCCAATTGCGCACAGCAGTGTCCCACAAACAGTCGTGAATTGAAAATGACCAATTTATTATTGTTTTGTTTTGGAGGGATTATTATTAGGTGTGTGGAGTAAGGAAACTTACCCAAGGTTTCGCCCTGCCTGGAATTGAACCCAGGTGTCTCATTTGCAAGGCGAGCGCTCTAACCACTGAACTACAGGACTCCACATTGTTAGAGAATGCAATCAAATGCAAGGATTATTATTGTTATCATTATATGAGGCCTGAAATTGCATTTAGCCTTCAGCAGTGAGACTGTCTTGATAAATTCTTTAATTTAGTTTTCATTTGAAAGTCACGTTTTTTTTTAAGAAATGCAAAAAACAGTTTTCAAATTAAGATTGGATTTAAAAATTTGCCAATATCTGGAAAAATCTTACATTTTGAGACAAAATGGTTTTAAAAGCTAAGTCTAGGTGGTAGCTCATGATGGTGGTGAACTATGAGTTTCAGCTCTGTTATTTGTTATTTATCCAAGGGAGCATTGGGGGATTTTGGCTTGGACATTGGGACAAATGCCAATCTCTTTGCAATTACGTCCACCTAAACAGACTGATGGCCTCAGTCTAATGCCTCATCCAAAGGTTGGCACCTTCAACAATATAGAGCACTGTACTAAAGCATCAGTCTAGACTATGAGCTTAAATATTGTGAATTGAACCCGTAACCTTACGACTCGAAGATGAGAGTGCTACCAACTGAGTCAAGCTGACACCTGTAGTTGTGTGATGGTGTATGAAATGGGGACCAAAGAGGGGTAAACGGAGACAGTAAATAATAATAATGCAACCTGCAATCAACTGCAAGAACTGTATTGAAATAATACACCAGAAGTGAAGGTGTGAATTTCCATTGATATTACAAATATGGACCCAGATGGTAGCTATAAAGCTATTACTTTCTTTCATCTGTTGTTAGTGAGAAGCTACTTGTGGGCCATGGGGAGGGAAAGCCTGCGAGTACAGTCCAAGATGGATTAATCATGTGAGTCACCCTTTCAACTTTTTCTCCTCCCAAGAATAGAAACCCTTCGGGGAAAATGAACGACTGCTACTTCTATTTGAACTGAAAACCAATAAAAAAGGAGGATGGAAGCCCCCAACAAGATGGGAGTCTGCAAAGAGGAATACTTAGAAAGAAAGAAATTGTGTTAATCTTATAAAAGTGACACCTCACCCCACGCAAGTAGAGTTCATCTCTTCATACTCTACTGAGCTGCTTCAATAGCTACTACCATAGTGAACTAGGAACTCCTCTCCCCCACCCCCACACCACTACCCAAGAAATGCAGAAAATATAAATATAAATATCATTATTCCTAGTTTAACATAAGCAATGTTTCTTCCTTGACAACCATTTTGATAATTTAACTGCACCATTCCAGTATACTAATCCTATTCTTTTCCCAAAACTGCATCAATTGTTACTTAAATGAGTCCAGTACCCTGGCCTCTACTTGCTCCCTTCATAGAATCATAGAGTTATACAGCACAGAAGGAGGCCATTCAGTCCATCGTGTCTGGGCCAGATAAACATTAATAAATAATAACAATCGCTGCATTTGTGGAGTCCTGTGTTTAGAGCATTCACCTTGAAAGCGAGGGGATCTGGGTTCGATTCCCAGGCAGGGCAAAACATTGGCCATGTTTGCTTACTACACACGCCTCTGTTTACCTAGCAGTAAGTAGGAACCCAGCTGTTAGTCGATTGGCAGATCGTTTTCCAGGGGATTAAAAAAAAATTGGTCACTCAATCCACTACTGTTTGTGGGATAGTGCTGTGCGCATTTTGGCTGCCATATTTGCCCATGAAATAAATAGTTAATTAGTTTTACAGTATATTCTGCGCCATATCAAATGCAAGGATTATTAAGGATTATTATTGTTTGATATAGCACCTATAACATTGAAGTTACTCAATCAAAGTGCTTCAAAAGGAATTCTTGTGAATTGTAGTGAATGTGTATTTGTAGACAAACGTGACAATTTGCACACAGGAAGGTCCCACAAACAGTCAGGAAACCATAACTAATCTCTGATGGCTTGTTGGCTAGGACACTGGGCCACTTCTCTTTACAAATAGCAATATGATGTCTTCTAAATTACCTGATCAAGCAAATGGCACCACAGCTTAATTCTAAAACACGGCAGTCTTTCAGCACTTTGAGCTCAAATTCTCGACTTGGGACTCGACCTTCTGACTCAGGCAAGAAATACTTCCTGATATCTGCCCTAAAATTGCTCTTCAAACCATGAACCTGTGCCCTCTTGTTCTGCTGTCTTTCTGGGCCTGAGTCTCACTGAACTGTATCTCTGAAACATGGTAACTCATAAACCTTACCTCTTACTGTGTTTAGCCTGTTTTCCATTAAAACAACAGTGACAACAATTTACATTTATGTAGTGCCTTTCACGTTGCGAGAATGGCTCAAAATGCTTCACACAGCTGACTATTAATGTCCTTTCTTATGTATGGACACCAGAGTCTCACTCACCTCTCGAGGAATGTGGAATTTGTTCACAACTTTTATCTCGTAATACATCCTAATGCCACACCTCACAAGTTCCAGCTCTGTGCGTTCCAAATCACTGAATCTGAATTCATAGATTTCAAATTCCTTAGGATCCGGGAGCGCTTGATCCTGCAAATTAAATAGAAAGATGGAAAAATGTGCAACACCCTGCAGTCTTCACAGAAACAGTATTTTTTTTCAATGAAACACGATGGAGTTACACAAATGATCTTGTCGCTATTAAACATATCCACTGCAGTGCAACATTCATTATAAATCTTTCCCGGAGGTTGGAAGGAAGGAAAACTAACTGGGGTCTCTCTAGGGTTGAATGACTCCAAGAATCTGGAGCTTCGAGCTCTCATCATAATAATAATAATCATCATAACCTTGTAAGCAGCATAACTCTTCTCAGCCTCTGCACCATAAAATATATGGGAAGAAATTCTACCCGGTCTAGGTTTACTCTAGTCGAAAAGCCTTGGCTCGTGTCACCCTGCACCTAATGCTTTCTGGAATTATACGTCAAGGAGCATGATGCGTCTTTCCAGGGAGAGAGTGTGCATTCCATTCCAACAATCTCTGAAATTTCCATGTGTAAGTGAGATAAATGGAGTTCTCAGTTTGGTTTGGAAGCTCTTAAGCATAGTGATGGGTTAAGTAGCATTTCACAGCTTCCAAAATTTGGCAACCTAACTTTGCTGGGATTTTCTGTGGTTGGTAAAAACTGTCTGTGTTTAAGAATTTGCCAAATTCCAGATCAAATTTCTCCTCCATAAATCATTTTTCCCATTCCTATTCCTTGTATAACTGGAGGCGATACAGTATTAACTTGCTCCCAGCAGTAAAGACCAGTTGCACTAGCCCAATGTAAGACTGAAGAGGGAACCAGCAATCAGGTTGTCTTCTTACCAGTAATTCTTGTAGCTCATCTTCGTCACATTCATGCGGTTCCTTTTTGAAAACTTCTCTCGTTGGCTGATAAGAAAGAGATTTGATTAAAACAAAACAAGTAGCTGAAACACAGGCAAATAACAGGCAAACATTGAACATTGTTCAATGCAATGCCTCTTTTGAAATGTAACGTAATTCTGCATGTCTGGTCCATTTAATTGAAACTTTTGAAGGATACATCGAGATCTAAACTGTAAAATCCACAAAGGAATTCCTAAATAGTGAATTTTGGATGTGTCTAATGCTAACCTTCTGGAATGTGATTTGGATGTTGATCTCAGCCGTGACACAGAGGCTTGGCCCTGACTCGACTCAAAACATGACAACAAGACACAACACAATACATCCATCCATGATTTGCTAGTTACAATTCTATCAATTGTGATTGTCACATTTTAGACCCAGTTGTCAATATAAATGCAGCTGAACAAATGATGCAGCCAAACTCGTGGGCCTGTATAAATGTGACAGCCATGGCTTTCCCAATGGTTGGGGAAGGTGCATCTACAACAGCGATTGGGTAACTGCAAGTTCCCACCCCCAGGTTGGGTGCCCATCCAGCTTTGTGAAGTGCTTTCAGACAACCTCCCCGACATGAACCTGTGCCCTCTTGTTCAGGCGCTGTGTGAATGTAAATTTAATTGTACTGTATTGTAGTGAGCATGAGCACTCAGCTTGCTGGGCGCGTGCAATTCTAGAGGCTTTGGGTTTCATATTGTGAGATTTTACAAGGTCACAAGATGGTATTGGATAAAGAAGCATGTTTGATATTATCCTTCCTGAATATCCAACTTGCCATTGATCTATTACAATGTCAAGGTGTTTCAAAGGATACTCAGAAAGTGAATCTGGATTGGTGACAATCACTATGAGACACATTGTTATATCACTCGTAGAGTGTCACTGTGATTCAAACATCTTTTCCCACATCCAAACCAATAAAAAATAGTTGAGATTTTTTCACACAGATTTTTTCACATGTCTCTGAGGGAATATTGATAATTGCAAAACAATTACCAATATGTTCTGAATTTCTTTATTGCTGCACTTCACATGGTACAGCACCATTCCTTGCGCAATGTCTTTCCGGAATTCCAGTTTGTTCATTTTATCGTACGTATCTGTGTTGAGAACAGACCAGCCGAGGAACTGCGTCAAGGACTGGAAATGAACAGAGGGAAAAGAAGTGAAGCATAGACTCGTGAGCTGTAATGTTCAACTGAAGATGAACATGTGAAATGAAATGCGGAAGAGTCCAAATCTTACTTCCATGAGGACTTCGTCCATTTCATCAAATGGTTTGCCATCCTTCCTGTTGTAAAATGTAGCTATTCCAACAATTTCTTCCTTCTTGTTTACTATTGGCATCGAGAGGACATTTTTGATAACCCACCCTGTCTCATCAAATGATTCTTTCTGAATAGAAGAAAAATATAGGGGTCAAAAATCAGATTCTGTTCCTTAATTACACGTTCTGGAATGCTACACTGTGTGAGGGACACTAAATAAATGCAAGTTGTTGTTGTTGTTAATTGGCACTGGTGAGAATTAGAAAATGTTACTAAAAACAGGTCCTTGAAACTTGATAAATTTGGGACTGAACAATCCCTTCCCTGACTTCAGGAGGAGGTCTTCTCCTTCAAGCTGTTTCAGTCACTATCCTTGTTTTCCGTACAGCGAGTGGATATATAGTTTTTATTCCTAGGTGTACAAGCACTAATTTTTAACATTTTTACTTTTAAAATAATTTTTAGGAAGAGCAGGCAGATTATTTTTCAAAAGTCATTCTATCTAATGGGTCAGAGGAGTTGTGGTAAAGTCCATACAGGTACTCAGTGAGGTGGTGATCAGCTTATTTTGCTTCCTTACAAAAATGAGGGCTGATACTATATGGAATGGAGCATTTTCCTAGTTTTTGTGCCCTGTTGCAGGACCAGGTATGTCAGTCTGGTAGCGTTCAGTTGGTAGCGCTCTCGCTTCTAAGCCAGAAGGTTGTATGTTGAAGCCCACGTCAGGACTTTCTAGTCTACTCTGGCTGACACTCCAGGGGGGCACTGCATTTGGTAGAGATGCTGTCCTTCAGATGAGATTCTAAACCAAGGTCCTATCTCTATTCAGGTGAACAGTAAAAATCTCACTGTTTGAAAAAGAAGGGAGTTTCTTCCAGTGTCTTAGCCAACAATCCTTCAGATGCAATTGGATCAATCACGTTATGGCTGTTTGTGGGACATTGCTGTGCACAAATTCGCTGCTACGTTCACCTACAAAATACACAGTCACTGCACTTCACAGTAAATCATGAGAAGGGCTTTGAGATGATTTGCTGCTGTCATAAGGTGCTATACCAAATGCAAGGATTATTTTATTATTACTGAATACTCTCAGGTCAGAAATAGTACAGGTCACCACAGATTAAAGTTTCTTCCGCTCTGTCACAATGGTTTATCTTAAATCTGAATTTAGAATAATACCTTCAATTGCACTGGTAAGAGATATTCCACTTTTCACACCAGCCATTGTTATGGTCTGTCTAAGTGAGATTGGCTGTGGTCTCCCACTAAAGGCTATTTAGTGGAGTCATGTAGCTCAGTAGTTGGAGCACTCGCCTCGTAAGCGAGACACCTGGGTTCAATTTCCAGCAGGACAAAATGTTGGATAAGTTTCCTTGTCCACACGACTCTGTTTACCTAGCAGTAAGTAGCAACCCAGTTGTTAGTCAATTGGTGGATTGCTTTTCCGGGGATAATAATTAATAATTCCTTCCAAAAAAAATAATAAAAAATTGGTCACTCAATCCACAACTCTTCATGGAACACTGCTGTGCGTAATTGGCTGCCGTGTATCGCCCATAAAAAATATACAATCAATTCACTTTACAGTACATTCTGTGAAGCGCTTTGAGATATCGCGAGACGTGATAAAGAGCTACATCAAATACAAGGATTATTATTATTATTATTTAGTACCTGGGCTAAGGCTGCCCAAACTGAATTAATTTGGGAAATTTTCATCCAATCAAGATTCGACTGCATGAAGGCTCACCTCCCAAATGTGACAGTTCAGAATTTGCAGGCGTGGCTGACAATACATGTGCAAGTGTTCTGAGTTGGGCTAACCATGTGCAAATGCATTCTACAATTCTTCATATTGGTTATTAATAACATAATTAAGGATATTTGTAAGTACTCGGACACAGTGAATCCAATCCGCAAATTTTTCAATCAGTTCTTTCCCTTGGGTTTGAAGTATTCCCATGTCACGGTGTTTTTTAATTAAAGAGTGAGAATTATGTATTTTACCTGAAATTGAAACATTTCATCGACTGCTGCATTCATGATGTTGCAGATCTGTAAAGACAACAATTGCGCACCATATTACTGAGGACAAGGCACTTAAGTGATAGCTTTAATGATTGCAAGAGACTGAGAATGGCACGAAGGCACAGCAAACTGATGCTTCAAGGCATTGTGTTGGAAGCAAGTAGCTGGAAACAAGTGCCCTGCTTTGTCTCCAAGGTGATTTCCCATATAGCAAGCTACCAGCCTTAGTTGCCACCAGGAAGCATCAAGCAATGGGAGATGGAGAGAATTGGAAGATAGATCACCACCCAATTCTTCCTAAAGAGATATCGCATAAATTCTTTCAAATGCAAATCAGATCAATGTTCAAAAAAGATGGATATTAAAGGTTATGGGGAGAGAGCAGGAGATTGGGATCGACTCAGGTGGAGCTAAACAGCAGCACAGAGTTGATGGACCGAATAGTGTGTTTCTGGGTTGTAGTATTCTATGTTGATCGATTGATCGAGGTTCAATACTGTTATGGTAGATTTTACGTAAAACAAATTGCATTTGGTTCAAAAACAATGTTTCGGTGAACAAAACTTACAAAACCACTTTCTGCAACATAGGTAGGTAGGCCACTGCTTAGGGCCCAGTGGTCAGCAGGAGGGGTCCTGAATAAATCACAGAGGAAGGCACAAGTTACACAGCGTCATTAGATCTACAATAATAATAATAGTAATAGGCGCTATATGTTAAGAAACAATTCAGCTTGGTGAAAATGGAGTTGAAACCTACGGAATGACTTTGATTTCTTCTTTCCCGTGCAGAATGTAGTCAATGATTTTGTAAAAGCTTATTTCCTGAGGAATAAAAGATAGTTAGGACGTTTAATGCTGTCAGAATTTGTGCAGAGCAAAATGCTCTCAGAATCTTTTGAATGAAATCAGATATGAGACATACTCTGCCATCAGGTGTTCTTGGACCTTGGTAAGGGGGCACCTCCCCCATCTGCTCAGGCCACAGGTCAAAAAATTCCTGCAAAAGGAAACAGCGATTAAGATTTTGTTGCATCTGTTATTACAGAAACCAATGTTAAACATGATGGGTAACCTGAAATATATTTTAAAATACATTGCTAGGAAGTTATTTAAGTTATTTAAGAAGATGGTATTCGATCCAAAAGGATAACAAACTGTCAAGGCAAGCCTCCTGCTTGACCCTGTCCCTTCTGCTCCACCGTCAGCGCCAGTGCTTTCAGCCACTACACCCCGAGACTCTGGAACTCTCTCCCTCAATCCCTCTGCCTATCAAGATGATAGGATTCCACAATGATGCAGTGCTTGAATACAATAATATGACAGATAATATGATCCAAACCTTTTCCTTAGTCATATCTAGAAGTCCTACTGAGTATCTTTCACAGTTCAGATAGGCTCTCACTGTGTATAGGGCCTTGTGAAACTGTCGCTCAATGTCTGTCAATTCCTCAAATACTTTGTTGGCTGACCATAGGAGAACCTATAAGAATGAAATAAATAAACCATGTCAAAATATCAAACAAATCCATACACCTGGGTTGTATTTGATCTTGAGGCAGGTAGAAATTGTTCAGTGTTTTGAAATCTCTACGAATCTCCAATTAAAAGTATAGTTGAATAATAATAATAATCCGTTGCGTTGATACAGTGCCTTATCGTTTCGTTGAGACGTCTCAAAGTGCTTCACAGGATTTTCTGTAGAGTGTCGTGACTGTATGTTTGTAGATGAGTGCGGCAGCCAATTTGCACACAGTGATGCCCCAAAAAGAGCCATTAAGTGAATGATCAATTTTGCCTGGGGGCATGACACTGGGAGAAACTTTCTTCTCTTATCAAATCGTGCCTTGGATTTTTTTAACATCCACCTGAACAGGAAGACGGGTGTGCCCTCTGAGGATATAGCGTTCCCCAGCAATAAACTGGGGTGTCAGCCTAGGCTGTGAGTTCAAATCGTGAATGTCAGGACCTAGCAAGACTGGGACTGTGATATGTTAATTCTAACCAGTGTTACAACCAGTATTAATTCTGACATAGATACTGCAAATTTCCCTTCTGTCCCCAAATCCAATGAAGTGGTGGATTGAGCTACTCAGAGGTATGGTAAAGTCTCAAGCTCTTTGCTCCAATAAGAGAATTCTGCATGATGAAAGCATTCAGAAATTATCTCACACTTTGGCTATCGCTATTTCCATCTTAGCATAGTCCATTAATGGAGAATTTTCTGTGGAAAACTCACAAAATTAACAGTCTAATTGCAAGAGCTTTGCCCATTGTGCTTAGTGTAATGCTACTTCTTTAAGAAAGTTTTTTCCACTCATCGGCAGATCAATTCTAAAAAATATTCAATAAAAAAGTAACTTAGAACGCCTAAAATTTACAAAACAAAAATATTTTCCTCAAAGTGAAATAAATAGTCAGTGCTGACATCTGGTGGCCAATAGTATATGCAAAGTGGCTGCCATGTTCCGCTGCAAATTAAAGTCACTATTACTCATTACACTTGACAGTATATCCTGTGATGTGCTTTGAGACATCATCCTGACCTGAAAGGCACTATATCAAATGCAAGGATTATAATTTATTATAGGAGGAAGTTCACTCATGTTCACACTGTATATTACATGTTAAACCCCGAAGACACTATATATTTTATGTTAAACCCCAAATACATCACATATGCTGAGGAAACTTTTTACCTGGCCCCTTCGCGTTTCACAGCTATGAAGATAGGTCAGATGAAAAATTTTGAGGTTCAAGGTGGCAAAGTTGAGGTATTTCAAAAAAAGCTAGAAAAGGAAAAGGTATAGTTTACAATCCATGGATACTTGAATACACACATCTTTGTGTTATCAATCCGCACCAAGTCATTCCTTGAAAGACTTACATCTTCATCTTCTTCATTAAAATAAGGACCATCTATTTTATTTACGGCCATGATCACAGCAACAACGTCTTTGCCGTTCATTATGGGGCTGGCCAATAAATTTCTTGTAGTGTAGTCAGTCAATTGATCGGAAAAACTACTGAAGAAGCTGCACTAATTCCAAGAAGAAAAGAAAGAACACATTAATGTCCTGTGAAAGAGAGAGAGAGAGAATTGCACATGACAAATAGTTAGGAGCACTATCATTATGCCCTGGAAAACAAGACATTTATAGGTATGAAGTGATATCCCTTTAGAATAGTAATAATGCTTATATTTGATATAGCGCCTTTCTTGTTAGGAGAACTTGTCAAAGTGCTTCATAGGAGATACTGTAAAGTGGAGTGACTGTGGTTTTGCGAGCAAAGATGACTGCCAATTTGCACACAGCAGTGTCCGAAGTGCATGAAACAGCCATGAAGTGAATGAATGATTTTACTGGGGGATTGTTGATCATGACATTGGGACATTGGGACATCCCTTTTTTTTTCAATAGTGCAATAGGATTTTTAATGTCCCCCGGAACTGGCAGACAGGACCTCGGTTTAATGTTTCATCTGAAGGATGGCACATCCAACAATGCAACACTCCTCCAGCACTGCATTGAATGTCAGCGTAGACTATATGAGCTCCAAACCCCAACATTGGGACCCACAATCTTGTGACTCAGAGGTGAGAGTGCAATCACTGAGCCAGATTGACAAACGCAGATGTTAGAAGATCAATAACAGTATTTATATAGTGATTTTCATGGAGGGTAACAATTTTGAAGCATTTTACAGAGAAGGTGAAATTTTACAGTGATGGTGTTAAGATGAAGATCAGGGATCCAATCTTTACAGGAGTTTCTCTTTTAGACACTGGCATCTTCACAATCTTTTAATCAAATTTGCCAATCAAGCATTTATTAAGCAGAACTTCTGAGGTTCTGAGTTGATAAAAACAGCCTTTCTTGAAGGTTATTTTCTTCCCTTTCTCTATTGGACCTTTGACATTTTTATCAATAATAATGTTGAGACATTCTGGAAACAGTCCATCCAGTTTTCTCTTGACTTTGCTCACAGCAGTTCAACTGAGATAGAGAACTTATAATGTGGGGAAGTGTGGGTAAAAGACTACAACATGGCATGCTTCAGCATACTGAGGCGCCAATGCATTCATCATCAAACTGCCTATTGTTTGTGTGCAAATTGGCTGCCATACTTGTCTAAAAATACACAGCAAACTCTGTGAAGCACTTTGGGGCATTTAAGATGGCACATTAAATGAAAGTATTATTATTATCTTACATTTTAAAACAGATTGGTTTTGCAAGCTAAGACTGGGTTAAAGTTTAGGCCTCAGTGTCTTTAAACCCTTAATAATAGGAATTACAAGCTATTAGTAGATAGATGGTACATTTTGTGCATTCTGATTGACTGGGTTGTGAAAAACATTTCATCCAAGATTGATATAGTTATAAAATCTTATAATAAAAATGCTAAATTGCTATTTGAATTTAGAAACGATACCTCGATCAAATTTGTAAAAGCTATACTTTATTCTCCAACAAGCCTTGCTTGGGATTGGGGATGGTCGTCTACAAAATACAAAGTTACTCCACTTTACAGTGTATCCTGTGGAACACTTTGAGACTTACTCCTCATGTGAAAAGTGCCATATCAAATGCAACTATTGTTTTATTGTGTTGTTATGTCACCTTAATTTGAAGTGTTATCTAATTGTCCTCTAACCCAGCACAGAACCTTCTGAAGACAGTAACATGGGAGGTTCCCACCAACAATAAATCATTTCCTCTGAATCTAATTGTGCTGCTTATCATTGAATGTTCCTTTCGATGAAGATCCAATTTTTTCAACACAACTGTTGACGCAGATGTTGTTCGATGTAAATCTGCTTCATAGTTCATATTGAAGGAGTTGGCCTCCCTCTAAAGGAACATTCAATGGTAAAGATCAGAAATAGTTTGCCTAAGGAAATGGCAGGAAAGGCATCATAAAATATAAAACATGTTTCTGTTTCAAATGGAGCATTCCCTTTACTTCTTATAATGTAGTTGCAAGATATTTGATAAGAATCCCATGATCTGATCAATCTCCAACAAAATCCCACCACCTGGGAGCTTCATTTGATTACTCATCATGGTAAAGGAAATATGTCAAGTTGTCCATTACTCAACACATTACTGAGTTCTAATTTGCAGATTTGTGTAAAATTTGCAGGATAGGTTGTCATGTGCTAACTAACACACATAGGTACCCTTAATTAGGTAATGAATAATCAAGGTATAGGATCTGTGATTCCTTACATGCTGTTAATTATATAATTTAGGGCACTTGTACTGTTTGGCACATGGTTAATCCAACCCATTAACTAACGTAGTTCGTCTAACCTATATTAGACACACTTGTGACACCACACAGCTTCTCTTGAGTAATAGGGCACAGTAGTCTAGATAAGGAACTCAACCTTCACCTTATCTTTTATTTAGCTTGAGATCCCCTATTCCATCTTTATATGTGCTGCAGCCTCGTCACTGGTAACAAAACCTTTACATTTGTTCAAACCCCAGTGGCCAAATATAAAACTATCAGATTTGAAATCTAAACAGTATTTTATTTTTCAATTGCCAGGGTCTTGTCTCAAAGATAAAGTGGTTGGGTCAAAATGTTTTATAACTGTACTAGGACCCTGTAAAGAATCTGTCAATCCCAGTGTTTTTGCTCCTTAGGTACAGTCTAATTTACAGTTCTCCCAATGTACAACAATACAGCCTAACATAGTGGTCTGAAATTGGGTCAATCATTACCAACAGTAAAAATGACTAATAATAATGAGTAGTTTATGAAAATACAACACTGACTAGGCTGGGACTTATTACTTGTGAGTGAAGTAAAAGGATTGTGAGGCCTAACCTCATGGTCAGCATACTTTCAAGTTACCTGACTATTGTTTCATGTCTCACATATATATCACCCATATTTATTGATGAGGCAGCTTTTATTTGAATAAAGTATCTTTAAAACATAGTTTGCACTTTATGTTAAAGTCTTGCTAATAACTGCAAGGGAAACCCAATTTCCCAAAAGAAATGAGAAAGAAATGGTTTTAGAGATACAGTCGAGTCTACTGTCGGACCAGACTAAATTATGATGTTACATGTACTGTAGCAATAGGGGAACTTCCCTTATACACACTTGAAAACACTTCCAGACTGTTATGAAGGCATTCACAATTTCAAGGATAAGAAAAATAATTTAAAAAACAATATTTTACTTTACTTTCACTTTATAAATGTTATTTTTTAATAACATCGGTTCCTTTTGACTGTTTTACCTTTGAAATTGAATCACAAAAATAACAGCCACTATGGACTTCGGATAGACATTAAACCGTTAACCCGTCTGCCTGTTCAGGTGGATGTTAAAGATCACATAGCACAATATAAAAAGAGAAAAGAGCTTCTCCCTGTGTCTTGGCCAACAATTCCCCAAATAAAATTGGTCACTCACTCCATGGCTGTTTGTTGGACACTGCTCTGTGCAATTTCGCCCACAAAATACACAGACACTGCCCTTTACAATATATCCTGTGAAATGCTTTGAGACGTCTCAACAACATGATAAGGCGCTGTATCAAATGCAAGGATAATTATTATTATTATTATGGGCACCAAAATACTGTATTGGAGCAGCCTCTTCTCATTGGACCATCCACCTCTCCATCAACCTATCTCGTGCTCTCATTAGACTTCCACCTGTCTCTTTGTGACTATTCTGGCAGCACTACACTCCGGGGGGTGTAACATTATTCAATCTTTTTTGAATCGGGACCACAAGTTTGCACAACATTAGACGAATTATAACATTATGCGGCTATAACACTACTCAAAATCAAATATGTACAAAACATACCAAACACAATCAGGACCGGCTGCCAGTATAACATTATGCAAATTATCACAATAGGTGACTTAACATTATATGAACTCGACTGTATTAAGAAACCAATAACCTTTTTATGCAGCTTATAGCCTGGATGTTGAGGAAGGGGCATGTTACTTGGTTGGGATTTACTCTGTCCTTCATTAGTTCTAACTCGGATTTTTATGGAGGCCTGAGCATACTGGCAGGTCTATAAGTATTGTGATATTAGCAGTACATTGATATCTGCTTTTGGGGAGCTTCGGCTCATTTAAACTCCTGTGCTGATCCGTCTAGGGAGAGCTAAGATGTATGATTACTTTTCCATTACGATGACTGAGTCAGACATATATGGAGTGCGCAAGCACTGGTGAAATGCCACAAATGATACAGCATGTTATATAGCTATATAATAATTAATATTTCATAGAAAATACTGTAAAGTGAATTGGCTGTGTACTTTGTGGGTGAAACACTGCAGCCAATTTCCCAGAAACAGTCGTGGATTGAGATTAATGGAACTTCTGAGATGAACACTGACTGCTTAATAGCTGGAATGTATATTGATTTGAATCCTATTGTTACATGTCTGGTGGCAGACGAAACAAACATATAACCTAGGGATTCTACTTTGGGATGAACAGTATATCCAAAGTCTTAATGCAGTGAGGTCTTAGTTGGTTTGAGTGAAATCAGATTATTCCTAGTTCAGATTGAGGTTTTCTTTTAAAAACAATCTAGCACATTCTCAGAGAACTACAATTGGTGTCTAATTATCGTTGGATGCTTACCAAAGCTGGTATATGCTTCGAAGCTAGTGAAGTGCTTGATAAGACACTATATCAAATGCAAGGATTATTTGTTTTAGTGCTTCCACATTCAGAACATAATGCCATCTGCCATTCTTGTGTCCAGTCTTTGCTTCATTAAACTGTATTTGCCTTAATTCCACCCACTAATTTAATCAGTCTATGGCTCTTTGCAATTATCTGCCGACTTCTTCACAATTTACAACTCCTAATTCAGCGTCATCAGTCACTTTTGATATATTCCCATATTTTTACCTGTATCCAGGTCATTTATAATAATATAACAATAATAATCGTTGAATTTGATACAGCAGCTTTCATGTCAGGAAGACATCTTAAAATGGCTCACAAGATTTACTGTAAAATGTAGTGGACTGTATTTTGTAAGAAAACACAATTTATATGTAGGATGAAAAATCTGGGGCTCCAACACTGATCCCTGGAGATACGATTTATATTGTCTCACTGCCTGCTACCCCTAATCCATTTTGAATATGATCACTTTGTTAATTCCTTAAGGCTACTTTCTTACCCCTCTTTAATTTCTCTAATGTCAAGCCAGGTGGAGTTCATATGTAATTTAACATGACCCCTAAGCATGCCCCATTTAATTGAGATGTGTTTCCTACAGACTTTATGAGGCATGGTATAGTTAAATAGACAGCATTAAATGTGTACTCAGTGTACAGTTAAAATTGCATAGATCAGTCTATTTTTAATGTGATGATTGAATTGACCTTAGTTGTCTATATAATTAATAAGGTGTAACCTGAAAAGGTAATCCCAGATATTATAACCAGGTCACAGGGTTCTTGCCGTGTATAAAGCAGATTACACCAAGAGGATTTGAATCCATCAGAAGTATACCTTTGGATGTGAATGCTAAGATATTAGGGTTTATTTTGCAGTATTTCATAACAGAAAATACAAAGTTATCGAATTTCTAAAACATCAATCTGCTAAATAAAGCATTCAATATTGTTCTGGAAATTCAATAGTGCAATCTGTGGCACATTTGATGCTTTAGAAATTTAATAATTACACATTTCTTAGTAAGAAATCTGTTAAGAAATACTACAGGTTAGACTTTATTGTGGCAAATTGAATTAGTAGCATTCCAATTTCATGTTTTTGCGTTATTTGCAAAATGTTTAAGAGATGTAAATTGAAGTAGTTTTGATGAAAATAATAAAGAAATTGGTTATTAAAGGTGACAGGGGATATTGAAGTTTTTATTGAGGCCATGATTCATTCTGGAACAAAGAATTTCTGAATAATTTCCAGAACTGCGCAATCTTTGTCAGATCCACTTAACAAGGCAATGTTTAAGGGTTGTATTGAGGTTGAAGCAATAATAGTAATAATATTAATCCTTGAGTTTGATATAGCGCCTTATCACATCTTCGAGAAGTCTCAAAGAGCTTCACAGAATATTCTATAAAGTGAATTGAGTCTATATTTTGTGGGTGAAGTAATCCTGTCACGACTGATCCCAGTGTTAGCCTATTCTCAAGATTTCAGTTTGACAGTCCCTCTGATATTTGTAACATTTCTAACATACGTTTGTAACATACTCAAAAAGGAAAGAAAAGCTTCTGAAGCTATTTAAACCTTAATGCAGGAAGATGCATTGACCTGGATAATCCCATTAAATCGTGTGGCCCTGGTTCAGAGAAGCAACAGCACAATTTTACATTGATAAAATGACACATAAAAGTCCGTAAGTGAGCAATCTTTCAAATAATAACTAACAGTTGCATTCGGAGATTGAAGCATTATCGGTAAATATTTACCTCCCTCTCGTCTTTACACACCTACCTCATTTACATTGTGGATATTGACGTTTTTCTTAGTTTGGGCCACATTTCCTACAATGCCAAGATCCAGGGGGAAAACAATCTCACATTCCGGTGGCACCAAACAGCTTTCAAAATCTGCATCCTTGTTGACATCGTAGAGCCTGGTGGCTATCTCTGCTATGCCATTCCTCTGTCTGTACATGAACAGACTCATTCGGTCTGCGTGGATCAGGAAGCTGATCCTTTGCAAAGTTTTAAATACCACTTTCTCCATGCTTACATTTTCATGCATGTCTTGGATGAGATCAAAGAGAATCTCGCTCTCTTCCACCTGACTGAGCTCCTTAAAATTCATGGATTTGGCAGGAGGCTGGGCTCTGGACAATTCTTTAGCAATTGCTTGTGGTTGGATCTTCTTGTCAAAGTACTGCTTGGCAAATGCAGGATTGGTGTCCAGGAACTTTTGCACATCTTCCTTGCTCAACCCGCTCATCTTGGGTGGCTTCTGTCTGTTTGATCTCCGCCGGCGCTGTTCAACTCAAAGGATGATGAATATGGTACACAAGGGTTCGTTATATTCAGCACCAGATCTAACTCATGGCACCTGCATTGTCGGTCGGTGCCTGTTCAAACCCAAAGACTAGACTCCTCTGCTCCAATTCCACTGTCATCAGCAAAGTATTTTCCTAATACTATTGAAGGTGAACTGTTATACACGCAGATCTTCTCAAACAAACCTGATCAGGTGCCACGTGACATAGTTGACAGCCAATCCTAGCCGAATATTAATGCTATTTACTATATTTTTAAGGCTACGTGACTGTCTCTAGCACTATCAATTTCTTACCAGCCTTTATTTTGAGGCATTTGCTATAAAAATATTTCAAAGGTCTTGGTAGTGCATCCGTTAATATTCATTAGAAGTTGAGATACACTTAAGACACTCAGTACATTCTTATTAAATGTGCTCCCCTTAGCTCTAATCTCCTATTACCAGAGATTATCTGATTACTTTTACACCAGCAGGAAGCCTTGCGAGTTTGAAAGAAATCAAAACAAATATTGCACTGTTTATTTGCAGTGCTCATGAACGAACCCATTATTTTATAATGCATTCTCCTATAAACTCATATTCTCTGCACAGTCACTTTGATCTGCTTTTGTCAACGAGAAGGATATCATGAATTACTATGAAGTTAATGGGCCAATTTACCTGCAGAGTAGCAGGGACCAAGCATTGGGAAAGAGTTTAAATGTAAGCCAGATGCTCAAGTCTCCCACTTGGAGAAACCACATCAAATAAATTTCATTCCATTTCTTCTCAATGCTTTTCTTCACCCTGTAAAAGTGGAATTGTTCGACAAAATTAGTGGATAAAATCAAAACCTGCAAATTTACTTGCAGATTTTAACTGTAGATTGTTGCTTCTTTCTGGAGTTAAAACTCATTCATTGTATTTGATTTAACTAAGATTAGAAGAAAGTTCAAGCAAGTCTTGCTTTTCTTCCTTAAGCCATTCGGCCTTGTCTGTGTTATCAGCAAAGCTTAAAGAGTGCGAGAAGAATAAGATGACTGGCACTACTGGAATAGTTAGGATTGACGGCAGCAGGGTAAGGGATGAAAATCGTTTCCATCTCTACTTAAATACATTACAAACCTGGAGGAGGGGAGAGATACTGGTTGCGTTAATAGAATTATTAGATGTTTACAGCACAGAAGTAGGCCATTTGGTCCATTCTGTACACATCCATGACCAAGGTGAGTGAGGCAGTGAATTGGGGAGGGTCTCTGGGATGGAATTTCAGAGAGTGTGGTCGGAGAGGCTGAAAGCCTGATTTCAATGGTGAGGCGGCAGATAGTGATAGGAACATAAAGCAGGCCAGTGCTTATTGAATGAAAGAAACAGTAAGATCCAGAGGGTTTGAGGAGGTCGCAGAGGTAAGTTGAGAGAAAGACAGTGGAGGGATTTAAGTGAGAGAATGAGGATCTTAACTCTGAGGGATGAGGAGCCAATAGAGCTGAGCGAGGATGGGGGTGATAGACTCATGGAGCCTGGTCCGGGAAAGGACACGGGCTGCAGTGTTCTGGATAGTCTGCAGCCTGTTCAGGGAAGAACTGCTGAGCCTGATAAGGAGTCAAGCCTGGATGTGATAATTGCTTGGACGAGGGTTGGCAAGCAATATTTGGGAGGTGGGCGAAATCTGAGTGGGTCAGAGCAAGTATGTGGTGTTTAAAGGACATTTGGGAGTTGAACAAGGCACCAAGGTTCCGCACTTGAACTTTTGAGCAAAAGCGAGGTGAAGTGTGCATCGATGCAGGTTGATACTGTCAGTGAGTGAACAAGAAGACACTGATGGGAGCCAAGTAGGAGAGCCTCTGTCTTGTCAAAATTCAACTGGAGAAAATTAGAGCTCATCCAGGACTTAATGTCTGGCAGGCAATTGAAGCTATGTCAAATGCAAGGATTATTCTATTATCATTATCAAATAATGCAAGGTTTATTAATCTCTGCTGGTGTTGTTGATGTTACCCACACGCTCTAGCAGGAAATCTCACCTGCAGATCTTTCTAATTTAGAAAGTATTGTTTACATGAAAGGCAACAGAAGGAAAAACTGTAGCCTGAGAAAGTTAGAATATGAAAAAAAGCATATATGATCCACAAAAGCAAAGAACACTCTGTTGGAGTATTATTCACTCAGGGTTTAGATTCTCTTTACAGCTCTGAGATAGATACTGTGATAGACAATATATTACCTACTGGGATTGTAAACCCACAAAATAAGCCTTGCCCTCTGAGGTTTGAACTCAATTTTGACACTGACGTGCTACCTACTGTACTAAATGTCAATTTTGTGCAGCAATTGTAACTGACATGAACTTGAAAATCTGTTGTTTATTTTTTCACAAGCAGGAAGCAAATTAATAATGATATAATAATAATATAATTATTATATATAATTATTATTATGCATAAATGATCTCCCTTGTCTGAAGAAGATGGAAAGTTCGACAAGATGAGCCAGATAGGTGACAATCTACACGCTGTTGAGCTGTAGCCAAATTGCACCACTGAGCACTTTGCAACTGAACTGTTCTCGACTTGAATGCACTTGTGCTTTATTGATCTACAAACCATCTGCTGTCTTTTGCAATGAGAACCATTCCACACCATTAGCAAAACTGTTAAACAGCACTAAGACAGGCTTAGTGTACCTTCGATAGCTCAGCTGGTAGAGCGGAGGACTGTAGTGGAGTATCCCATCAAGTCATCCTTAGGTCGCTGGTTCAATTCCGGCTCGAAGGAATTTTTGGATTACTGTACAGCTTTTGGGGAAAAAACATTCAGAGAAAGTGGGGGATGGGGATTTGCGTTTGCTAAGCAAGACAGCAGTGACCTGTCCTGTGGGGAGAGGGAGACAGGGGCAAATGAAACTTTGCTCGTAATGTTATGGTCATTGATTACCATTTGTTCGTAACTGGAGGGAGTGAGTTGAGATGGATATCAAAAAGGGGACAGTCTATAGACTTTTACTACAGATGGTTATTTGGACAAGGAAATTCCTACCAAAAAACAAGTAGAATTAGTAATGACTTTCAAAAGGGATCACATAAATAGTTGCTTAAGAAATATTGAAAAACATGTGCAGGAAAGTGGACAAAATGGATAATTCTTTCAGAGGATGAGCACAGTCATAATAGACTTCTTTAACTTCTTTTGGTTTATGATATTGTCACAACTCAAGATCTCCTTTGCTGGTACATTGCCATTCTCGCAGTTTAGGGCGGAATTAGCTCAAATAATAAAGTGCATGTTCAGCATGTAAGAGGTAGAGGGATTGATGTCTGCTAGAGCTTTTTAGCTCTGCACTAGAAAGTAAATTGTTGAATATTAAACAACAGGAGACCAAACTGCAGCTGGTATTAAGAAAATATTTCTGAACGTTCCAATGAATGTAATCAGACCCTCAGGGAAAATTCAGATCAATAATGTTTTGATTGGTGGTTTAGACATGTTATCCTCCGAGCTCTTAGCAGTTGAGCCGTTCTCAGCTGGAATGCTCTTGTTTTTCTTGATCAACAAACTATCCGTCATCATTCAACAATCAGTACCAGTCCATGCCATTAACAAGTGTCCGCGCATGCATGCATGTATGTGTGTTGGGAGGGGGATGGTGGGTAGCATAGTGTGTAGTGTAGCATAGCTCATCTGGAAGAGTGAAGGACTGTAGTGGAACATACCAATGGAGTCACATCAGTAATTAGACATGTTGTTCATTGCACCATGAAGCTCTCCCTAAAAGAACCTTTCTCATCTGAAATGGTCTTGTGCATTTTGACCTACAAAGCAGCCACTGGCTTTCACAATTAGCAGGTGCCACACGTCAGCAACACTATGAAACAACATTGTTGTGGAGGTAGAGTGTGCCTTCGATAGCTCAGCTGGTAGAGCGGAGGACTGTAGTGGAGTTACACCATTGAGTCATCCTTAGGTCGCTGGTTCAATTCCGGCTCGAAGGAGTGCCACATTTTTAAGGGGATGCACATCATTTAAAAAGAGATGAGCACATTGATTTAAGTTTCCAACACAACAGGAGTAACTCCTCATTTGTGGGGTGAGGGGGAGCACAGGGAGGGGCAATCATATAGGGTGACAAAAAAGTTGTGATAAGTACCCTATTATCCAAAAAAAAATTCTTTAAGACTTATTAGACATTGCAATAGTATCACAACTTTTTGGTCACCCTGTACTTTATTTGTGGGACGATGTACTCTGATTACTGCACTACACCGCACAGTAAATTCTGAGATGGACTTTAAAACATTTTCCTGATGTGAAAGGTGTTATACCGAATACAAGGATTATTATTATTATGCTCCACAATTGTGGACGGTGAATGTGTGTATATAATAGCAATAGTCAGGAGATGGCAGTGTTGGCTGCTTTCAGATTAGAATGTGTTTGATGCTAAAACTGGAAATGTTATAGGTAGTAACTATTCATTCAAGATGGGTACAATTCCATATGTCTTTAGAGTTAATGGCAATGCTTTCTCCTTTATAAAAACATGATCTGAATTTTGCCAGTTATCTTAAGAAGCTGTTAAATTTAACAATTAATACTCCTGATACCCAGTATCCACTTAGCAAGGACTTAAACCTGTGTTTGTTGGATATTTAACAACCAACTACAGTATTAACAGTAATAACAATCCCAGTTGGTGGTAGTGGGATCTCTTTGGAGCTGAGTTGGCCCAGCAATGGAATGTTAAATAAAATTAATCATCTGTGGTAGTTGTGGTAGTCAGGTTCCTGAGCCAGGCAGGACCGCAATACTCCAATATACCATTGATGACAGCCAGCCTGACTCATTAAAAGGATTTGGAGGGGCAGAACAGTCACTGGAGGCAGGGATTCTTGCCGCTCAGCTCTTGTGAGCTCTATTGGGTAGGGTGGTCCTAATGTTGATAAGCAGCATGAAACTTGCTCATCAATGTTTGAAATAGTAAGCCACATAAGTTTAGCTGGTTAAACTCCACCAATACCCCAACGCACACTCTGGGGTCCCCAAGTCTTGGCTCTTGCCAACATTCACGTACTACTTTCCAGGATTAAGTGAGCAGGAAGCAGACCTCGATGGAGAGTACACATTCATCCCAGACACATAGAAATATCCATACTTATGTGGAACTCCCAACAGTTGGGATTGGTTACTCTTAAGCACAGTGATGGGTTTCTGTGTATCAGACACCCGCTGACCAAAAAACATTCTTTAAATGTTTTTCTCCCCTGCTAAAAAAAAAGTGTCCTTCGAGCCGGAAATGAACCAGCGACCTAAGGATGCCTTTCGTTAATTGCTACACTACAGTCCTCCGCTCTACCAGCTGAGCTATCGAAGGCACATGTTAAGACCTGTATATAAAAGCAATATAATGCTTCTTTACAATCTTACTAATGGTGTAGAATGGAGCTGATTGTGTATGGTGGTGGATAGTTTGGAAATTAAGAAGCATAAGAGCATTTCAGCTGAGAAGATTTGAAACAGGGAGCCAGCGGAGCCTGGCAAGGTCTGGGGTGATAGGGGTGCGGAGCCTAGTACGGGTAAGGATACGGGCGGCAGAGTTTTGAATCATTTGGACCTTTTTAATAGTGGAGCTGGGGAGACTGGTGAGGAGGGCATTGGAAAGGTCAAGGTGGGAGGTAATGAAAGCATGATTGAGGGTTTCAGCAGGGTTTGAATTAAGAGAGGGGTGAAGGCGGGTGTTTTGGCGGAGATGGAGGAAGACACTGCTGGTCAGGTTCTGGATGTGGGGTAGGAAGGAGAAGTGGGATTCAAACCTGAGGCCAAGGTTGTGTACAGGTTCAATGAGTCTGAGAGATAGGCACGGAAGCTCTTAACCTTAGAGTTCAGAACTGCAGAACTGAATGTGTAATTTTAGCACACATACCAGTTTCACATTGCTGGGTGACAGTCATGCTTTGCAGTAAATAACAGAGCCTGAAGTGATTACTGTATACTCCAGTCAGAAGGTTTGGGTTCAAGCCCCACATTAGGATTTGGAATCACACAGTATAAGCTGACACTTCAATGCAGTGCTGGGGGTTTGCTGTATTGTTTGAGTTATTGTCCTTTGGATAAGATGTTAAACTGAGGCCCCACCTAGCTGTTCGTGAATGGTAAAGATCTCACAGACTATTCAAGAGTTCCATTCACTTCATGACTGTTTGTGACTTCATACAGCGCCTTGGGACGTCCTCCTGACGTGAAAGGCGCTTTATAAATGGAATCTTGTTGTTGTTGTTGTTTGTGGCTGTTCAGCACTTTGGGACGTTCTCCTGACGTGAAAGGCGCTCTATTAATGTAATTTTGTTGTTGTTGTTGTGGGATTTTTTCTTTGCTCAAATTGGCATCTGCAAAATACACAGTCACTGCACCTTAACTATAAAGCATGTTGAGATGTCTTTCCAATGTGAAGGGCGTTATACCGAACATAAGGATTATTAGAATTATATATTCACTGGAACACTGATGAACATTTACTAATATTATTTCACCACCTTTTTCAGGCTGAGATTCTCCTCCTGTTGTTTTACACATAACAGTTGACAATGAACCCTCCTCGCACACCCCCCAAAAAAACTCCTTCAAGTCAGAAATGAACCAGCAACCTAAGGATGACTCTTATATGTGTTCCATTGCAGTCCTCTCTACCAGCTGAGCTATTGAAAGCACACAGAGTCTACATTGCAATGCATCTTTACAGTTTGGCTGGTGGTGTGGGATTGTACTGAATGGAATCATTTAGAATGATTTATTGACTTGGAATAATCCACAGACAAACAGTTCCAGTGGAGAATGCAGGGAATCATCGATCTTTCTGTCGCATGTTAAATGACCACATGACCAATGCATCTATTTTGCCTGCTATGATTATGTTTAGCCAGCAGAGATTAAAAAAAACTTAAAATGTTTGTTGGTTATAGGAGATACTGTCAAGTACAGTGACAGTGTGCTTTGCGATCAACCTGGCAGTCAATGTCGCGTTGGGATGTCCTCCTGGCACTTATAAGACACTATATAAATAAATATAAGTTGTATTGTACAGTTTACACTGCAAAAACGGCCCACATGGTGGCAGTACAACTCTCCCAATAAGTGGAAGGTTCGCCATAAAACCATAGAAATTTACAGCACAGAAAAATGTCCATTTGGCCCAGAGTGCCTTTTAAGAGCAATCCTTTCAGTCCCATTTACCTGTTTTTCCCAATACCCCTGTAGTTTACTCCTTTTTTGGTAATTTTCTAGTTCTCTTTTGAAAGCCAATATGGATTCTGCCTCAACGATAGCTTCTGGCAGAGCATTCCATATCCTTCCTACTCTGTGCATGAAAACATTCTCCTAACCTCTCTGTTTGCTCATTGTTATCTAGTCCAGTTCTCCACATCACAGGCATCTTTGACATTACTGAAGCAGAGACAAGTGTAACTGGTAATCATTGACCCCAAAGCGGCTTCCAAGTTATGCTTTTGTTTAATATTTGTATTCCAGGGTTGATCTGCAGAGGAGAGTTAAACTATAGACTGTCCCCAGCCAAACACTAACCTTTTACTGATTGACCAGGAGGCCTGGAGGCAGATTTTGTGTGTTAAATGTACCATAGGCACTAAGGTCGGTGTAGGTGTCAGATCCACAAAGATCAGTATTGTTCAAAGAGCAGCATTTGCTCAAAGATTGTCAACATTTTCTTTAATACAATACAATTTTTCATTTGTACAGCGCCTTTCTCATTGGGAGGACGTCCTGAATGGTTGGGCACCAAAATGTGGGTACATTGCCCTCCTCTCACTTGCACATACATATATACACACGTTACTCAATGGCAATATCTATGAAGCCAGACTTTTGACAATGGATTGTGGCTTTTGACTGCCAAGGGTATCAGCTACTCTTGAGTATTCCAATGCAATGCAAGGGGAGAGCTCAAACGAGACTTTAAACTGAGATCCTGTCTGCCTGTCCAGGTGGCTGTTAACAATCCGTGGAACTGTTCAGCAAGACCAAAGCTCTTCAGCTTGGCTCCCATCAGTGCTTTCTCATCGAAGAAACTGAAGGCAACAACTACATGGATGCACAGTCCAGCTCACAGATTTTGTGTGGAACCTCAGTGTCTTGGAACATCCTCCCAACCTGAAAGGCACTATGTAAATGCAATTTGTTGTTGTTGTCTTGTTCAACTCTCAACTGTCCTTTAAACCCCACATCCTTGCTCTGATCTGCTCAGCTTTTCTCCACCTCTGTATCATTGCTCACCTCCGCCACTTCCTCTCCCTTCAGGCCATCAAAGCCCTAATCAACGCATTCATGTCCACGCTAGATTACGCCAATTCTGTGCTGTAAGACTGCCCACCTCTTCCCTCCACAAGTTGCAGACTATCCAGAACTCTGCAGCTCACGTCCTCTCCCACACTAGGAACAACAAATTGATCATCTCTACGCTTGCCTGGCTCCAGTGGCTCCCATTCCCCCAGCGAATCAAGTTCAAGATTCTCATCTTAACCTTTAAACCCTTCTACGGTCTCGCCTCATCTTACCTCTGCAACCTCCTCAAACCCTACAAACCAGCCACTCCCTCCACTCAGCATCTCCCGTCCTGCTCACCCCACCATGGGTGCTCAGGTTTCAGCATATCTGCCCTCACTCTCTGGAACTCCATCCAGAGTCTCTTCGATTCACTCCTTCCCTCACCTCCTTCAAGGTCTGTGTCAAGTCCTTCCACTTTCCCAGTGCTTTCAGGCATCTTTCCCTCTCAGCCCTCACCCCCACTCTCAGCTTGGAAGGAAACCTGGACTGTCCGGCACCTTGGGAAGTCCTTCTGATGTGAAAGAATCCATACAAGTATACATTTGTAATATAGTGTATTTGAAAATAGAAGGGAGATTCTCTCTTGGTGTCCAGGCCAAAAATTCCCCAAAGAAAATTGCCCACTCACTTCATGAACTTTGCTGGAGCGCTAATTAGCTCATGTGTTCACCCACCAAACACCCAGTCACTGCAATTTACAGTACATCCTGTGAACATTTTGGGATAAGCTCCAGACATGAAAGGCGTTATATCAAAAAAAGGATTGTTCGGATGATTATGTCTGCTGGAGCACCAATGAACATTTTCTGCTATTATTTCACCGTCTTTCTCAGTTTTTCCTATTGTTGATTTACACATGCAATTGATATTGATTTTGTCTTGCGCTACTAGAAAAAAAAATGTGGCAGTCCTTCGAGCCGGAATTGAACCAGCGACCTAAGGATGACTTGATACGTGTTCCACTACAGTCCTCCGCTCTACCAGCTGAGCTATCGAAGACATAAAGAGTCTACACTGGAGTGCAGCTTTGCAGTTTTGCTAATAGGATGGGCTGGTGCTGAATGGAATAATTTCTAAACAGCACAATTGATATTGATTGAATGTTGCCCTACCATTTTGCTCAACAGTAATGTTTGTGACGTTCTGGCTCATGACAATGGATCGTAAATTTTAATTGCCAGTTACTAGGGTATCAGCTATTCTGATTAATCCAATGTAGTGCTGGGGGAGCGTTGTATTGTTGGAGGTGCCATCCTTTGGATGACACACTAAATGGAGGCCCCATCTGCCTGTCCAGGTTACGTTAAAGATCCTATGGCACTATTTGAAAAGAGAAGGGAGTTCCTCCCAGTGTCCTGTCTACCAACCCCCAAATAAAATTGAACATTCACTCCACGCTGTTTGCGGGACATTGCTATGCACAAATTGGCAGCTGCGTTTGCCAACAAAATACACAGTCCCTCCACTTTACAGTATATCTTATGAAGGGCCTTGAGGCATCCTCCTGACATGACAGGCAATAATATGAAATGAGTGAATTATTACCACATTAATTTGCTACCAGGCATGGAGAGCTCAGCCATTTGAGGAAGCTGATAATGAGCAGAGGTGAAGCACGTGCAGGTATTAATCTGCATTGGGTCAGTGCTTATGTCATTTCACATGCATACTACTTCAGCCTCAGCACGCAGTGGATCTTCTGCAATTCCCCACAGCCACCTGACCTGCTGATATAATTAGCACTCAGCATTTAAATATAATTATGTGGAAGGCTAACCCAATCCAAGGCACCTAGAGTTGGTCTTCAGGTGCTGAGTATTCAGGGTGAGGGGACAGAATGGTTCCTGAGTGATTGAGTACATGGACCTGCAGTGTCGAGGAAGCCAATCCCTGAAAGAAGAATACTGTGGGTTTGAGGTTCGATAAGTTTTCTGAAGTGTCCTTGATATAATTTTTGGGAGGAGGGGGATCAAGAGAAAACTTGGCAGAGACCTTTCCTCTAGCTGCACTGAGTTGGTGATCAGAGCAATAATAAATAACAATTATTATGATTATAATTATCCTTGCATTTGATGTAGTGCCTTACCACATCATTGGGACGTCTGAAAGCCCTAAACAGGATATACTGTAGAAGTTTGACTGTTTTGTTCTGTATATTTTGTGAGCGAAACACCACAGTCAGTATGCGCACAGCAATGTCCCACAAACAGCTATGGAGTGAGTGATAGATTTTATTTGGGGGTTTGTTGGCCAGGACACCGGGAGAAACTCCCTTCTCTTTTTGAATAGTGTCATGGGGGTCTTTAACGTCTACCTGAACAGGTGTCCTCGGGATAATGTATCACCCAAAGCACCTCCAATAATGCAACACATTCTCAGCACTGCATTGACGTGTCAGCTCAGACTATGTGATTCAAATCCCAACGTGGGGTTTGAACCCACAACCTTCTGAGTCAAAGGCTACTACTGAGCCAGACTCACACAAGATAAATGTGGAAGAGGAGTGGCTAGTATTACCAAAGAATTTCCTTGTGGAGTCTGGGTTGAGTCTGAGGAGTATTTTTCAATAGTCTGGTGATTTCTCATCCAGGTCATTATCCTGTGATGCTCTTTCGTTCATAAGCCTCATAAATCCTCTGCCTGATTAGCAATAAGGCACAGAGAAGGATTTGCCTTTTATGGCAAGCTTCATTGCATTTATGTTACGTATCCCTGGTCAAGTCCCCTCAAGCACATGTTCTCACTACTGTTCTGTGCGTCACGTTCCAGTGTAACATTTATGCTTCTATTTCAAACTTTTAAAGCAACAGGCTGTTTCCCTTTCCTGAATCATAGAAATGTACGATACAATACAGCCTTTCAGCCTATTTGGCATGTTGGTGTTTGCTCCTCCTCAAGGCCATCCATCCTAATCTCAATTCTCTTCCCTGTATCCTCAGACACTCTTTCTCTGCTTGTGCTTGTCCAACTTTTTACTACATGCTCCTATCAATACTCTTCCAATAGCCATCCCTGGCAAATCATTCCACACCCGGACAAAGCCTTTAGGAGAAATTCTTCCAAACCTCTCCTTTTATTCACCAGGTCAGTTCTTCAATTCCTGTCCTCTTATCCTGCAATCTCCTACCAGCAGAAAAAGGGTTTTCAAGATTAATTTGCTCAAAGCTTTTCGCTCTCTGGTCCATCAAGAAGAGTCCTAATCTCTCGAACCTTTCCTCAAAGTTATATTATTTAGTCTCTGGTATCATCCACCTGAACCTATGTTAATATCCTTTCTATAATGTGACACCCAAAACAGCAAACAATATTCCAGTTGGAGATGAACCAATTACTTCTACAACGTGCTTACTTTTGTATTCAATGGCTCTGTATATAAAGGCAGAATGATATCTTCGGCAAGTTCCTTACTCCATATGCCTCTGTTTACCTAGCAGTAAGTAGGAACTTTCCTATTAGTCGTTTGGCGGATCACTGTCTGGAGGTAATAATCCCTTCAAAAAATGTTTTAAAAATAATAAGAATAATCTGGTCACTCAATCTACGACTGTTTGTGGCACACTGCTATGCACAATTGGCTGCGCCTTTCGCCCACAAAATACTGTCAATTCACTTTACAATATATTCTATGAAGCGCTCTGGTCCAGAATCCTGTGTGCCCTCTTAACGGGCTTTCTATCTGCAATCCCACTTTTAACAAACTAGATATTTGTATCCCAGGACCGCCCCTCTTCCTCCACTTCATTGCCAATGGATAAATTAAAGAGATGGCTGTGTGGTTCAAGGGCTGTCTAAGTTCTCTCGTATATAAGACTGTATTCCAATTAGAATAATTGTAGAAAAAGTCCTAATTGACACTAGGTAGCACCAGCCATCTCTTTAAAATATCTGTTATAAGCAGTTACTTATAGGAGTCCTGTAGCTCAGTGGTTAGAGCACTCGCCTCGCAAGCGAGAGATCTGGGTTCAATTCTCAGGCAGGGCGAAACGTTGGGCAAGTTTTCTTACTCCTGTTTACCTAGCAGTAAGTAGGAACCAGGTTGTTAGACGATTGGTAAATCACTTTTCGGGGGTAATAATTCCTTAAAAAATAAGTAGGTCACTCAATCGACGACTGTTTGTGGGACACTGCTATGTGCAATTGGCTGCCGCATTCACCCACATAATATACAATCAATTCACTTTACAGTATATTCTGTGAAGTGCTTTGAGACGTCTCGAAGACGAGATAAGGTGCTATATCAAATGCAAAGATTATTATTATTACTTGGCCAACAAGCCTCCAAATAAAACTGGTCAATCACTTCATGGCTAATGAGCATTGTTACAAGTTTTCAAAGGGGAAATCGCAGTATCGGTTTTAATGGCACAGCAAACATCAATTAAACAACTCTGATTGAGGGAGGGCTGCTTGGTCAGGCTTTTTAAACATATTGGTAAGAACTGGAAAAACCCTTATAATTTATAGCCGTTATGTGTCGAAAAATATTATGTGGGAACTGAAAGAGGTTCTAGACCTTTTAGAGGGTAGCAGTGAACAAAGAGTCAAAGCAACAACACCTCTAGCTGTAATGGTTATTCTTTTTTGTCCAAGCACTTGTATCAAAGTTGTACTGTAGAATCTACCATCTCTGTGAATACCTGTAGAATTAAAATTTAGTGGAAAACCGCTGACTGATTCAGTCTTTATAATTACAAAAAAAAGTTGTTGTTGAACCTTTTTGTTTCTCTAATTTGTGAGATGCCTCCGAACCAAGATTATTTGGCAGCTTGTTTAACCTGATTCAGCAGATCTTTACTTATTTGGAAATAATAAATTTTAATACATAACTGCTGTATATGAATTATATGGGGTTTCCCAATGTTTTAAAAGGTCACGCTTTTATTATATAACCCCTGTTGCTGGTAAATGTCTCCTTCAGGACAGGGATTAGCGCGGATTTCAAACTGGATTAAGAAACGATTAGGCATTTCAAAAATAAAAATAACAAATTAGTCAGTCAGTTCATCAATATTTAAAGAAGTGTGAGCAACCCAGAGAGCTGACCAAGCTTACGAACAGAAAGACACAAGAGTGATTTACAAGCAATACCAGCTGCTCTTTCCAACAGACTCTTAACTTTCCAGTTTGCAACAGGTAGGTTTCTGGGAATAGATCCATTTGAATTTTTACTGATGATCTCTTTCAATTTTCTAGATCTGCTGCTTATCTGTCTTCAGATTTTACAATGTGCGGAAGTTGCAGAATGTAGAAGTGCTTTATCTGTAGTTTTTAAAAAAGGAAACTTACAAATATAGTTATTGTGTAACAGGACTGAAACAGATGAACCTACAAGCTGGTAGCATAAGAGAATGTCTGTATGAACGACATCCGGATTGAAGCACATTTACACAGCAGCACTGCACTTTAATAATAATAATCGTTGCATTTGATATAGCGCCTTATCATGTCATCGAGACGTCTCAAAGCACTTCACAGAATATACTGCAAAATGATTTGACTGGGCGAAACAAAATCAAAGTCAAGTATTTCTGTTTTTCTACAGAATGGACTATTCCAAATTTATCCTTCTGACAGTTCTTGTCGCATTTATTGAGGAATCGCTGGCCATCTCCTGTTTGGTGGATCAATTCAGTGTGAAGGACGGTTTTGATCCCAAGAGGGTATGTCACCATGTTTCTCTTTATTTAAAGTCCAAATGCTGGAGATAACTATGGATCTGCATTTATTGTTTATTTTTTTAATTATTTTGTCAGTGATAAAGTAAGCCAAGATTATACTGATTATTGTAAACTGTGCTCAGTTATAAACAGAAAACAATTTATATTCTGAATAAATGTAAATTTTTCATCACTTAACTGTGAATCTAGAGGTAGCAAAGAGACAGCAGATTTATTGTGAGATGTTTAATATAATAACTCTTGTTGTGTCACATCAATTATGCTGTTTAATCTTTCTGCTATACTTGTATTCATCTCAGTTTGATCTTTTGTGTTGTCCAGTGTGAAATGCACATTATAATGCTGCCAATTTCTCAGAAGGAAACAACTGATGTTTGTAGTTTGGTGCTTCTGGGAGAGGTTGTAGTGTGAGCAATTTGGTGTGCAGCTACTTGTTTAAACATAAAGCAGAGATTGAAATGTAACCATTGAACCATAGACGTTTACAGCACAGAATGAGACCATTCAGTCAATCATGGCTGCACTGCCTCTCTGGAAGAATTATTTGATTAGTCTCATTATCTTGCCTTTTCCTCCAAATATTTCTCCTTTATCAGATATTTATCTAAATCCCCCTTAAAAACTAAGATAAATTTTGCCTTGACCACCGTCCCCAGAAGGGCATTCCTAATGGTGTAAAAAAAAATCTCCCAACCTATACCTTTGGTCTTTGGCACTTACTTTAAGTCTATTCCCTTTAGTATATGTAATTTATTGTTGTTATTGACTCAGCATTTGGTAAAAATAATTTCTCCTCGTTCATGTTGTCAAAAACCCTCAAATTTTAAAAGTAGGCAAAATACTTATGTTTCTAAAACTAAAAAAAGAGCTGACTCTGTTGATTTGTTTCTGATGTTAGAAATTCACCTGTTAGATGCCTGTGACCAGCTATGTGTGGTTACGTGTGTATACGTGACCTCTGCCTTCTCAGCTTGAAGAGTCGGTGTGACTGGGCAGTGTAACTATAACTGTCTGGTCTCAGAGTTGCTCCCAATACAGCATTGCATTATGTATCAGAGGTGAAGTGTCAGAAAGGTCACATCTGGCAGGCAGTGACTGCCAGACACTATAATCCCTGCAATGGTGGGAAAGACTAAACAAGGGTGACTCGGAATAATATTTTTAGATAAACTAAGGTAGCAGCCCAAGAGGGAATGGTTAAGACTTCTGAAGAGCAACAGATGAAGAATTAGTTATTTACACAGATGATAAATTACAACAACTGGGATGGGTTGTCAGAAGAGTGGTTGATGCCAGGACATTGAACCGCTTTAGAATATTGATATTGTAATGAGAAGACAGATGGGTGGATATTCAGGAAGCATGAAATCAAGAGACAAAGGATTTTCTTCATCCAAACCTTTCACGTAATAGACTTTGTGCACAGCAACTGAAGAGAAATGTTATATATTCAGGAAAATAGGTTTTGGGTTTGATTTGTTACATAACCAGAGTTTGTCTATTCCGTTGACTGTAGTATTCTGGAAAGTGGTATGCGTTGTTAAAGAAAGACCCAGAGGGGCTCTTCCTCCAGGACAATATCTCAGCTGAGTACTTTGTGGATGATAAAGGCACTATGACAGCTTCTTCAAAGGGAAGAGTGAAACTTTTTGGGTGAGTCATAACTTTAAAATAAAAAATCACAACCGACCCAGGACAGGCTGTGTTTTTTTCAAATGTGTGGCATTTTATCACGGGTTCTGTGTTATAAGGAAAGCATAATGAAACTGTGCCGATTTCACCCATATATAGTACACCTTTCTCCACCCAATAGCTTAATTTTAAATGGCGCACAGGGCTAATTCTTTGGTGAATCTAAATGTCAATGGGATCACCTTGCACCACTATTCAATGGATGAGCATTATGGTTTTCGTTGTGTTTCGATCCTACAACTTGTAAAATTATAGGTGTGTAACATTAGAATTGATTTCTAAAGCGCAGTTCCTGTTCAGAACTTTAATGTCATTTGACATGCCCATTTGATCGTGATTGTTCACACCAATATTTTTCTTGCTTTATTTACCCCAGGATTTCATTGATACTTTTCACCTCTTTAGGTTCCACTCTCCCTTTCCTGAGCAACAAATGCATAATTAGAGTGAGGACTGTTATCTAGTAGAATTGGTGAGAATAGTAGAGCCTGCAAGTGTGAAACCTGAATACTGGGAGCAATTAATTGGTGAGGGAGTGCACACAAAACAAATACACGTCAGGCAGCAAGCCTGGTTATATAGAGGGAGAGCAAAAGCAACCCGTGACAGTGTTTTTAAGAAAAAGCCTACTTGCTGTGAAATCATCTTTTGAAACTATTGATAATCTTTATGTTCTGCTGTATTATTTTCTTTTATTTATTTTACTTACATTCAGTACCATGTATATATAGTTTCTCATCCATAGCAATTTATTAATGAAACTATTATTATTGGAAAACGCTCAAAGTGGTGAGATTGTTGATATTTTTGGCTTGATTCAATTCGTACTGAGGCCAATTGGAACACCCCAAATGTTGCCGTGGCTAAGATCAGCTAACTCAGCACAGTATGGGATTTGAACCTGTGACTTATGATCTGTACGTTCCACTTCTAACTCGGCAGTGTCTTCACCCACCGGGTCCTCAGGGAAGTTAGCTTTAGAAATATTGGCTACAACAGATACCATAGCCTTGCCATTTTATTTGTAGCTAAATAGTTGAACATTTATTGGCAGGTTCTGGGTGATCTGTGCAGATATGTCAGCTCAATACATAGTACCTGACCCTGGCACGCCAGCCAAGATGGAGATGGCTTACCAGGGACTTGCAAGCTACTTGTCTAGTGGAGGTAAGTGATTTGCAACATTTGTGGATTTACATATACATCATTTTTTTTACATTGCATAACAATTTCATGCAAAAATTGATCCATGTAATTCATTATTTAATTCATATTGAATTTAAATCCATTAAAGCCACTACTTCAACTTTTCAACGGTTGGCTTTTCTAGTTTTGCTTTATCCACACATTAATAACAATAATAATCCTTGCATTTGATATAGCGCTTTTCATGTCTTCTAAACGTCTCAAACGCTTCACAGAATAGACTGTAAAATGAATTAACTGTATACTTTGTGGGCGAAACCTGGCAGCCAATTGCGCACAGCAGTGTCCCACAAACAGTCGTGGATTGAAGTGACCAATTTATTATTGTTTTTTTTCTTGAGGGATTATTATCGGGCGTGTGGAGTAAGGAAACTTGCCTAAGGTTTCGCCCTGCCTGGAAATCGAACCCAGGTCTCTCTTGCCAGACGAGTGCTCTAACCACTGAGCTACAGGACTCCTCAGTAACACAGAGATTTGGAACGCTCTCCTGCCCCTCCAAAGGAACCCTTTAAACCAAAATGACAAGCATACATGGGATATGGTTAACCTAGCATTAAGTGGAATCATTGGGCACTTCATGGATTACTTATAATAATAATCCTTGCATTTGATATAGGATCCTATCACGTTATTGAGATGTCTCAAAGCGCTTCACAGAATATATAATAAAGTGGATTGACTCTGCATTTTGTGGGCGAAACACAGCAGCCAATTTTGCGCAGTAATGTCCCACAAACAGTCGTGGAATGAGTGACCAAATTATTATTATTATTTTTTAAAGGGATTATTATCCCCAGGAAGCGATTCACCAACCGACTAACAATTGTGTTCCTACTTACTGCTAGGTAAACAGGCGTCTGGAGTAAGGAAACTTGCCTAACTTTTGGTACTGCCGGGAATCAAACCCAGGTCACATGTATTTCAGTCAAGATACCAAATATTGAGTAATGTTTGGTTTTGCTCTGTGCAGGTGACCAATATTGGGTTATTGACACCGACTATGATAACTATGCCATTACATATGCCTGCCGCAGACTGAAGGATGATGGAACCTGCGATGATGGCTATGCCCTTATCTTCTCCCGCAACCCACGTGGGCTCCCATCAACCATTCAGCGCATTGTCCGTCAAAAGCAGGAGGACATCTGTCTCTCTGGGCAGTTTGAACCAGTTCTCCAGTCTGGTGAGTACCACAACATTCAGATCCAATAAAAGAGCGGAGTTGAAGCTCAGTTTACGAAGTAGCTTCTTCTTGAGTAGACTTTGGCACATGAATTACTGTACTGTCACGATGATTGACTTTTGCATTACATGAGTTCCAAAGACTGGACAGCACTGAAACTGGCCACTCGGCCTAGTCCATTCCGATATTTATACTGCACACAAGTCTCCACCCATTCCTTACTCCTTCTAATGCCCTCTCTCATGTGTGAAGGTCTAACTTCATCTTGAATATATCTACACTATCTGATTCAACCACCGCTTCAGGCAACAGGTTCCACAATCTCATGACTCTCTATGTAAAGTAGTTCCTCCTAAATTCTTTTTTAGACCCCCTAGTCGCTATCTTAAGTTTGTGTCCGCTGGGTACGGATTCACCCAACCAGTAGAAATACCCTGTTTATGTCAGCCTTAGTGAACCTTTTTAGAATTTTAAACACTTGTTACGCCGCCTCTTAAACATTTCTTCTCCAGCAAAAATAGGCCTAACCTTTCCAGTCTATCCTGATAGCAGTAACCTGGTATCATCCTCATAAACCTACTCTGTACTCTTTCACTCACTACAATATGATTCTCATTCGTGTGGAGACTAGAATTGGATGCAGCATTCCTAACCAGGTTTTTGTATAAATTCAATATCACCTCCTCACTTTTATATTCTATCCCTCTGGATATGAAGCCCAAGACCCCATTGGCTTTTTTATATCCTTATTGTCTACCTGTGTAGCTACTTTTAAGAACATAGGAACAGGAAGAGGCCATTTGGCCCATCGGCTATCCCATCATTTTCCAAGATCTTGGCTGATCTGCAACTCAACTGCATCTCCCCACCCTCTCTCCAAATCCCTGGACACCCTTGTCTCTTAAACAAACATCTATTTGCCTTTTAAATTTTTCAATTGACTCTGCCTGCTCTCTGGTTTAAGCGTTAAGTCTAAGACTATGGCCTCTAGTCCTCAATTCTCCCACCAGAGGAAAGAGCTTTTCAGCCTGTTAAAAGCCTTTATAATTTTTCAATTGACTCTACCACCACTGCCCATTGTGGGAGTGAATTCCACACTCCCACCTCAGTTACACACCTGAATCAAATCACTCCTCAATCTCCTGAATTTGAGAGAATACAATCTAATGTTTTACTTCCTTTCATCATAATTTAGGCCCTTGACACCACAAATCATTCTAGCAAATCAACACTGCACACTCTCTAAGGCCAATCTATCATATCAATACACCTGATAATAATTCAAGAAAAAAACAACAAAAAAAAATTACTTAATCCACGACTGTGGGACAGTGCTGTGCGCAATTGCCTGCCATGTTTCACCCACAAAAATACAGTCAATTCACGTTACAGTATATTCTGTGAAGTGCTTTGAGTCATCTCGAAGACATGAAAAGTGCTATATCAAATGCAAGGATTATTATTATTATTGTCATTCCTAGTTGTTGGTACTCAAAATTGAGCACAAGTGAATTACTTCGCATTTTCCTACATTTGCCATCTGTCCACCCATTCTGCTAATCCGCATTCCTCTGCAGTCCCTTTCTCTGTGTATCATGTCTCCCAGTTTGGTGTCATCTGAAAAATTTGACACCACAACTGTATCTGAAGGCCAGCAGAGGCAAAGGACAAAACCATCAGTTCTTCAGATGGCTTTGTAGAATTGTTTAAAGACAGGTGGAAAGAACTAAGATTGTTAACCAATAACAAATTTTAGTGTTTAAAAACAATTTCCCCCATGACTGTATCTTAGTTGAGCTCTCATTCATTCCTGTTTCAGGTGCCTGCCCTTAAAGTGGCACTAACAAGAGGTGCTATTTATTTGAAGATGGAATGGAGAGTTTCAGCACAGAAGAACACCACAAGGATTGTAACTCCAAGCGCAACAATGTTGTAGGTCTTTTAAATTTCTTGGTCAAAAGTATTTATCACCAATCTACAGCCACATTACAATTATTTCAACTTTGCTGTAGTTATTTCTTATCAATAATGAATATGGTAAACATTTATATTAATGAGCAGATTTGCTGAAGATTTGCTGCCATGAAATATCAAAGATTGTGTGCTGGCAAAATTAAAGGACACTACAACATGGTATTTTAAATTGTAACCAAAAACGAGATTGTGTTCAGAAAAAAAATGTGTTGAAATCAAAATCCTATTTATTCCAATATAACAGTGTAATAAAACAAAATAAATTCAAAATGACATTGGTTATGAAATGCAATATTTTTATCCACACCAATTGTAGATTTGAATCTGCAGGATCACGAGATTGGTTCAGCTGAAGAAAGCCCTTCGGCCCATTGGATTTCACGTTGCGTGTCCAATCCTACATCTGGGGGAGGAGTAAGGTCTCAGGAGATAAGGCGAGACAGTTGATGCTGCTGCTCACTAAAATGGCTTGGACCCTAATGAGCAGCCTTAATTAGGGAGTACACAGTCTGAAGAAGTGCGGACAATTGAGGACCTCTATTATTGAAAGAAAATGATCTGATCACAGTACAGGGAAACTCGGTAGATAATTCCTACAAATATACATGTGTATGTGCACCAACATGTGTATGGCAGGGGTACCTTACATGTTTGGGATACCCTACCTCTCTGACCTCCTCACTCCCCAACTCACCACTGGGGCCTCCACTCGACTGGCACCAGGCTCTTGCTTGTCCCTCGCACCCTCCACTCTACCATCGGAGGTCACGCTTTCAGCGACTATGTCCCAAAACTCTGGAACATTTTCCCTCAATCCCTCCGCCTTGCCCCCTCTCTCCCCTTTTTCAAGTCCTGCCTGAAAACCTTCCTTTTCGACCATGCTCATGGTCACCTCCCCACCCTGGGCTTGGAGTCAGGCTCCGCCAATGTGATGCACTCTGAGATGCTACCCTGCGTGGAGGGCGCTATGCAAGTGCAAGTTGTGTTGTTTTGGCGAATTAGATATTTGCATCAGTTAAATTTGTATTGCTAATGCCTTTAACTTCAGTGACAACCAGTCTTTTTTGGATTTTCTTTGCCAAACTATCTTTTAAAATCTAGCACAGTTTGCAAGCTTCCATATAAAATGTATTGACTGTAAAATACAATTCAAATATTTGTACAAAAGGACAACTTCAAAATAAGGAATATTTTACATTTGCTGTTAAAATGTTTTATGATTTTGACCATTTGAGTTCTCCTTTAATACATACACACAAAACTATTATTTTCTGAGTCCATCATCGTCATTACAAATATTTTGATTAGAATTTAAAAAAAGATTTATTCAATATATTTAACAGGGTTTGAATACCCTCCAGTCTTGCCCCAGTAATCCACTGCACGAACTCGGTAGAAACCAGATACTTGTGATCGTTCTGTCAAAGAAACAAGATCAAGCTCTTGGTCAATTAAAAATTAAAGCTTTTTTTAATTGCTTAAAAAACAGAAAGAGATTTATATAGCATGTACAGCATGAAACAGACCATTGACCCAACTAGTCCATGCTAACTCTAACTACTGTTTATACTCCTCCACATGAATAGATAAGAGCGCACAGGATTTAGGATATACACCGATAAGTATTTCTTATTTCTTATCAACAGTGGTCGAGGCAGAATCCACTTTTGTTTTCAAAAGGGAAATAGTTAAAGGAGTCATCAAGTACAGGGGTATGGGGAAAGGGCAGTTAAATGGATTGCAATGAAAGGATTGCTCTTAAAGGTGCCAACAAAGACACAATGGGCCGAATAGCCTTCTGTGCCATAATTGTCTATGATTCCATAGGTTGAAGAGCCTTCTTCATTCGAATAATTTGGGAATTTATTTTTTACACTAAGTTTGTTATCTGAGCTCGAGCAGTAGAATCTCGTGTGAAGGATATTCTTCTGGAATCTGAGAACATACACTTCTCTATCAGGAAAGCTACAATTTATGCCAAGCTACACATGGGCCTCATTGCCTCATACTTTTATCAATGAAGTAAAAGTGGAAAAGACTTAAGAGGTTACAACAAATAGAATAAAGGAGAAAACCTTAATGCTAATCAAAGGAGGGTTGAAAAGATCAAAATTATGGGATTTTGTATTGCTTTCATTTCTAAGTTTGATGAATTGATCAAGGATAAAATCTATTGGTGCAGATCAGTACTCTTCCACCAGGGACAGCCTTGTCTCCAGCTACTGTGATTTGCCAGCAAACATTTTATGTTTACTTAACTGGAAAATTGAAAATAAACTGAAAGTACTAACCCTTTTTCTTGTTCAGAGGAGAATGTATAAACACAGTGAAGATGGTCGCCCTGGAATTGATCCTCTTATACACATCCCCATCGACTGAAAACTCAACTTCAAATGTTTTCAAACATCTGCATTGAACATCAAAACAGTACAGTCACCACACTCAGTCTGCAACACCACATTCAAAACAGGACAGTTAGCGCACTGACTGTAACCACATTCAAAACGAGACAGATAACCTACTAAGTCTGCAATACCAGAATCAAAACAAGATAGTTAACGCACACAATTTGTTACACACCCAAATTACAATTAATAGTGATACTCAAAATAAATTTGCCCCCTTGACAAAGGGATTATCTGTATATTGATATTTCAATTTTTACAAAAAAATTTCTCATAATTTTTCCTGAAAAGATTCAGTGTGATGCCATTTTGCAGAGCAAAATTCTAGGTAATATCATTTTATCCCATTTTACCATGGCCACTGCATCATGGTTATATATATATATTTATATAAAAATAACTTATTATAGAGAAGAAAAGTTGGTGACAAAATGCTTCAAATATCTAAAATTTCATAGCATCAACTCATATCCCAATCATACCAATAATGGAATCCATCAACATTTCCTGATGGATACCAAATTAAAATACAGCTTATACTACATTTACATTACAACCATGTGGCTGAGACAGCCTTGTGCTTGGTGATTGTCTAACAAAGGCAAGTGATCACCACCACATACGTCCGATTACCTTCAGAGGTGAATATTCATCAACCTCAAGAGGCAACAGCACCTGGAGCAATAGAACAAAAAACTCCTCCAGCCTTAGTAGCTGTCTTACCGTTGTAAATTTTATTTGCATTCTTTGTATAAAGGGAGACTGGGTAAGGTCCACACCCAGAAAATTGCCGCACACCCAATGCAGCAAGCGGGAGAGGCAAATGAAAGACTGCACCAGTCACCCAATTGCTAACAATGAAGCCACTGTATTTAACTCTCTTCTATATTATAAGCTTTATCAAGTACTCACTTTGAATTTACACATCCATCATCCCATAAAACAGCCACTTGACCCAATGTCAAAGGGATGAATCTCACACCTGTTGTCTGTGAATACAAACAAAGGAATGAGTTGTAACAATCTTTGACAACACTGTTTCTCCACCCACTAGTCAAATCCTCCTTACATTTACCATAAAGGATCCAATAAGTTAATATTCTTGTGCATAAGTTTTGCATTTATTAGCTTGACTAACCACAATAGTGACAAGCTACAATATCACTAAATTCTTCGGACATCAAAAATTAAATTTCAGACCCCATTTTTGCTGTTTTTTAAAGCAAATGCCAGAGACACAGTGACTATGGGATGACAACCCTTCAGCAGAAATGCAATAGGCTTACGTTGAGAACAAGAGAATGATACCTTTAAAACATTGATTTGTTGTAAAAATACTGTCATGAAGACAAAATGAACATTTATATAATTTTGCATTTATGACTATAATAGAAAAGCCCCACTCAAATTCTTCTTTTAAAAATCTGTTCTTAAACTGTACATAGAGATCAGCTAAACTACTGTGATGATACGAAAGGAAAAGACAACATAGATCAATATTTACCACATAACTACAATCCATATCACAATCCTGTGTAAACCAGCTAGAACATTAGAACATTTTCTTGTAAAATGTTCTCCCATGTAATGAAATCTATAAAAAGCAAACTATGCTGCACATAATAAAATATAACTGAATGACTAGGTATAAAAAACGTTAGCTACTTGTCTCTCTATGCTGTCCTTTCAAGTCACATTTAGTACTCAGAAAATGGAACTCCATATTAGTTTACGAAGCTTTACAATGAAAATACAGCACTGAAACAGACCACTCGGCCCAACCAGTCTGTGCTGGTGTTTATAATCTAGACGAGTCTCCACCCATTCCTTCATTTGGTCCCATAATCTTCTATTCCCGTCTCCTGCATGTGAAAGTCTAGTTTCCTCTTGAATGTATCTGTACTATTTGATTCAACCACCACTTCAGGCAGCAAGTTCAAAATCTCAATTCCACAACCTTCTGCGTGAAATAATTTCTCCTAAATTCTCTTTTTGATCTTACGGACTCCCCAGCCAGTGGAAGCAGCCTATTGATGTCAACCTTATTGAACTCTTTTATAATTTTAAATACTTCTCTTAGGTCCTCCCTTAAATGTTCTTCTCTAGTGAAAAAAGGCCTGACCTATGCAGTCTATCCTGATAGCAGTAACCTGCCAGCCCTGGTATCATCCTCATAAACCTATTCTGTACGCTTTCCATCACTGCTATATCCTTCCTAAAAGTCTGGAGACGAGAAATGGACACAGTACTCCAAATATGATCCAACCAAGATTTTGTATAAATTCACCATCACCTCCACAATTTTATATTCTATCCCTCTGGATATAAAGCCCATTAACTGCTATATTATTGATTGAAATCAATATATACATGGAATAAGAAGTAAATGACAACCATACAGTTTATAAGGTGTAAGTGACAACTCTTCAATTGATCACTGCTTTGCAATTCGATTACAAATCGCCACTGCAATAGTATTGGCAAATGTTACAGACTACTGTTTCAAATACATCAATGTGTACGTAAATTTGAGATTGTACAACAAGATTTCATTTGTGTATTAAATAATACCTTTCAAAATGTAAGTGAAATGACCATCTACTGATCTGGCAAGAGTGATTTAATTTGAAAATGTCAGATTATAACCTGCTTTGGAGGTTCATAAGGCTTTGCACAGATGTGCAAGAGATACACTGAGGGAACAGGAAGCTGCAGTTTCAAAGTCAAGTTGCCTTCTAGAGGGAATGGTATTGGCCCCTCTATCACAGGATCCTAATTGAAACAAAATTACAGGTTACTCAATGCACCAGTGTGCAGATTACATTTCAAAGTACACAAGAAACACATATGCAAAACTTAATTTTAGTATGCTTTCAATGGTGATAATTATAGGTTTCAAATCCATCAAACCATTTCTTAATCCTTAATATTCCCAATATAAACATTAATAACTAATTGCGTATCAGTATTATTATTATTATTATAGTGAAAGAAAAATCTGTGTGTTGAATGCTATCATTCATTGGAACCTGTTACACCATCCTGTTTTACCTCACCTCACTGCTCAAGAGGGTTGGCAAAAGCTATTTCATTTTCCTAAATCTCTACTTTTAATCACTAACCATACCTCCATTCCTCTGATACTGCAAAACTGCTCCACTGTGGGGAAAACAGGGCTTCCCAGATTCTTCCACTGCTGGTATGGATTGGTATCCTTGTTGTCCAGGTGGTAGATGACATACACAAGCTCTAAAGAAAGATTAAAATTGAATGGAAAGCAATCAGTTTTGTAATGCCCTCTGGAAAGGAAGACATCAGTGTGTACTCTGTAGTTTTAGTTTACAATTTACCACAGATTTTTGGTCCATGAAATTAAATATGAAATTAAATTAAATTCTAATTGTGACTCCACAATTCTAGAAGGTTTAACAGCTAAGGATTAGAAACCTCCAACTAATTTTATCCTTCTTAGACTCTGCTTTATAATCAATAAGTAATGGTATTACCACATGCTGCTACTATATTTCAACCCAGCTCACCCAACAAGTCACCGCATGTTTTGAGGGCATTTATCACGAGTTTTGGTTTGAGAGTAAGACTCAAATGCAAGAAAATATTGGCCTAAGTTGTACTTTAACTTTTAGACTGCCATAGGAATTCCAGTCTTAGTATGTTGTCAGTTCAAGTACTGTAACTATTAAAGTAAAAAGTTGCTTAAACATCAGGGTAGTTTTACTACTACAATAATTCTAAAATACTATTTTGAGTAAAAAAAATTATTTCCCGAGTTTGCCTATAAAGTATAGTCACTACAACAACAAACAACAAAATTAGATTTGTATAGCGCTTTTCACATTGGGAGAACGTCGCAAGGCGCTGGACAATCAGTGCTTCGGATCCGAGCTGGGGGTCGGGATCGGGGAGGGTGGAGAGCAAAGGGGGAAGGAGGGTGACCGAAGACACGGTCGAAGAGGAGGGTCTTGAGACGGGTCTTGAAGGAGGCAAGGGGGCGACGCAGAGGGACTGTGGAATGGAGTTCCAGAGGGAGGGGGCAGAGTGGCAGAAGGCCCGTCCACCAATGGGGAGGGCGAGGTGTGGGACGTGAGCCTGCTGAGCAGAGGGAGTGGGCAGGGTGGTAGGGGGTTAGGAGGTTGCAGAGGTAGGAGGGAGCAAGACGATGGAGGGCTTTGAAGGTGAGAATCAGGATCCTGAACTGTATACTCTGTGTGATGGGAAGCCAGTGGAGTCGGATGAGGATGGGAGTGATGAGGTCGCGGAGCCTGGTGTGGGAGAGGACTTGGGCTGCAGTGTTCTGGATGATCTGCAGCCTATGGAGGGAGGAGTTGGCGAGGCCGACAAGCAGGAAGTTTGCGTAGTCGAGCTGGATGTTATGAATGCTTGCAAGAGGATTCGGTGGCTGCGGTATGAGACAGTATGGAGCCGGGCAATGCAGATGTGGGGGAAGGCAGAGCGGGACATGGCAAGAATCTGGGTAGAAAGGAGTTGAGGGTCAAACAAGACGCCAAGGTTCTGGACTGGTTTAGTAAGATGGAGTGTGCATCCATGGATGGTGATGCTGTCAGTGCCTGAGGGGTGGAGGCGCTGACAGGAGCCAATCAGGAGAGCCCCTGTGTTGTTGACGTTCAACTGTAGAAAGTTGGCTCTCATCCATTCTGTCAGGACAACAATGGTCCTGGAGTTGAGGGTGGAGGCAGAGAGATAGAGTTGGGTGTCATCCTTACAGTAAGTGCCCTGTGAAGCGCTCTGAGACATTTTGAAGATGTGAAATTGAGCTATATCAAATTAAAGGATTATTATTTGTACATAACATAATTTACCTGATTGGATGGGAAAATTGGTCAGGTTGACTGTCACCAAGCTAATGTTGGAGGATGTCTGATTGTCATCACTGTTGTAAATGAGTACCGTGGACTGCCAACTATCTGATGTATCTGAATTTAAAGGCATGTGAGAACTTGCCAGTGCTCCCAAAGTGCTGTTCCAATCTACAGCTTGTCCACTGAGTAATATTTCTACAGCAAGTTGTTTCTCACCTGTATAAGAAAGAGAACAATGTAGAAATCTTTGGTTATTACAATCCTAGTGAACCACCACAGAACATATTTTGCCCCATTTAGACATAGGATTAAATTACAAAATAAGACTAACTGAATGATATCAAGAAAAAGAATGGTTGTCAATGTTTAAAGAACATTCTCTCCTAACAAAACCACCATCAAAGTTTTGAAATTTGGCAAATTATAATCAAAAATGGTTATCCTCAACTATTTTCTGGATATAGAACATATGTTCTCAGTATCATTTCCATAGTATAGCACTGATGAATATTATTTACAATTTAATAGTTCTTTTTGAGGTAGAGTCATGTTACGAATAATGTTGCTCGTCTCTAAATTAAGAAACATCTATTTTTAATTATTTTAATACACTAAATCTACAGGTTCAAACACAAATCTCCTATCATAGCACCATCCAAGAACTGCTGTGGAAGTCCCCTGAAGTGGCAGATAAACAACAGGCAGCATTTGAATCTTGAATCCAATGAGAATAATAATAGAATTGTATGGATTCATTATTTTCTGCTCAACCCCCATGATCAACTGACCCTCTCCTGCCCATAATTTGGCAAACATCATCCTGAACTAAGAACATTAGTTGGACACATCATAAAATGGCTAGTGTAGAAAGTAACAATTCACACTAATGTAATGTAGTCATTTTACAAGCACTTTTATGTTCTAATTGGATTTATGGATTAAGTTACTTCCCAACTTTTTGTTTGGTAATATCTTCATATTTTCTTGAACAGTACATTATCAGTTACGTAGTACTTGTCTATTATATAATTCCCCCCACTATCCAAATAAAATCTGACATGTGATTTCATCTGTAACCTTTCCAGTGCCCTTCTCTAGGTTTTACAGCTGAAGAGGATTAATCGCCATTTCAATCCGTAATATCCCATTCAGTTATAAGATTATCACATTAACCCTTTAACAAAGTTGTCAGCAAATTATCCACCTTTTTAAGCCATGGTGAAAATTGCTGATAATCAATTGGAGCATTTTTCAATGTTCCTCTGATTTTGGACTTCTTCAGATTATAGTTCTTTGATTTTGAGCGTATTCACCTCATTCTCTCCAATACCTATGACTGAGAAGGTAAGCAACTTACACAAGGGGTTACTGTACCATTAAACATAAAAGTGCTTGTGAAGAGTTGCCAAGCTCCAGTACACACAACCTATTATATATAGTCTTGTTCATGTAGGTAAACAAATTCCTGTCCAGCACTATCTCATGCTTATAAAGTCATTCCAACAAATTTATCATCATTGTTGAAAATCACTACGAGAAATCACTTTTGAGAAGTGTTCAACCATTTTATTTAGTGAACTGTCAGTTACCTAAACTGAAAGGCTGATCCTCAGAAGATACTGCACAAAGAGAAAAACAGTGAATGAACTGAATAGCCTCTTATTTTTAACAGCAGGAATAGGTTATCAGGAATGGTAGTAAGATGCCATAACACTGGACTTATTTAGAAAAAACACTTGTAGCTGTATTAGGAAAATGACAGAATGCGTAATCTGAAAGGATGAGATCAAATGGGCAGAGAGGTTCACCTCAGTCACAAGATTAAAAGTGAGGTTCAGGTAAAGAAGGCCCTTCGGCTCATTTGATCTTCCCATCCTTTCATTGTACCTACTGTTTTTTTATACTATTCCAAACTCCTGGCCTCAACCACTCTTCCCCATAACCGGTTTCAGTCATTAACTACCCTCTTGGTAAAGAAATACTTCCTGGTGTGTGTCCTGAAATTGCCCTTTGCAATCCGAAGGCTATGTCCTCTTTTCGTACTGTTTCGGTGTTGTCTGAAAGTGTGTTTACTTTCTCAATCCTGGTTAAAATTGTATATACCTTCATAAGGTTCCTTCATTGATACTCCAAAAGATGAATATAAAATTATAATTGATGTATAAAGAGTTCTAGTCATTTTACTTCTTTGCTGTTAAACAAGCTTAAACGTTTTAAAACTATTTTCCACAATTCTAGAGGACTTATAACACAACATCCAATAAACCCAGGCAAATAAAATAAGTACATCACATTAACATAAAGAATATATAGTTTGGTTAATCCATTAATAAAATGTCATGTTTTTACTTCTTAGCAGGGACTTTAACAATTGAGAAAAATGTGTCTTATTATTTCTCTATGATGCTGGATAGATAATTATTTCAGGTATTACTCAGTATTATATTTAGAAGTAAATTGCATTCTAAGAAAGGGACTTTTCTTTACCATTTCTGGCACCAATTAAATTTCATCCAACAAATCATTCAAAAATTAATAAATCAAATACAAGGACTATTATATTATATAAGGTTGTGATCAGAGAGGGGTTCTTTGAAAACCTTTTTTAAAGTTTTGGAATAAGAATGGACTAATTATATGTGTAAGTGTATAAGTCTCACACCAAATGTGATCTGTTCTGCAGCTATTTCCTTTCCATATGAGGTACTGCATGCACTGGGAGATGTGCTATAGTCACAGAATAAGAACACTGGGACAAGAAGAGGCCATTTGACCTACCAAACCCAAACTACCATTTTGTTAACTCATGGCATTTCTACCTTTCTAATAGTATGTCCCTTTCCTTTCTCCATCTCTCTAAATACCTTTACAACAACAAGATTCCATTTAATGAGCGCCTTTCACATCAGGAGGACGACCCAAGGCGCTGGACAGTTGGGTCAGGACCCGAGCAGGGGGGAAATGGTCAGGGTGAGGGGAGGGAAGGGAGGGAGCGAGGAGGGGGTAGAGAGTCGAGAGGGGAGCTGAAGGCTCGGTCAAAGAGAAAGGTCTTGAGACCAGCCTTGAGGGAGGAAAGGGAGGAGGCGGCGAAGCCACTGGGGGATAGAGTTCCAGAGCCTCGGGGCTGAGAGGCTGAAGGCCCGGCCACCGATGGTAGGGCGGTTGGGGCGGGGGATGTGGAGCAGACCGGAGCCAGAGGAACGGAGGGTACGGGCAGGTAGATAGGGGGTTTACATGCTACATACTCATCTATCTTCCTATTAAACATCACATCACCTTTTGAATCAATGCAATCCATATCTGTATGACTTTCTGTGTGAAGAAATGTTTTCCAGATTTACTTTTAACTGGTTTATCTCTGAGTTTAGAATTGTGGCTACTGTACCCACCATACACTGGCCTTAATCACATTGTAAATAGCTTAAAGTGACAATATCCTCTCTCAAAATTCAGAAACACCCAGCCACATAACCCTCTCTGGCCCCGGGCAGACCTGGAATGGTCCATTAAAAATGCTAAATGTTAGAAAATAAATGCATGCAAACCTATATTATATGCATTACAAAACAGATCTCAAAATGTGTACTTCGGGACCTTTCTGCTCATGCATGAATAATTGCTGGTAAACAGTGTTTTATCTTTTCAAGTACACAAGGGCTGAAAACATGCTGCTATCAAACTGAACCACATTTTCAGTACATTTAGTTAGAACATGCATTGTGATGCAAAAGGTTTTTGCCTCTCAGTAACCGTGAAATGATCCGAATGCTGATGTGGTGGGGTACTGTAAATATTTGATGGGTTAGGTCAAGGTTAAAGCTTAAATCTAGAGAAAAAATACCACAGAAATAATTTTGAAGATTAACCCTAAAAGTGTCCATCAACAAAAAGAGTACTGTTGTGGGTTCTGGCGTGAATAGTCACTTTAAATACTGATTATGTGAATAGCTTACCATAAATGTAGAGACTTAACACAAGCAGACATCTTAAGGAGGTTTTTCTACTTACCCAATAATCCCAATAATCCCATTACTGTGAGCACTGGTTTACGAACCATCTGTACATGGGGAGGCTTTGTGTTGTTCATTTGAAACCTTGCATTCAGAGTTCTCTGTGTAAAGTAATTTGGGTAGTAGTTCAGGAAAGCATTGTCGTTGCTAAGTAATGCAAAGTTGAAGTTTAGTGGATTGGCCATCAGCAGATTTTGGTGCTGTGCTATTACCTTGTAGAAAACAAAGCAAAAACAGGTCAGCCAAAGGTTATGACTTGATAGGCTCAATTAAATCTCTGCAACAGTCATCAATTAGGAATAGTAAAGGGGTAGAGCACATCCAAGAATAGGATTCTACATGCAATAAAATAAATTTGAATAGATTGATCTACGTCCTCCATCCTTCGGATGAAGCATTAAACCGAGGCCCCATCTGTCTGTTCAGGTGGATGTTAAAGATCCCATGGCACTATTTGAAAAGGGAGTTTCTCCTAGTGTCCTGGCTAACAGTCCCCCAAATGGTCACTCACTCCATGGATGTTCGTGGGAGATTGCTGCGTGCAACTGGCTGCCATGTTTTGCCCACAAAATATACAGTCAATCAATATATCCTGTGAAGCGCTTTGATATGTCACAACAATGTGATAAGGCGCTATATCAAATGCAAGAATTATTATTTTGTCTGCTTTTGTAAGGTTCATGAGGCCAGAGCTCTTTTTACATAAAATATATATTGGCAGGTATGTTGCACGTGTGGCAAGTGATGATAGATGATTAATGCTGTGCCCACAGTTGTTTACCTTATACATTAATGATCTTGACTTGGTATAGAAGGGTATATAAGGAAATCCTGTTATAATGTGCTTGTGTGAATCCAAAATCTCAGAGGTCATGTTACGACAAAGCACGGAAAAGATGGCTGATTACTGAATCATCAGCTAAATCAAGCGAGACACCTGGGTTCAATTCCAGGCAGGGCAAAACCTTGGGCAAGTTTCCTTACTCCACACAGAGCCTAATAATAATCCCTCCAAAACCAAAAACAATAATAAATTGGTCATTTCAATCCACGACTGTTTGTGGGACACTGCTGTGCACAATTGGCTGCTGCGTTTCGCCCACAAATATACAGTTAATTCACTTTACAGTCTATTCTGTGAAGCGCTTTGAGACATCGCAAAGTCGTGAAAAGCGCTATATCAAATGCAAGGATTATTATTATAATCAGATGTTACTTTCTGTGCATTGCGCAAATGTATGCAAAACACAGAAAGCATCCCTGAGGTCAATTACTTTGTGCTGCACATGTGTGATAAAGTGCTGCTGTTATGACTTCTTTCGTGAAATGACAATCACACAGCACTTCCTGCATATAGTACACATATAGGAAATGACATTAGCAACAATCAGATGATCTAGAAGTTAGCCTTTCTTTACCCAGCCTATTCATCACCAAAAGCAATGTGTACTGCGATTAATGCATGTCCACTGCACACCAGTGCTATGAAAGTCAAACCAAAATGGTATTGGGAGATTCATAATGGGGCTTACACTGTATATCCAAGTTTACAAATGAAGAAAAATGCAGAGGTTTGCAAGAGGTACACATTAAAAGATTAGGCTGACAAGTGGTTAGAATTATGATAAATGCAATTCAGTATAGCCAAATGCGAAGTAAAGCATTATGGTCATAAAAATTGGAGGTGGAAGTAGATTCTAGAGGGAACAGATTAACAAAGGGTCTTGGGTATATTAGTGAATAAATCACTAAAACAAATACACAAGTATAGAGTGCCATTGGCAAGGCAAGTTGAATGCTGGGATTCCAAGCCAAAGGTAAAGAACTTAAAAGCAATGAGGAACTGTTGAAGTTATACAGATCACTGGAGAGACTGCACTTGAAGTATTAGTTGCAAAATTCAATGCTACATTACACGAAGGTTTATGAACTCCATCCCCCAGTGCCTTCGCCTTGCTTCCTCCCTTTCCTCCTTCAAGGCCGGTCTCAAGACCTTTTTCTTCAACCGTGCCTTCAGCTCCCCTCTCAACTCTCTACCCCCTCCTCTCTCCCTCCCTTCCCTCCCCTCACCCTGACCATTTCCCCCCTGCTCGGGTCCCGATCCAACTGTCCAGCGCCTTGGGACGTCCTCCCGACGTGAAAGGCGCTCTATAAATGCAATCTTGTTGTTGTTGTTGTTGTTGTTGTTAACTTTGTAGAGAGTGCTGTGTCTATATCTCTGTATTTTTCAACTGTCCTCGTCATAATTTACAACAGCTCCTAGTCTAGTGGCATCCACAAATTTAGAAATAATCCTCTCTATTCCTGTATCCAGGTCATTGATACATACAGTGAAACGCTGAAGCCACAGCACTAATTCCGAGGGACACCACCTATCACTGTCCACCAAATAGAGAACTTCCCTTTTATACGAATTATTTCTCCCTTATCTCTCAACCGATTTCCTATGTATGACACAATATTGCCTTGAACGTAAATGCCTTAATTTGCTTGGTAATATGTTTTCATTTTCACAGAAAACATAGCTAAAATCAATAACACGTGTACAACCACAGTACATAAACTGGTAACACAAGGTAAGAACACACCAGCTGTTCTGGCTATTTGCATTCTTACGAGCAGCTGGACACTCCTTAAATAAGCTCCTCTTTACACAACAAATAAACCGTTTAAGAATAACAAATTTGATTGGCATGGGGAGAGGCTTAGATTTAGACAGTATCACAAACAACTAGCATTTGTATAGCAACCCTCAGGCAGGGTAGCATCCCACAAATATAATAATGCATATGTGAGTCTTTAATGTAGGGCAGCAAAGCCTTCAATCCCCATATAAAAGACAATATTTTCCAACAGTATTGAAGGTGATGCCATTGTGAATTCTGAAATTTACCTGACCCTACTTTATCCTATAAACATTGAACTAATTATATTCACAGTAAGCTGATGTTCTGACTGCCACAAATAGAATTTTGGTTCCTGGCCAGTGTAATTTGCACAAGGTGGTATGAGAAAACTGTTAAATATAGTACTTAAAACTGAATGAAAATCAGATATATTGCATCTGACATCATAGTTCCTGACGGCAGAGAAAGTAAATGGAGACAAACAGCAGAAAGCCTAAACGTTTTGCATTCCCATTTCATGTCAAGTGGCAAAAGTTTCCCCCCCACCCCCACAGGTCATGAGATTTCATCAATTTTGTTTTGCCATCCTCCTCCAAGAAACAAAAAGGTGAAGTACTCTGAACTACTTTGAGTCGGCTTTAACACTGCTCCACTTACAGATGTACACATAGATTTTTTTTAAACATAAATCTTAAATCATCAGTGCACATTAACACTCAGTACTACATGATCTCTCAGCTCTCAAAACACAGATAACACCCTAAAACAAGGGAGTCATTTTTTGGGGTTAACCTGGTATTAATGGGACCCATCCAGAGTGGGATTCTGTATCAATTCTGGACTGGATCTGAAATAACTTGCTTAAAAATGGCTTACTCAATTTCACGAGGCCACTTCAGTCAAGTCAAACAACAGAAAAGGCAGGTGTCCCTAATGAAACACTTTCAGTGGTTCATAGCCATTTCTATGTCATGCCAAGTTATCTTGACCTCTCAGCATAATTTCCTTCCTGAGTTTGCAGTAAATTTAGGATTAGTGAAGCCAGACTGAAACTATTCATAGGTAGAATGGAATACTTAAAGAAAGCAGTTTGAATGGGAGTAAATGTTAACAATGGACACCAGTATCTACCTTGGCAACTATAGCAGCATATGTCACATCTGCCCTCCATGTTTTAGGAATTGACCAACCTACTAGCGGATCAGCCTCATCATTGTAAATTGGAATAGGCTTAAAGTTAGGAAAAAGTTCCAGGATCTGTTGAACTGTATCCATTTCTTGTTCTAAGATGTGGTACGAGCTGCCTCCACCCTGTGAAAATAAAATGTTATATGTAAAATTGCTTCATTTTGTATAATGTGTTATATTATATTTTTCTTAAACATGTTACTCTTGTCTGTACCACACCAGCTATACAATTCTGACTATTGAGAAGACCTTCTTCAAATATTGGGGTCGTACGCAATTAACAACAACAACAACTTGGATTTATATAGCGCCCTCTACGCTGGATGGCGTCTCAAGAGTGCTTCACAGTAACGGATCCCGAGGCCGAGCCAGGAGGAGGGGGAAGAAGGTGACCGAAAGCCCGGTCGAAAAGAAAGGTCTTCAGCCGAGACTGAAAGTGGGAAGAGAGGGGGCGAGGCGAAGGGAGTGAGGAAGGGAGTTCCAGAGCCAATTAAATGTGGACAACTTACATATTCTGAATTTTAAAACAAACTATCAGTACTATAAGCTGCGTTTGGATCAGCCATTATGACTATCAATTATCCTACCAAGTAAGGTGGTAGATGCAGAGTCCATTGTTGTTTCACGAAGAACATAGACAGCTATATAAAAGAAACCGTTTTGAAGGGATATTGGGGATAGGCCGAGTCAGTGGGACTAAATGGACTCAATGAGCCGAAAGGCATACTTCTGCTCTGTAAATTTCTAGATTCTAGTCTAAGTCTGAAGTTAATATAATTCCACAAAATACCGTTAAAACATTATTTTGAAAGGAAACAATGGAAATAGTTTCAAACCGACTGACACAAATGTATAATGATAGGACCCATAGAAAAAAAAAAAAAATTTCTATGCTATGTTGTGAGACACAGAAGAAACAGATACTCAGCTTGTAATATTTGACCCACAGGAATTCAGCTGCATTCGCCTTCCTACATGTGTAGGGAATATTGTTTCTAGTCAAGATAAGAACAAATAGAAACTAATTTGTATCATTTATAAAGCTAGAAAGGAACACGTAACTTTTAACTCTCTGCTCTTGTATGAACTATTACACATATAACCCACGGCACCTGTTCCCCCTTCAAGTTAATTCTACATTACAAGGCAGAATTAAATAACCAGGAAAACTAGATCTACTTTCTCTCACCATAATTATTTGGTTCCAGACCAGTAGGGAGCTAGATTACTGTTTTTCTGTGGGAGTTGTGGGGGCATGAATGTAAAAATCATGCAGAATTTTTAAATATTGTACATGAACAATAAGAGATAAACATATAAAACAACAACAACAAGATTTCATTTATAGAGCGCCTTTCACGTCGGGAGGATGTCCCAAGGCGCTGGACAGTTGAGTCAGGACCCGAGCAGAGGGAAATGGTCAAGGAGGGAAGGGAGGGAGCGAGAGGGGGTAGAGAGTCGAGAGGGGAGCTGAAGGCACAGTCAAAGAGAAAGGTCTTGAGACCGGCTTTGAAGGAGGAAAAGGAGGAGGCGGCGAAGGCACTGGGGAAGGAGTTCCAGAGCCTCGGGGCTGAGAGGCTGAAGGCCCGGCCACCGATGGTAGGGCGGTTGGGGCGGGGGATGTGGAGCAAACAGGAGCCAGAGGAACGGAGGGTACGGGCGGGTAAGTAGGGGCCTTGTAGGTGAGGATGAGGACATATGATTGTTCTTCATTTCCAACAAGCGTTAGCAGTACATTGGGAATTTACCCTCCACTCAAAAGCACCTGGTTTAGTTCATGTTAAACCTACTTACTTAGGGTGGAGATATTTATTGAAATGCCATGAGTTTTACCTATTAACAACTTAGTTATGGTAAAATCTTTAAAAAATTCAAAAAATTAAACCCCAAAGTGACATTTAACATACAAAGTAATAGCTTCAATTTAATATAATACTTTGCAGAATCATTCACAAAAAGCATGTCCAATGTTCAGTGGACTTTACACAGAAGTTAATGGAATGACAAATAACAAGAACTCAAAACAGGGTCATGACTCATTCAAAAACATTCAGATGCAATCTGCTATTCAACATTTTATTTTACAATGAAAACACATTTTAATACTGGTTTGCTCATAGAAGTAAATTAAATGTTTATCTGTTACATTAGATGTATATTTAGTAGGTAACCATGGGGGGAGAAATTGGGTGAGAACTACATTTTCAGGTAATTAATTAGATCAATTGGATAACTTTTTATGTTATGCAGCAAAAGAGAAGGGGGCAAGACCAAATAGACTTGAATGGTTCCAACGTCAAAGGCAGGTACTGAAATACCTATGAATAGCTGTGGTATATATTGTTTGAAAATAAACATTTTAAAAAAATGTTGTACCCTATAAACAGATGAGGAAAGTGATGAGAAAACAAAGTCAACCATGAACAAGTTTGTTCTGCAGGTTTATGAATGCTGGAGACTAATTTACAGTGCTACTTAATCTTAATAAGAAATTGTATAATGTCAATCAGTGGAAACTCTGTTTCTGTAGTACACTGTGTTAGAGCAAATTTATGGTGACTTGACATGACATACTACCCAATTGTGTGGAATCCAGTTAAATTACTGCAAATTAGACCCCGGTAGTTTTTATTTTGAGAACATGATGAAATTCAGCATGACTAACCTTCTTGTGCAAAGCAATGTAATCTAGTCGCACTCCAATCTCTCCAGTAAAGAAGTTGGTCCCATTGTAACAGTGATTCAGCAAGCCCCAACTTATAGGTGAGTGTGGGAGAGGGTGACATGAATCGCCTGGTCCACCTAGTTGGAGCAATGAGCTAGCAGCTTTCAGACCTTCTGAACATGCATCGTAATAATTTTGGAATCCTAAAACAGACAGTGTTGTTTTAAAGACTGAAATGTAATAAGACTGCTTATTTACATCTCCCACTCTGGCATGAAATTGCAATTTGTTGTAGTTAAAATAATCAATGTTGACATATAGTTAAAATCATGTTACTCGATTCTAAATACAGTGAAAAATTTAAATTCAATATCGTTTTTTAAGCAGACATGTAAAAGATAATTGTGTGTGTCAATAGAGTCATATACTATTCACTATTGCCACCTCCTTCGAATTACACTTGGATTTGGATCTCCAGAATGTCAAGTGATTGGCACATCATAAACTGTCCTACAAAGATGTCTCCACCACACTGAAGAAGGATGCTCATCAAAAGGCCTGTGAGAATAAAAGAGCTTTGGATGGTTACTATAAGATGCTACTTGGAATGTGGGTTGCAAGCCCATGATCTTATATCTGAGACTCAATTGCTAGCCTGGTTTCTGGTTCGTGTACTGAGAGCTAAGCAAATGGGACTTAAAGGATAGTCCTTAAAAGAGCCAGCGCTGACACAATAGGCTGAATGGCCTTCTTCTGTAATATAAATTTCTATGGTTTAATAGATAAATAACAAATGATTGTGTGATCATTTAATGGTTACAATATATGTCTGGTTTGTGGCATGAATGATGGTGGTGATGCACTCACAACTTTTTGTGCAGCTTTCTTGCTCACCACACTACTCAAGAAGAGCTCACATTAGAACATGTGCCTGATAAATGTCTTCTGTGAAGCTCTTTGAGATGTCCTTCTGACGTAAAAGGCATTATATAAATGTAAAATTGCTGCTATTTGTTGATCAACGTGCAATCTGGGCAGGAAGGAGGGGTGAAGTAAGTAGGATCTCTCCATCACCATTGTAACAAAGGGAGAGCAGAGAGAAGTTTACTCTGTGGTGGGTTCAGTATTTCCACTTCTGAAATAGCGAGGTCCACTGACTAGGAGGATAGACAAGTATAGACAAGTCAATGGAGATGTAGGAGGATAGACAAGTCAATGGAGACATAGGCGGATAGTCAAGTCAATGGAGATGGAATTCTTGCTACTTGGTCCCTGATATCTGTGATAGGACAGAGGACTGGTGGACCTCAATTGCGGAAGATAAATAAATCTGCCCTAACACTTACCTCTGCAAGCTAACCTACCTAAAAAATAGAGTAGTCCTAGTAGGACATGCAATGGGAAGTTCACCAGTGCTTCATAGAGGTAAGCTGTGATGTGTTAGCTGGCCAAATTCTAACAATATGCCCAATGGGTACTTTGTGATCCCTATTCGTCTTTCATCAAGCTGCATCTATGTTTTTGGAGCATAGGCAAACATTTGTATCTCCATCTGGGCGAGAGTTTGTGTATACTCCAAATCAGGTAAAATTAAGCTTTTATGAGTGTTCAATAGCTGGAACTGGAGTTATTTTGCTAAGCAACAGAAAATCTTTTTGTAACAAACTAAATAAGTAAGAATTATTAGAATTGATTAGATTGATAAAATAAATTGTTATCTCACTTACTACAGGGAATTAACAATCTCTCACAAGATCAATATGCGCAAAGGAACCACACATATAAAAGAAGATTATGTTATAGTTGGCACTTGGGATTTATAACATTCCAGTGCACCTTATGCTTGTTTGTGTGATTTTAATTTTGCTGACTTAAAAGTGCAATTTTGTTTTTGCTTTTTTAAATTTTAATTAATGGCACTGTTTTTTTGACATTTTAATTAATGGCCACGATCAACAAAATCAGAATCAGTGTTCACTGTGTATGCGTGCAAAAAGTCAGCTGCTTACCCACACGCTGCACACTGCTCTATTGATGCACATCGGCTTCAAATTAAATTGTTGTACTTCAAAACATGTCACTTTAAACCCCATTGTTGAGCTGATGGATTCAGAGCACAATTTGAAGTTACAGAGAAGTTACAGAGAAGCTATTTCCTCTGGTAGGGAAATCCAAACAAGGGGGCAAGCCATGTTAGAGTGAAATCAGGAATCATTTTTTCATTCAAAGGATGGTAGAAATCTGGAATTCTCTCCCCCAAAAGGACATGGATGATGAATCCACCCACACCTTCAAGTGTGAGGTTGACAGATTTTTGATAGGTCAGGGTATTAAGAGATATGGGGAGAAAGCGGGAAATTGGAATTGAAAGGATTAGTTGAGGTACAGCTCAGCCATGATCTAATTAAATGGTGGAACAGGGCTGAATGGTTCTACGTGATTGCTACCTACATATTTGACTCACCTTGAATTGTGAATGTTACATTGTCAAAATCATGATGATCTGGTTCATTCCAAGTTTCAAAGTTCCATTTAGACACATATGCCTCTCCATACATATCTGTAATTAAATGGTAACCCAAGGTGAGAAAGTGAAGGACAACATTCTTATCTTTGTAAAACAGATACAGTATCCTGTTTTAGTCTATAGGTTTTGTTTTAAAATTGAAAAGATGACATTGTTAATGCTCAATATTGCAGACATTATACAAATCAATTAATCTTGCAAGCCAAAGTACTAATGGATAGAGTGGTCCTAGCTTGCCAAACAGTCACATTTTAGGTCAAGGACAAGAGGTTGTAGAAGAGTTTCCACTAACTGGTGCAAAAAGGATATAAGCTTTATCTTTTACTACGTTAGATGGTTATTATAAGCATGGCTTCAATTGTATGCTTGGAGTGGATTGGTTGTGTTGTGCTGACAGAATGTCTGTCAGACATCAAGTCGTGAATGAGAGCTAACTTTCTTCAGTTGAACGCCAACAAGACCGAGGCCCTCCTGGTTGGCTCCCGTTAGCACCTCCTCACCTCAGGCACTGACAGCATCACCATCCACGGTTGCACACTCCACCTTTCTAAGCCAGTCCAGAACCTTGGCTTCTTGTTTGACTCTCAACTATCCTTTCTACCCCACATTGGTGCCATGACCCACTCCGCCTTCCCCCACCTCCGGAACGTCGCCCAGCTCTGACACTGTCTCACACCACAGGCCGCCAAAACCCTCATACACGCCTTCATTACATCGAGGCTCGACTATGCAAATTCATTGCTTGTCGGCCTCCCCAACTCCTCCCTCCACAGGCTGCAGATCATCCAGAACTCCCACACTAGGCTCCGCGACCCTATCACTTCCATCCTTGCCCAACACCACTGGCTTCCTATCACACAGAGGATACAGTTCAAGATCCTGGTCCTCACCTTCAAAGCCCTCCATGGTCTTGCTCCCCCCTACCTCTCTGACCTCCTAACCCCCTACCATCCTGTTCGCTCCCTCCGCTCAGCAGGCCTGCCTCACATCCCCCACTTTGCTCACCCCACTATTGGCAGGGGGGCCGTCCACCACTCTGCCTCTACCCTCTGGAACTCCATCCCGCAGTCACTCCGTCTCGCCCCCTTCCTTGCCACCTTCAAGACCCATCTCAAGTGCAGCAAATAAGAATTTATGTTGGCCATGATTGTTTTAGTGCAGAAACCTGCTAGTATGCAAGAAGCAAGTTGGCCAGCTGCACAGTCAAACCTCATTAAAGCACTGATTGCGATTTTTTACAACACAAGTACATTATAATGGGGCTCCACTGTATTTTACAAGAATCCGTATATCCCAATTCTGCCTCTTGAAAAGAACCAACGTTTACGAAGGTATACTAGATTACTTGGGAATAATTACAATTATAATGTGGGTTTTTGTGTGCTATTTGCTGACAGTTGGTCAGAAGAGGCAACCTCTGAATCATTCAATTCAACGTAATAAAATGAATGCCTAGGATTAATAGCAGAGAGGTAGCTGGCAAACTTCTGTGCAACTTTACAAACTTGGATCATTTCATCCACCTTTTGTGGGAGAATGGTCTTAAACTAGGTCACAATCAGCTGGACTAATCTGTGTAGTCACTGCCACTTATCAAATACCTTACACTTCACTACTAGAAAAATATAACATCCTTGCATTTGATGTAGCTCCTTATCTTGCTGAAACGTCTCAAGGCACTTCACAGAATTACTGTAAAATGTACTGGCAATGTATTTGTAAGTGAATGCAGCAGCCAATTTGTGCACAGCAATGTCCCACAAACTGCAAAGTGAATGACAGCTGTTCTATGTACTAACCTATATATCTTTTTGCCAATAGGGTGATCAAATTCTTCCACTCAATCACCTGTACTTTCTCTTCAAAGTTGGTGAAGTAGCCTGATGGATTTCCCATAAGCTCAAACCCTGTAAAATATCAACATTTTTTCTTGAAAATCAGAGATCAACAAACAAACCGTACAGTTCGCAACAAAAATAAAATAAGCAATCAATTTAAAAATATATATATCCTAAACACTCATTAAGGCTGCAGTGTCCCACAAAACTAATATTAAGTAAGAAAATTAATTAATAACTGGAGGTGATTTCTAACAGCATTTTTTAATAAAGAAATTAAAGTACATCACCCCAGCCTTGAGAACTCTGCCAAACACAAACAACTTTCAGAGCACAGTTCCCATAAATCGGCGTGACGTACACTATTTCCCATTAATTCATCACTCAAATTTCTTATAAATAGTAAACTGTTTCCATTAGAAATTGTATTTTAGACCCCAGGAACAAGAGTGCCATACTTTGTTGCTGTCTTCTGTTGCCTCATTTGTCTATCATAAAACATCTGCTGATCTAAGTAACCATCTAAGCCCTGAAGCCTTTTCTACTGGGATCATGTGCTGGATGTGGATGAACTAGTTTGGTGCAACCAGCTAGAGTACTTTAAAAAGAATGAGTAAACAACCTTGAAACTGTTCAACACTTTGACTTGCAACAAAGCTCTACACGTCGTAAAATTGATTAATTATCCATCTAGATAATGACGTTCTGAACATCTGTGATCCAGGCTCCCTCTGCCTCCTCGTCCTCCTCGACCTCTCTGCCGACTTCGACAGTGTTGACCACTCCATCCTCATACACCGCCTCTCCTCTTTACTTAATCTTCGCGGACCTGCCCTTGCCTGGTTCGATTCCTCTCTCTCTCTGTCTCCACTTTGTTGCCTCTTATAGGTTCTCCTCCAGCTCCTGCACTGTCACGTCTGGCGTCCCCCAGGGCTCTGTCCTTGGCCCTCTCCTCTTTAATATCTACATGCTCCCCCTCGGTGACATCATACGCAGACATGGGGTCAACTTCCATATGTATGGGGATGACACCCAATTCTATCTCTCTGCCTCCATCCTCAACTCCAGGACCACTGCTGTCCTGACAGACTGTCTGTCGGACATCAAGTCCTGGATGAGGGCAAATTTCTTACAGTTGAATGTGAACAAGACTGAGGCCCTCCTGATTGACTCGCGCCAGCGCCTCAGCACCTCAGGCTCTGGCAGCATCAGCCTCCATGGTTGGACCCTTCAACTCACCAGCCAGTCAGGAACCTCGGTGTCTTGTTTGACCTTCAACTGTCTTTTCGTACCCACATCCAAGCCATGACCCGCTCTGACCTTCTCTCACCTCCATAACATCGCCCGAATCCGCCACTACCTCACCCTTCAGGTCACTGAAACTCTTGTTCATGCCTTCATTGCCTCCAGGCTCAACTATGCAAACCCCTTCAAGTCCCACCTCAAAACCCTCCTCTTCGACCATGCCATCAGCCACCCCACTTCCCCTCCCCTCCCTTCTCCCCCCTTGACCCCAGCTTGGGTCTGAAATGCTGTACAATGTCCAGCACCTTGGGACGTCCTCAACGTGAAAGGCGCTATACAAATGTAATCTTGTTGTTGTTGTAGTCCTGAATTTGAATAGAGAAGCAGTGATGGAAATGCCTTTATCATACGCCTCTATGAAAAGAGTAATTATTAGCATATGGAGAAAGGCAATTTAATATACACTAGATTTAATACGTATGGATTTTCAAAAGGGATTTTCTGTCAGCTATAAGACTTGTTGCGAAGGTTAATAATTAAAGACTAGGAGCACAAATAATATTAAAGCCAAAGTGGTGGCATTGATAAGAGGGTTGTCAGAAGGTTTGAAGGATACATGGATGCTTCTCGAATTGCCAAAAATTAGCTAGGAAGTAGCCTGCACTTGGATCTCTCTTACCAACTTGGGAGCATTGTTGTGAAAAAGAACATCGGAAAATATTTCCATGGAAAGATACTGATATTTTCATTTTGCTGGGGGGGGGGTGGGTGGGAAGAGGGGAAAAGAGGAGTATTAATGAATGCTTTGTTCAAATATCTAGCAGGCAAAGATAAATTGTCAAGTTAGCTGCAAACTCACAAAGTAGACAAGATTGGAGTGAAAATGGGAAATTTTCAGATTTTTTTCTTTCATGGACAAATATAAATGAAGACTTGTTCCAATGGAATGTTTTTGTTTCCTTTAAATTTCCCCATGTCTTTACAGAAGTTTTAAATTTTGCGCATTTGGGCCTGAAACTGGGGTCTAAGGGATGCTAAACATTTTACAATTCAGGCCCTATAAGTTTAATAGTGTGATCTAATTCATGATATTAGCAAAATGGATGGAAAGTGTTAATTTGAACCCTCTCAATTGACCCAAGAGTCCAGATGCACAGAATACCATCTTACTCTGTGCATCAAGGGGTAAGAAAGGTGGTTAGTTCCACAGCTGCAAGTTGCAAAATTCTAAATGCAAAAGCCTTTGAACTGCAAAGATGCCACTGAAAGGAATCTTAATATTTTTAGCAGCCATCACCAAAGTTTTGATTTTGGTCTTTCGATGCCACTTTACAGGATATTGGTTTAACTAAACTGATATCCTGTAAAACATTACCTGAAATGTCACTTCCACTTTCAAAACAGTGGCCCCAGTAAGTGGGAAACCAATGTGACCTAAACTGTGCTAGTTTGGTTAGTTTTTCAAAATACCACAATTTGCCTTCATCTGATTTTGAAACATAGCATCACCAACTTAGATTCCTTTATAAAATAATTGAAATAATGTGGTATTTGGACAAACTGTAACCTGAGGTTAGTGTAGACTCACTTATCTCATTTGTCACATCCGATCATTGTCAGTTTCATATTGGGTGAGTTTCTCTTTGACCACTGGAGTCGTGTAATATATTTGGTACTTCATTGTGGCAGAATACTTCACTACAATCAACTGTCCACTGATGATAGAAACACACAGCTTCATCACACTACATATAATAATAATCCTTGCATTTGATATAGTGCTTTTCACATCTTCTAGACGTCTCAAAGCGCTTCACAGAAAATACAGTAAAGTGAATTGACCGTATATTTCTGGGCGAATGCATCTGCAGCATCCTCAATAGTCTACTGGCAGAAGGGAGTGAGAATATGTTCCTGACCCTACTCATACTCAACAGTAAATTAAACCATTTCATCAGAATGGCCCTAACTTCACTAAGGAGGATGAGCATAATGTATTAATATGTGGACAAGAGTATTACTTAAATCTGCTCTTGGATTTGATTCCTGCTGATTGTGACTTACCTGGCTTAAGACCATTCTCCCACAAAAGGTGGATGAAACGATCCAAGTTTGTAAAGTTGTACATAAGTTTGCCATTCATCTCTCTGCTCAAAAGGGAAAGGAAGGTTAAATAAATGAAACTATCTTGCTATAGTAACGTAGAGAAAAGCAATACTACAAAGAAATTGTAGGGAATTGCTGTTTAGTGTCGTAACAATTTTGCACAGCAATGTCCAACAAGCAGCCGCCAATTTCACACAGCAATGTCCTACAAACAGCCATAATTTGAATGACAGTTTATCATGTTGACAAGAACACCAGAAAAAACTCTTCTCTTTTTGAGTAGCGCCATGAGCTACCTGAACAGACAGATAGAAACTACTTAGAGTATTTATAATGATAATAATCCTTGCATTTGATGTAGTGATGATGGGGTTCCATAGCACAGTGCTCACAAGCGAGAGGACCCAGGTTCGATTCCCGGGCGGGGTGAAACTTTAGACAAGTTTGCTTACTCCACAGGCATGTTTACTTAGCAGTAGGTAGGAACCCGGTTGTTAGTTAATTGGTGGATTGTTTTCCGAGGCTACTAATCCCCTCAAAAATAAATAATAATTCAGTCACTCAATACAAGACTGTTTGCGGGACACTGCTGTACGCAATTGGCTGCCGCATTTCTCCCAACAAATACAGTCAATTCACTTTAAAGTATAAAATACATTGCAAAATTACATTTGTATAGCTCCTATCATGACGGGAGGACGTCCTAAGGTGCTGGACAGTCAGTGATTTCGATCCAAGCTGGTGGGAGGGTGGATAAGGGAGGGTGGAGGATAGGGAGGGTAGGAGGATTGTATATTCTGGGAAGCACTTTGAGATGTATCAACGACCTGATAAGGCACTATATCAAATACTAGGATTATTATTAATATTGTTATTGTACCTTACTTTGTTGAGACATCTCAAAGTGTTTGACAGAATATACTGTAATGTCAATTGACTATATTTTGTGGGTGAAATGCGGTAGTGAATTTTGCACAGCAGTGTCCGCCAATCAGTCATGGATTGAGTGATCAAATTATTATTATTTCATTTATTTTTTGATGGTATTATTACCACAGAAAGCAATCTGCCAATCGATTAACAATTGAGTTCCTACTTACTGCTAGCTAAACAGAGGTGTGTAAAGTAAGGAAATTTGCATAAGGTTTCGTCCTGCCTGAGATTTGTACCCGGGTCCATTCGCTTGCAACTACAGGACTCCACTTGTGTAGAGAAGGCAGACTACTGTACTGTATACTATGGATCAAACATTTTTTCTTTCTGGTAAACTAAACTCTGGAAAATGCTGAAGTAATCAAATTACTTTAGAAAATTACTTTGCTGGTTAATGTAAAACATGACTGGCATCTACCTAGGTCAGTAATTCAGACTCTTAAGAGGTCAAAGAGTCCACATACTATAAGGGAACCATTTACTAAATACAGCATGACTGGTTGAGTTCCCAAACAATGTTTTTCTGTTTCGTAGTTAGGTAACAATTCGTGATTTATACCGAGAAGCAAAACTGAGATGTCAACGTACCAAAAGTGTGATCGATTCATCAATAAAGTGCATTACTACAACTAGTATTGCTCTTGTTAAAAAGTTAACAAAGAAAGTTAACCGAAGGCAAAGGAGTTAGAGGGAACTGTGAGGACATAAACCAACGGCTAAATAAACGGGAAAATTTGGAAAGGTCAAAAGGGAGCTTAGAGAAGTAGATTAAGGAAGGAATTTGGACAAATAGACCTTGGTAAGGCTAAGGCAGTTTATATACATTACAATTTACATTATATAGGACCCTTCATGTTAGGAGGATGTGTCAAAAGTATGTGGGTAAGAGAAAGAGTAGGTGTGCTAGTTTTGGGTTGTGGGCTCCAGCCACGATTCCTCTCCATGGTTCAGAGAGCAGATGTTCCGAAATATTGCATCATCCCCATGTTCTTATAAAACTTTCTAATGTACCTTTTACCTTCTAACCCTTTATCCAGCACTGATTTGTTGAGTTGAATGGCCCTTTCCGTGCATGGTATGGCATCTTTCGAGTCGGGAGGACAGTCAGGGATTTGCACCCGACGGGGTGGGGGCGGGGTTGGGATCAGGGAGGGCGGAGGGCAGGGAGGGTAGATATAGGAGGGTTGCCAAAGGCGTGGTCGAAGAGGACAGTCTTGAGATGTGCCTTGAAGGAGGCAAGGGAGAGAGCAAGGCGAAGGGACTGTTGGATGGAGTTCCAAAGGGTGGGGGCAGAGAGGCTGAAGGCCCGACCGCCGATGATGGGGTGAGCCGGGCGGGGGACGTGGAGCAGGCTGGAGCATGCTGAATGGAGGGAGCGTACAGGTTCATATGGGGTTAGGTCAGGGGTGGGCAAAATACGGCCCGAGGGCCATATCTGGCCTGCCAAATTACTCTTTACTGCCTGTCATTGTGTTTAGCAAAAGAAAAAATTATAGCTTGTTCGGTCCCAGAAAGTCCCACAAAGTTCGCATTTGAATCAGACCAGGAACATCAGCCAATCATTCTGCTTAGTTGTGCGTATGCTCCCTTAAGTGTTGAATCAGGCTGACGTCCGACATGTACGGATCGGCAAATTTTGAAACACGGACACGCGGAAACCGCTGCAATACTTTTCACTGAAGAGGACGTTAATTCGAAATAAGTTTATCAAAGAAGCGGAAAGTGGACGCTGAAGGTCGAATATTCAACAAAGAATGGACATGTAATTTTTTTTTTACCAGTGTGGGTGGAAAATAAAACAAATAAAATAAAAATAAGTTAAAAAAGAAAATAAATAAAGAAAAAAGTGTGTAGTTACAAAATAAAGTAAGCAATTTTGCATGTTTTTCACTGGCACTCGATTAGAGTTGTGATGTCAATGACACAGCCCAGTTCATAATTTTTATTCGAGGTATCACCAAACATTTTGAGCTCACAGAAGAATTGGCATCAATACAGTCAATGAAAGATACAACAACTGGAGAAGACTTTTTGGAGGCAGTAAATAAGTATATCTTAAAATTAGGAGTGGAATGAAAAAAATTGGTAAACTTGACCACCGATGGAAGTCCAAATATGACAGGCAAAAATGCTGGGTTACTGAAAAGCATTCAAGATCAAGTCAAAGAAACAAATCCAGAGAATTGTTTTTCTACACCGCATTATCCACCAAGAGGTCCTCTGTAAGAGTGTTCTAAAACTAAGCACTGTCATGGACACAGTTACGAAAGTGGTCAACTACATTCGAGCAAGAGGATTAAACCACAGGAAATTTGTAACTCTGCTTGAGGAATTTGAATCTGAGTGCACGGATGTTCCGTATCACATGAATGTAAGATGGCTTAGTTTAGGAAAGGTCTTAAAAAGAGTGTGGGAACTAAGAACAGCTTATTGACCTGCAATGTGATCCATTGCTTGCGGAGCAATTCAAATCCAGAATATTGTTTTTCTACACTGCATTATCCACCAAAGGTCCTTGTAAGAGTGTTCTAAAACTAAGCAGTGTCATGGACACGCCTAATAATACCTCCAAAAACAAAAACTATAATAAATTGGTTATTTTCAATCCACGACTGTTTGTGGGACACTGCTTTGTGCAATTGGCTGCCACATTTCACCCACAAATATTCACTTTCCAGCACATTCTGTGAAGCGCTTTGAGATATCTAGAAGACGTGAAAAACGCTATCTCAAATGCAAGGATTATTATTATTATTAAATCAGTGCCGCTTCCCAGTTTTTACACCTCTCTTAATGAATATATCTTTCCAAAAATAAAGGCTCATGCCTGGAGGATGCTTGTGCTATTTGGATCAACACATATATGCGAGGAGACAGTTTCTGTGATGAAATTCAATAAATCAAAACATAGATCTGTGATGACTGATGACCACCTTGCAGCAGTACTCTGCACTGCAACAATGGAGACGATGCGCGACTTCAATTGTCTGGTTAACGCACATCAGGGCTTTCATTTTTCCCATTGAATGAGCTTCTTACATTCTCCTCAATATGTGAATAAATCAATAAATGTTGAATAAATGTCTGCTCGATGAGTTTTTTATTTAACCTAATTTTAATGAATGTCAATTATACAGACTTTATTTTATGCATGTACAAGTGTAAGACTTGATTTTGAGCTATTATTAAGCATTTGCATCTATATTAAGTGTGTGGCCCACGAAGCTTACCAAACCTCGTCAAGTGGCCCGCCAGCCAAAATAATCGCCCAGCCCTGGGTTAGGAGGTCACAGAGGTAGGAAGGAGCAAGACTGTGGAGAGCCTAGAAAGTCAGGACAAGGATTTATCTATCCTCTGGGGGATAGTCTATCTACTGTTTCCAAGGGGTATATTTTCAAGTTGTAATTTGTTGTAAAGAATTGGTCAAAAATAAGCATTTTAAAGGGGATAATACTAATAAATAATCCTTGCATTTGATATAGCGCTTTTCACGTCTTCTCGATGTCTCAAAGCGCTTCACAGAATAGACTGTGAATACACAGAATAGACTGTGAATACACAGAATAGACTGTGAAGTGAGTTGACCGTATATTTGTAGGCAAAACGCAGCAGCCAATTGCGCACAGTAGTGTCCCACAAACAGTATTTAGTATTGTTTTGTTTTACAGGGATTATTATTAGGCGTGGAGAATAAGGAAACTTCCCCAAGGTTTCGCCCTGCCTGGAATTGAACTCAAGTATCTTGCTTGCAAGACAAGTGCTCTAACCACTGAGCTACAGGACTCCACCTTAGGATCTTAGAGATGTACATCAAATTGAAATACCAGGATAGAAACAGTAAACCCAGAACAATACTTTTAGATACACCAATGATGCTGAACAAAAAAGTACAAGTTAAGGGTTGAGAAGGGTGCATTTAGCGCAGACACCAGTTAGTATTTCTTCACGTAGAGAATAATTAACAGTTGCAATCAGTTAACTGGAAACATGGCTGAGACCAGGGAGCTGAACTCAACATTTTAATGCTCAATGAGAAGGCAGTTGGATAGATATTCTGGAAGGAAGAGATCAAATGCTGAATTTTTTAATCCAATTTTCTTGTTAACGATTGAGTGCAGCAACTACAGAAAAAACAGAATAGGACTTTAACAGAGTAAGTCTCCAATTGTGAGAGGTAGAATTTGGGAGTTCATATGCAGGTTTAAAAGTTAATTTTGTTTAAGAGGATTACTGTGTCAGTTCCAGAGTACAATTTGTTTATGTAAAACTATTGGGGGAATGGTAGAGGTGGGGCTGATTCTGATAGGCTGACTGATGTAAAGCATTAATGGAAGGAATGGGTTTCATTCCTAGTATATAAAAGCAGAGCAAATTCAAGTGGAGTGTAACTGTGATGGTGAAGTTAAGTCTCTGTTGGCATCAGTTAGGGCCGTGGAGAAGCAAGGCCAGGGTTTGTAACTAGGCAGGGTAAGTGAATCTGTTTCTGACTCAGACAAAGTTACTTACTTTAAGGTTTACATTACAACTAGTTGGTTAAAGCTGTTGTGTGAAAGGGTACAATGATGTGTGTGGCATGCACAATGTGGACTATTTTGGATTAACAATCAAACAAGCAAGAAAGAACTTGAATTTTTATAGCACCTTATAATGTTGAAATGTTTCATAGGTAATTACTGTAATGTCAAATGTACTAACTGTGTATCTGTAAGTATACCAACAGCCAATGTGTGCAGCAAGGTTTCACAAAAAGGCCATGAGGTGAATGATCAATTCATTTTGGAGGAATTGTTAGTCAGGTCTCCTTTATTTTTTTTGAATAGTGGCATTAGATTTTTAATGTCTACCTGCACAGGCAGACAGGGCCTTGGTTTAACACCTCAAAGAAAACAACTACAACAATGCAGCATGCTCCCCTAGTATCTAGGAGAAGTACATGCAGGTTTGGAAGGTTGTATCACCGACCTTGACAACCGATTAATGATAAACTGGAAGCACATAATATTTCAATTAATAAATAGGATACATAATGGAAATGGCTTTTTCAATATAGTGACAATACCATTAAAATTAGCATACCATTAAATAGTCAAAATACCTTTCTAGCTAGGATCCCAACTGAAGGAAATCAGAAAAGCTATAAAATAAAGAATTGGTTTGTCTAAGTGATACACTAAGTAAATACTAGGCATACATTGCTAAATCCTGCCCTAGGTAGACAATTCCATTATATAAGTAACCACACAGAAAGGAGTGGTTCATTTCTGCTTGAGCAGTACAAGGGATGCATTATACACATGTGCCTTAATCACTTGAAGATAACACACTGTCTGCATCTCTGGGTTGCACTGTATAAAACAGAAATGCAAAAAGAAAACTACTTAATTCACACAGCCAGATGATGAGCTGAAGCATCCAACAACTTCCATCATATTATCATCGGTAAGTGAAACTGCCATGCATAAATTATATTTTCATTAAACAAAATGCTCTGTCCACAATAGTATTGCCTGCTTTTAAACAGCAATGGTTGATTTAGCTGCTCAATTGTGCTCCTATTCTTTAAGTACCTATCTTTAAGAGCAGAATTTGCAACCAATGCAAACTCTGTAATTTGACTGTTCTGATTTTAAGGCAGCGAGGCACTAAAAGCTATTTTTAATACCATGTACTATAAGAATGACACTGATGGCATATTGTGTACAGTTTCCTGGGCAAAATAATCTTTATCACATTGTCTAAAAGTTAATCTAAAGGTGACAACCCTCCTAGTCAGAAGGTTGTGGGTTCAAGCCCCATGTCAGGATTTGGAACTCAAGTCTAGGCTGACCCTCCGACATAGGGCTGGAGGTGTTCTGCATTGTTGGGAGGTGACATCTTTCAAATGAGACATTAATACAAAGCCCAGTCTGCCTATCCAGGTGGACGTTAAAGATCCCTTAGCACTATTTGAAAGGAGAAGGGAATTTCTTCTGGTGTCTTGGCCAACAATCCCCCAAACTAAAAATTGGTCACTCACTTCATTGGCTGGTTGTGGGAAAATTGGCTGCCACATTCGCCTATAAATACACTCATTGCAATTCAGTCAAATGCTGTGAAGCACTTTTGAGACGTCTCAACAGATAAGGCACTATATCAAATAGAAAGCTTATTATTATAAATTCAATTAATTAAATAAGAATTCTTCTCTATTATGGATATTCAGAGAAGCCTAAGAGAAGAGCTCTAAAACAGTGGTTCTCTACAATTATAGATACGCATAGGTACTGCAAGAAAGTAATTAATGGTCTAAACTATTTTATTCTGAAAGAGATGGGGAGCATTTTGATTAGAAACTTACAATAGCCACTTTGTGTAAGTGGGATTAAGGTATATTAGAAATAGGTACACAGTTCAGAAATCAATTAATTTTATTTGGGATTGGGATCTTAAATTGAATATTTTTAAGGTCTAGCCAGCAGAGAACCAGATTAACATCAGGCCTATGTGGAATGTGTTATGTGGAAACAAGCTTTGTAGATTTTTGAAAACGTTACTTATTGGAAAATTATCTGCCTTTTCAAGGGTGTTAAACGTATTTAACAAATTGGATTTTTGTGCTGTTATAAGCAGATACTACAAATGTACTAGCTGATGTATAAGCTGAACTGTATAATTCCTGGTTAATGGATCAATGTTTAAACAATCCATAAATCATTAATACAGAGCATATTTGGAGCAAAATGAGTCACTATTTCTGTACTTGGTTTAAAATAAAGAAAATGTACTGTGCTTGTTTGGAATTACTGAATATTATCATGAGTAGCAACTTACTTTTTAATCAAATCTTCTCAGCCCAGGGCAAAAATAACTAACTTGATTGTTTCAATCTGAATGCCTGTGGATATACTTGCAAATGCAAACAATTGTTTCCTACCCACTCTTTTCAATCATTACATTCTTGGTACTGTATATTCCAACAAGAATAGATGTATCCATTTTATTCAATAATAACTTTAAGAATTTTCAGACTTGTTCATGTTTATATTGAGGTTGTTGTGTTGCCTACAATTCATTAACATCATGTAACCACTAAAATAAATGGTGCATAGTGATACTTCACAGCATTTAAATTTCTTGAAAACTAGTTTTTTCAAAGTACTGTATATTTTTAACCAAGAAAATTTGGTTTAAAAATATACACATTTGTACTGAATTAATATTCAAAACATGTTAAACAGAAGACAAACACTTTTTTGGAGAGCAAATTTTAAAAGTGACTCATCAACTTTGTGGTAATTACTTCACTAGTGTAAATATGACAAAAATATAAATTGCAAATGAATTTTAATTTTAATGAAAATTTATGAACCGTAACACACTGAAATCACTAAACACACTAATTCACCATATTCCCATTTACCTCAATATTCACACATTGATGAAAAAAATTAAATAAAATTTAAATCTGGTCTCAAACCAGACACTTTTCTGCTTGACGCGCACACATATTTTAACTTCCCCAATATAGTGACTCATTATAGCACAAGTCTGTCAATAGCCCGGGTAGGTTATAGACACAAGTCCTGGAGGAGAACCAATTTCTTACAGTTGAGTGTTGACAAGACTGAGGCTCTCCTGCTTGGCTTTCGTCAGCATTTCATTGCTTCAGGCGCTGAAAGCATCATTATTCATGGATGCACTCTCCACCTCACCAAGCCTGTACGGAACTTTCGTCTCTATTCGACTCTCAGCTGTCCTTTTAATCCCAGATTCGTGCCATCACCAATTCTACCTCTGCAACATTGCCTGCTTCCGCCACTCTCTCTTCCCTCAGGCTGCTGAAACTCGCATCCATGCTTTCATTACATCCAGGCTTGATTACCGTAACTCTCTGCTCGCTGGACTGCCCAACTCTTCCCTCCACAAGCTGCAGATTATTCAGAACTTTGTAGCTCATGTCCTCTCCCGCACTAATATTCATGAGCCGCTCATCCCCATCCTTGCCTAGCTTCACTAGCTCCCCATCCCCTGGAGGATCAAGTTCAAGATCCTTGTGCTCACCCTTAAAGCGCTCCAGTCTTGCTCCTCTCTACCTCTGCAACCCATTCATCAACCTGTCAGTTAAAGCAGGTGTTTAAATTGAAATTAGATAGTACAGCAAAGTTGAAAATGAATTAAAGGGATACAAATCTACAAAGTTTTCTTACCAATTTTGATTGTCAAGTCCAGACTAAATTTCCACAGCTAGGACTGACTGTTTCCCCCCCTCCCCGCAAAAATAGTTGTAATTTCAGCATGTTTTACTTTGTTAGCCACAAAGAAAAAAAGGATTATACCATATAATGTGTAATGATCCAAACAAAAAAATCAGATCAGTCTGATTTGTATACCAAAAGGATCACTGTAGAGGAACTGAACAACTGGTATTACTGTAAGTTTGATTTGTCTTGAAACATTTTTTTTACTATTACAGATATACCACTCTACAGTAACATCTGACAGCAATGGAAAATCAGGACCAATTGATCAAAATGGAGATTCATTCAGATTCTCAGATATATATTGAAAGGACAGAAAGAGAAAAACCGAAGGTGAAAGAAATTATCAAAAAGAAACTGAAGAAAAACTGCTCGTGTTCTCTGCATAAGGTTAAGAACATCATTACAGGCTTCTTTCCTGTTCTCCAGTGGCTCCCAAAGTACAATATTAAAAAATGGATTGTGGGTGATGCCATTTCAGGTCTGCTTGTTGCTGTTGTCTTGGTTCCGCAATCAATAGCATATTCGTTGCTTGCTGGCCTGGAACCCATCTCCAGCCTGTACACATCTTTTTTCGCCAACACTGTTTATTTTCTGATGGGTACCTCTCGCCACATTTCAGTGGGCATTTTCAGTTTAATGTGCCTTATGGTGGGGCAGGTAGTTGATCGGGAGCTTCAACTGGCTGGATTTGACGTAAGTGAAGACAGCAAAAAGCTGCCAAGGGTGTTGGCCAGTGGAGAGAAGTGGAACGCCAGTGTTAACTCAGCTGTGAGGAACATTACCTTCCTTGGGCCATTAAATATTGAGTGTGACGAAAAATGCTATGCTGCTAGTATTGCAGTTGCCTTGACTTTTATGGCTGGAGTTTATCAGGTAACATTTTCTTAAAAGTTTGCTATACTTTTCATAATTTCAAACCTGTTGCTGTATAGAAAATAACACGTTGCAGTTATAAAGCTGGGAAGCATCTCAAAGCACTTAACAGTAGCGAACCTTGACGCTGAGCTTGATGCTGAGGAGATTGGGGAAGTGACCATAGGCACGGTCAAACAGGAAAGTCTACAGGTGTAGATGTATTTTCCCAGCAAATAATTTAACTTACAAAAGTAAAAAGAGATTGATTTTTATTTAGTGTGGCTTTACCTAACCTACAAGTACACTGTCACCTTGATAGAGCAATTTTTTTGAGAATATGGTGAACTAGAGTAAATTGGAGTGGAGGGGGGAGGAAACTGGATGGGATCTTCAGTTAACAATTGCCTAATCTAAGAACTGCAGTCTTTCTATATTACAATAAGGTTGCAAGTACCTTTTTTCCCCAGGAATGTGGTGCAAAATATAAAGAATTTTAGGCAAGTTTTTAATGTTCTTTTGAGAATTCATAACATAAAAGAAAAGGCTAAGAGTATCCTCTGTATAAAATACATCTCCAATTCTTTAACAAAATTATTTTTACCAGGAGACAGTGTAATTTTTGTTTTACAAGTATCTTTAGCATTTTGATGACTTACTATTTCATGTCTCTGCTACCCTCCAGTGCCAGATTCAATGTTCTACGTTCAGTGGAAAACAGGTGAACAATACAATGAGACACAAAGATTGAGACCTAATATTTTTAGTCCCACTCCCATTTTACTGTTTTAAAAAAAATGGTTTTGTGCAATGAAGCTTGTTACAAAAGAGTCTGTCATAGCAAATACAGTGCTAATTCTTATTCCAGGACAAAGTCTCTGCATTCTTCTCTGCCACCTCTCCTCCAAGTCTGTCCATTTTGAATTTCCTCTTTCCTCCCAGTATCCAAACTGTCTCCTCGAACGGCTTCAGTCAAATGCGGTGTTCCTCAGGGTTCTGTTCTCCAGCCTCTTTTTACTCTTCGTTGTTGACACCATCCATAAGCATGAGGGTCCACATCCAGATGGATGACACCCAACTCTACTCTGTCTCTACCTTCGATCCCAGGTTGTTGTTCTGACTGATTTCCTGTCAGAATTAACCAGGACTTGATGTCTTAACTTTCTACAGCTCAATGTCAGCAAGGCCATGTTCTCTAGAACTTGATTCTCTGCCTTAATACCTCCCTACTTTCAAAACAAGCTTCAACTACATTCCCCCGACCTTCCCCACCCCCAAGCTAGGGCTCCTTGTCAGTTGTGTGACAAGATTTGACACCATCTCCGATCGTGAAAGGTGCAATGTATTGTAAGGAAACATGCCCAAAGTTTTGCCCTGTAGTAAATTGTTCATTTGGGAAATAAATTGATTTGCCACTAGACTTAGCAAACTCCTGTTTCCTCAGTACTTGAATCACGATTGCTTACTGATGCACTCTAGTGGCAGAAGCATAGTGCTGCAATATCAATCTTTGCATTTGATATAGGACCTTATCCCATCACAGAGACATCTCAAAGCGCTTCTCAGAATATACTGTGCAGTGGATTGACTGCATTTTTGTGAGTGAAACACCACAGCCAGTTGTGCGCAGCAATGTCTCACGAACAGCCATGGAGTGAGTGACCAGTTTTATTTGGTTACTGTTGGCCAAGACATCAGGAGAAACTCAATTCTCTTTTCAAATAGTGCCATGGGATTTTTAACATCCACTGAACAAACAGAAGGGACTTTGGTTTAACATCTTATCCGAGGGACAGCACTTCCAACAATGGAAACCAACCCCCAGTACTGCACTGGAGTGTCAGGTTAGACTATGTGATTAGAAGTCCCACTTTGCAGTACATCTTATGAAGCCCTTTGGGACATCCTCCTGAAGTGAAAGCCACTATTCCAAATGTGAGGATTATTATGATTTACCATTATTATTTCTAGACAAGCAGCCAAGCTTTTGAGGGGCAATTATGTGGACAAGGAGAGAACAGGTACCTTGCCAATATTCTCCAGATAAAATTAGTCATTCACTTGAAGGCCATTTGTGGGACATTACTATGTGAAAATTCATTGCCACATTAAATCCTGTTAAATACTTTAATGACTTTTTTACAATGTGATAAGGCGCTCCATCAAATTCCAGGATAATTATTTTAACTACACAGTTACTAAGTTTATTCATACGCTATTGCATATAAACTAGAAGTTCAATTTTATTGGGATTCCGTTACAATAGTCAACAAAAACAGACTCCCTAACCTCCAAGACAGACCGCCAACTCACTTCGAGTAACTTCTGTGACACATAAATCACTTACTTCCCCACCTCCAAATGGTGGAAATACATGTTAAGTTTTGAAACACAGCACAACTTGAAAGTTCTAAGAATGTGAGTTACTAAGTATAGTAGCATTTTATAATACCAGGAATTACCAGGATTTCTGAATTTAAAAAAAAGCTTTATGTCACTTTTGACAAACTGCAGTTTTCCTCATTTACAGGGAATAATTTGACGTGAGTAAATCTTAGAAATGGTTAGACATAAAATGGTTAGAAATGGTGCACATCTAGCATACATTTTAGGGCGTCCTTTGTAAAATAACGATGTCTAGTTACTTTGTACAGAAAGTCTAATCAATCCTCTATCCATCATCAGTAAAACATTTTTCAGGCAAATAGTTAAAGCACCACGTTGTTGCTGAGAAGTGTACCTCAGGTCCATAGGCACTTTTTATAATTCTTTCTTAGTCATTTTAATCTTATAACCTGCAGTTATAATTCAAACAATCAGACCCATATAGCCACCAGTCAGATTTTGACTTTGCTTGTTGCTTTTTGAGTGTAAAGACTGAATGTTTTTTTGCTACCCGAACTCCCTATGCTAAGCACTGTCAAGGGCAAGGATACAGCTCCCAGGCATCAACCAATGGTCCTGTAATAAGTAGTTGTTGGGAGATGTGGTCTGCCTTGAATTTCTCCTCCCAGTTGAGACGCATCTGATATCCGCTCAGAGCTGTGACAGCAAAACTGGTAACAAACCGTATGGGAGAGCATAGTTCTTATACCATGCACTTCCTCAGTGAATTAGAACTCTAAAGCAATGTGCTACATCATACAACGATGACAACAACAAAATTACATTTATAGAGCGCCTTTCACGTCGGGAGGACATTCCAAAGTGATAAACAGTCAGATGTCGGGGCCCGAGCATGGGGGAGGGGTGGTGTAGGGGTGAGGGAAGGCAGAGAGGTGGGAGGGAGACCAAAGGCACGGTCGAAGAGAAGGTTCTTGAGACCGGCCTTGAAGGAGGCAAGGGAGGAAGCGAGGGGAAGGGACCGTGGGATAGAGTTCCAGAGTGTGGGGCAGAGAGGCTGAAAGCCCGGCCACCAATGGCAGGGTGGGTCGGGTGGGAGACATGGAGCAGACCGGAGCCTGATGGACGGAGGGAGTGGGCAGGTTGGTAGGGAGTCAGCAGGTCAGAGAGGTGGGACCCTTCCTCTGTCCCCTTCCCCTCCCCATCTTCATCAATCAATGCCTCTTTAAAGATGCAGGTTTGTTGTCATTATTAACTTTTTTTGTGCTAGGTACTGATGGGAGTTTTCAACCTTGGGATTGTGTCAAAGTATCTATCTCAACCTTTGCTGGATGGATTTGCAACAGGAGCCTCAATTACGATCCTAACAACACAAGTCAAGTATCTTGTTGGACTAAAAATTCCACGCAGCCATGGACCTGGTACAGTTATTCTAACGTGGATAAATATTTTTAAAAATATCCACCAAACCAATATCTGTGATCTTATAACAACTGCTGTCTGTCTTCCTGTGCTCATCACTGTCAAAGAACTAGGAGATCGATATAAGCACAAGATTAAGTTCCCTCTGCCAACAGAGATGGTTGCTGTAATTGTAGCTACAATAATATCCCATTATGCAAACCTAAATGAAAAATATGGCTCAAGCATTACTGGAGAAATCCCCACAGGATTCCTAACGCCCCAGATCCCAAATTGGAGTCTATTTTCCAGAGTTGCCATAGATGCTGTGTCAATTGCAATCATGAGCTTTACCTTCACAATCTCAATCTGCGAGATGTTCGCAAAGAAGCACGGGTACAATATAAAAGCCAACCAAGAGATATTTGCTCTTGGATTTTGTAACATAGTCCCATCCTTTTTTCACAGCTTCGCTTCCAGTGGTACTCTGGTGAAAACGCTCATCAAAGAATCAAGCGGCTGTCAAACCCAGCTCTCTAGTATCATCACTGCTATGATAGTATTACTGATGCTACTTTCCCTAGCACCCCTCTTATATTCTTTGCAGAAATCAGTGCTTGCATGTATCATTATAGTCAGTTTAAGAGGAGCTTTCAGAAAATTTCGTGATGTACCAAAGCAATGGCAAATCAGCAAAATTGACACTCTGGTCTGGGGTGTCACAATGCTATCTGTAGCTTTATTAACCACTGAACTAGGGCTTTTAATTGGGATAGTCTTTTCACTTCTGTGCATTATTGCTCGCACTCAACTGCCAAGGACACCTTTGTTGGGCCAAATCCAGGGTACCAGCTTGTACAAAGATGAAACCGAATATAAAAATCTTTCCTTCATTCCTAGAATTAAGATCTTCCGCTTTGAAGCCCCACTTTATTATGCTAATAAAGACTTCTTCCTGAATGCCCTTTACAAAAAAGTTGATCTCAACCCCGTTTTGGTGGCTGCAAAGTGCAAAAAAGCAGAAAAACAACAAAATGTTCCAAAGAAAGGACGAAAGGAAAAAGAGGAATTTAGTGGCAACATGCAAGAAAACGACATCACCAATGAACGTTTTGTCTATAAATCCTATGATTTTCACACAATTATTCTTGAATGTTCCACAATCCAATTCTTGGACACTGCTGGCATTAACACAATGAAGTCAGTCCTGAAGGATTACAATGAGATTGGTATCAGAGTCCTTCTGGCTAACTGTAATCCTTCAGTAATTGATTCTCTGAGTAGAGGAGAGTATTTTGGAGCAAGCTCCAAAGGCATAGATACTTTGATGTTTTACAGTGTACATTCTGCTGTTCGGTACGCTGAAGCCGCCTGGTCTGTCTCAGCTGACTCTTCCATTTAAGATTTCTCAGACCAAGGGTTGTTGCTACTTAACCTCCACATGAAGACATTCATGTGCAAGTGATATCACATGCCACATTGCCTATTTAAGCATTTAAGGTTTTTTTGTTCACGTGTGCATTTGAACTACATTGTTTAAACTATACCTTTAAAGACTTGCTTGATGTCTCAGTGGATAAATGTATGATCTATTACACCTGACAGTGTAGTGGGACATCCAGATAGGGAAAGTCTAAAGTTCAATTCTTGATGTGTGGTGTGTTAATTTAAATGAATGGGATTATTGGCTTCCGTGTCACTGGCAAGGGGCAGGGAAGGGGAATTCAGCCATCACTGCTGCTTGTGATTGATCAATTTATGGACATTAGACGAAGCCAAGGTTGGTCTTTTTTTTGGCCATCCGGGTGACATATGCAGAACTCATCATGCTTAAAGAGTATCTAACCCAGACAGAGTTCCATATATGTAAGTCATCTACTGTGTGGAATGGAATAAACACTCTCCCCCGGAGGGAAGCTCTTTGCTTATCTAAATCCAGAAAGTATTAAGCTCACCAAGGCTTGGGAACCCCAGAATAGGGTACTGCTGGAGTTTAACAAACTAAACTGATTATTGACTATATCTTACTTTTGAGAGCAGTGCCTGCCAAGCTTCTTTGATTTGGAACCACCATAGCTTTAGGTTTTGGCTTGCAGGGTTAACAGAAGCCAAGTAAATCCCTGCTATCAGTACAAGACGCGATCACAAACAGAAAGCATGCAGACATTAGTTATCTACGGTTATACACAAAGAAACAGAGAGAAAGTTAAACATTTCGCTACGAAGTGAAACTGCCTAACATATGGTAAACCATCATGCATAGGGCTTCCTGAAAGACATTCACTTCTGCACAACATGGTACTTTGAGCATTGTGCTGTGTATACTCTGTAGTGCAGTGGAACCATCACATTGAGAAGGGAATGGTGACTTGATTGTCTAATAATTTGCAGCATCTGGTTCTGCAATATTTCCCAAAAAGAATAAAGGCAATTGAAATTAACAAGCCGGATGGTACCTCAGCTTAATAGTATTCATTCAATAGTACAGCACAGAAAGTAAAACTGTATTTTAGCCAGAGTGGATAGGAGCTTAACAATTAACTAGTGCACAACGTCAGCAATAGGCTGCTTCCCGGGGAGAGGAGATCCTGATCAAATAAAGAGAAAATTCATTTCTACTTCCTGTACATCTAATATGATGCAGAATCATGGTCAATTTCATCTAGAAAGTAAAACTGTACTTGTGTCCAGTTTCAGTTGAACAAGCGGAAGGGCATATGTACAGTACAATATACTAAAGTGAGTGATTCTAACAGTGACAATATTAGAATATTGCATGATTCATTTTAAATTGTAAGGACCAATCATGTAAACATTATGAATATATAGGATGGAAATAAAGCTACTGTATTTCTGACAAATCACTAAAAGTAAATGCACTAAATTCTAAATTACAGTACGGTATTACACTCCTGAATCCTTCCGTTCCCAACAGGCTCATGGTCACAAATTTAGCAGAGTGCACATTGTTACTTGAAGCATTTATTTCATAATACTAAGTATGAATCAAACTGTAAACAAAGCATAATTTGCAATCATTTTGTGAAAGTTGTATTTGTAATCATATTGAATAAATGTTCATCTCACAAACTTTGGTACATTCTGATTCAAACAAATCACAATCCTTGCATTTGATATGGCAACTTTCATGTCAGGAGGATGTCTCAAAGCGCTTCACTGGATAATACTCTAGAGTGTAGTGACTGTATTGTGTAGACAAATGTAGCAGCCAATTTTTGCACAACAATGTCTCACAAATAGCCACGTGGAGTCCTATAGCTCAGTGGTTAGAGCACTCGCCTCACACTTGAAAGACCTGGGTTCTATTCCCAGCAGGGCGAAATGTTGGTAAGTTTCCTTACCCCACACACCTCTGTTTACCTAGCAGTAAGTAGGAACCAGGTTGTTAGTTGTTTGGCAGATCGCTTTTCTGGGCTAATAATCCCTAAAAAAAAGTGGTCATTCAATCAATGTGGGACCCAGCCATGCGCAATTGGCTGCTGTGTTTTATTCACAAATATACAGTCAATTCACTTTACAGTATAGTCTGTGAAGCACTTTGAGATGTCTAGAAGATGTGAAAAGTGCTATATCAAATGCAAGGATTATTATTATGAAGTGAATGCCCAATTTTATTTGGCAGATTGTTGGTCTGGACACTGGGAAAAACTCCCTTCTCTTTTAGAATAGTACCAATGGATCTTTAACATCCCCTTAAGCAAATAGGAACTTGATTTAACATCTCCTCCGAAGATCAGCAAATCTAACAATGTAGCACTGCATTGGAGTGTCTAGTCTAGACTATGTGAGTTCAATGTGGGACTTGTAGCCACAACCTTCTTTTTTAGAGACAATCAACTGGGCCAGACAGACACACACTTTGTTTATTTTCTTGCCCCGGTTTGGTCTCTTCCTATAGATACCAGCTAATGTAGCAGTTTTCGGTACCTGCATTGAGTAACCATTCTTTATGTGTGAGTCTCGAAAATGAGTATTCACACCCTTCTCATTCATACATGCACTTTTCACCAGGTTTCACTTCATAGTATTTAGGAGGATGCCCTTGCCATTCTTCAGTAACTCAAAACTGGTAAACAACAATAAAATTTATAAAGCACCCCTCACACAGGTTAGCATCCCAGAAGCTTGAAGCGAATTATACTACTTCTATGACTACTTCAGCTGACTAATCCATGTCCCTCAATCAGCCTTGAATTGAATAACTGATTTATTTGAGATACTGGTGGTCAGGACAAATAGTCTGGAATCGTTAAAGATCATGGGATGTTTAAACTTATCCATCTTTCAAAGTCCAGATGTGGAAGGTTGTCCACGCACAACCGTCTGACTCAGAAATGGGAGTTCTACCAACTAACTCGGGCTGACACACCACTAAAAAAAGGCTCTTCAAATGGATGGACTTTGATAATGAGAATAATTAAACACCTTGAGTGACTGATAAAAAGGTTCTCTTTTATCCCTGTCCTTCCACTGGTAAAACAATATGGATGTGAATTGTAGAATACAAGCGCCATGTATTTGATGCTGATTATTTTGAATATCCACATATCTGAATTGAATAAGCTGATTCAAAGTGACGTGGACCTCTGATGTTGCGGGTTGTGTGGGGGGATGGGGAGAGGGTAAAGTTGGACAGGAATGTGAATCACCCACCCAGTGTCACTAGGAACTGACAACAAGTGTTCATTCAGCAATTTGGTCCAAGCACAACATATTGTTTAAAAACAGACTGTAGAGCAAGTCAGAGAATAAATCAGGGTGAGAAAGAAGAAACGTCAGAGAAGAATAGTGAAATTCAGAGACAGTGAAAGATAGGTTAGAGGAAACAAAATAATCTGAGATAGAGAGTAAGAAAGAACCAAAGAGGGAGAAAAGGTAAGGGAGAGGGCTGAATAGTGTACACTTGCAGTATATACCCATCACTCAGGATAGCGTCTTAGAGCATCTGGAACAGCATGTACTATAATGACCATATAATTCCTGAAATTAGAAGATTTTGGTTAGCACTGCAGCTAATTTGCATTTTCTGTGATGACCCACTATCTGCAGTGTTTCTATATCCACAAAACTCAAGCACTGCAGATAATGGGCTCTCAACCCTAATCCAAGATTAATGCTAGATTAACCACAGCTGCAGGAAAATATCACAAACAACAACAACAAGATTCCATTTATAAAGCGCCTTTCACGTCAGGAGGACGTCCCAAGGCGCTGCACAGTTGGGTCATGACCCGAGCAGGGGGGAAATGGTCAGGGGGAGGGAAGGGAGGGAGCGAGGAGGGGGGAAATGGTCAGGGTGAGGGGAGGGAAGGGAGGGAGCGAGGAGGGGGAAGAGAGTCGAGAGGGGAGCTGAAGGCACAAAAACATTTCATGTACATTTTATATGCATTTTCAATATTGTAGACTCACTTGGCTGTGATCAACTCCAATAGCCAGTGAATGCGAACTTGCTCGATACCATTATGAGGGACTGAGGCAATATATGCGAGGTTAATCTGCTGATCCCTACTCAAGTCAAACACATCTGCTTTGTTGTGCGGCAAAGGAGGACTGTAAAACATTTATAAAAGGCAACAATAAAAATGACAAATAAAATGACACAGGAAAATGTTAATAAAATTTATAATAGCAAAGGACTGTGAATTTGTTTTAATCTGAATTGATTTATTGAATTATGAGTTATTGTTTGCCTAATATCGCAAACAATAAAGTGCCGGACTCCTATTCAGATTCTAATGTTTATCACTTCCAACTAACAGTAATTGACCTGTAGTATATTCTCATTAGTGAGGCGAAAATTCTCACCAAAGACCTTATTGAGCACTGCAAATGTCAGGAAGGAAAAAGTAGCACTTTCAATTGTACTGGGTGTAATGCGTCTGTTGTCTGACCACTGCACAATACACTTAACATTAATCCTTGATTGTATTTAATATAACACCTTACCACATCTCAAAGTGCTTCACAGGATATACTGTAATGTGGTGTGACTATGTATTTCAACCTTCCTGAATGATGGAAGCATAACAGTTTTCCCTTCAGAAAGAAAGCCAAACTTAATTTATAGTTAATATTTTCAAAAAACATAGTAAACATGCAACAGTCAAAACAATATATAAAACTATTTTTTGACTTTATGAAGGAGTCTGTTAGAAATAGTACATAGAAAAAAATAAAATTGAGGAGGGAGTCGCTTCACATTTTAAGATTAATTACAATTGTATGTTACAAATTTGAAGGTGCAAAAGGCTGCAATACCCAATATGCATCTACCTCACATACAAACGTTTCACAGAAATTTTTTCCCATTCATCAACATATTTCCTTTTAGCAATGAGTACCGAAGTACCTAACAACACAGTTGTCAAAATGCACTGGACAGGCTTTTGTTGGTGGATTTGGGAGTTGTGCTCACAAAATGTATTGGTCTACTTTGGGATTTGATTTGCCATCTCCAGCTGACAATCCAGTATGCCCCTGACATGTGCATAACAGAGTTTGATTGCTGACAATGTTAGCATCCATTTTGCACTGAGCACCTTTATAATTTCCAAACAACAAACATTACTCTCACGAACTTGCAGCTCATACTCTTCAAATTTATGCAAGCATGGTATGTCCCTCCAAAGAGCGAAGGTACATTCCATTCAGCTGATATTACATATTTACATATTCAGCTGATAATAAATAGAATGTATTTATTATCAGCTGAATATGTCATTTATAGGTCATTCGACCCAACTTGTCAGTGCCGGTGTTTATACTCAAGTCTCCAACTACTCCTTACTCCATCCACAACATCCCTTCTCCCTCATATGTATATCTAGCAATTCTCTTAAATGCATCTAATCTGATTCAACCAACACTCATTCGGACGAGTTCCACAATCTCACTGCCCTCTGAGTGAAGTAACTCCTCCTAAATTCTTTTTAATTTAGAGTCCTCCCACCCTCCCCCCTGCCATCTTATGTACGTGTTCATATCTCCGTCTGGTTTGGATACTCTTTTGAGCATCGTGATGGGATCGAGAAACCTGTTTGACCAAAAGTGAATTGCTTTGTTACAACTTCTCTGCTTGACATGTTCTTGATGTTAGTGTCAATGACAATTACATTTACACAGAGCCTTTCGCTTCTGGAGTGACGGGCTCAATGCACTTCACACAGCTCACTGAGCACCCGTGTTGGTGCGGGTGGGGTGTAATTACGGCTCGTCAGGTGAGGCGAGTGTGGCACTGTCTGACCTAGAAGTTCCATGTCTCGGAGCAGGATTGCCAGACCAGTGAGCAGGAACTGAGCGCATTGGGCAAGTCAGCACAGGAGCAAGGTCAAGACAATTGCGCGTGCATGAAGTGCCTGTTGCCAAGATAATCTGGTTCATGGTTTACCTCTCCTGTCAAAAAGGTCACCAGCTGCCAATGTTACCAGATTGGGAGGGTGCAAGCATGTTTTTGTTGGTATTGTGTGTGGATAAAAAACAGCTTTTTTTATGCCTAATTTTTAAAATTTAAACCTCCAAAAAGTTTTTTTGGTTTGTCTTGCGGACGTTTTCTTACGAGTTTCAAAAGCACTGACTTGAATTGTCCACTCTGCTGCCCCTAAAGGAAGCAAAGCATAACATTGGGTTGCAAATGGACTTTGGGCTTCAAACAAAGTTTAATTTCTGGCCAAACCCCTGGTTTGGTTTGGCAAACTCACAGATTACCTCATCTGCCAAAAAGGTCACCAGCTGCCATTGGGGTGGAGGAAAGGGGGGGAGGGAAGGGCAGAAACTCAACATAAAACTTGATTGAACTCACAGTAAAACTCACATAAGCCATATCGGTTGGGACCTTAGTGAGATGTTGGGATCGTATCTACAACAAGATTACATTTGTATATTTAATATGATTTATGCAAAGCGTGAGTCCTGTCAAACTTGCATTGAATATAAACTCTTGAAGGGGACTCGGGAGATGTAGGATTTAGCCCATTATATGATTCATACAGATCATACTTATGTGCTGATTGCTGTGTGCAATTCTCACTCGACCTCTACTGGCTCCCTATCCTTCAGAGGATCGTCCTCACCTACAAAGCCCTCCATGGCCTCGCCCCGCCCTACCTCTGCGACCTCCTAACCCCCTACCAACCCGCCCGCTCCCTCCCTCCCTCCGCTCAGCCGGCTCCGGCCTGCTCCACGTCCCCCGACCCACCCGCCCCACCATTTGGCGGGAGAGCCTTCCAGCCACTCTGCTCCCAACCTCCGGAAGTGCCTCAGCGGCCTCCTCCGCGGTTTGGACGCGTCACTCCGCCTCGCCCCCCCCTCCTTAGCCTCCTTCAAGTCCCGCCTCAAGACCCTCCTCTTCGACCATGCCATCGGCCATCGGCCACCCCCCCCTTCCCCTTCCCCTCCCCCGCCCGGGTCTGAAATGCTGTACTCCATTCAGCGCCTTGGGACGTCCTCCCGACGTGAAAGGCGCTATACAAATGCAATGCTGTTGTTGTTGTTGTTGCTGCTGCAAACGGCTGCCGCGTTTCGCCTACAACATCGTCGCTATTTTTGCGACGTCCTGAAGCCGTGATGAGGCGCTGCACCGAGTGCAAGGCCGACCCTAACACACGACGGTGTATTGCGGCATCTCGTTATATGTCAGTGCGGCGAGTTTTACTGCGTGGCGTTGAACAAAAGAGCACCCACCAAAATCCTGTGCTCCTCCAGAAGTGCCTCAGCGGCCTCCTCCGCGGTTTGGACGCGTCCACGACGATGGAGTAAGAACGGGAAGATGCCGGCGGCTGCGGCAGGGCGGCGGCGGAGGAGGAGGAGGAGGAGCCGCCGGCGCTTCCCTGCAGGGGCAGCAGCACACACTGCAGCACGGCGCCCAACGCAGCGGCCAGGCCGGCCTTCATGGCCGAGCGAAGAGGCGGCTCGGCGGTGCGCTGTGGAAAATAAGAGGGGCAAAAGGGGACCGGCTCGCCTCCAACTGTCAACCGTCACCCACGGCCACGTGACCGCTCTCCCCCCCCCCCTCCAGCCGAAGCCGCCCTGGTCACGTGATCGGGGGGGCGGGGGGGGAGTGTGTGTGCGCGTGCGCGTGTGTGTGTCGGGGGTGGTTCTGCCGGAAATTACAATCCATTTGTGGACCCCCGAAAAAGTAGCCCCCGACGTCAACGCGTTGCCTCCGTGGGGTAGCGGAGCGGCCGATTTTAGGTGGGTTTCAGTGCTTTCTTTTTCAAACTGGGTAACATTAGGTCTTCTTCGATGCAAAAAAAAAGAACCCCCCCACACACACACACACACACCCACACCAAACACGTTTTGCAGCTTGAAATCATTTTTAAAAAGTATTAAAAATTAGGCACCCGCCCAAAGCCAGTTTTTTTTTCACTCTCAATCACAGCTAAAGACACAACAACAACAAATTGCACGTGAGAGGCTCTGTCTTAAAAGAAAGTCTCGCGCGAAACGGGTGCGGCCGCGGTGCTCCCGCCTTTGACCAATGACAAGCGCAGGTTTCGCCGGAACGCTTTCTCTGATTGGCCGAGCTCCAACCCCCCCCCCCCTCCGTGCCTTGCTCCGCCCTCCCAAATCCGCCTATCGTCAACGCGCAATGACGCACAGCGCGCCCCTGGTTGGTCCAGAGCGTCTCGGGCTCTGCCCAATGATAGGCGGCGCTCGCGGCGGCTCTGGCAGATTTAAACCCAGTGTCAGTTGGGTGAGTCGGTTGGTGGGTGGTTGAGTGAGTGGTAGTGTCGTCCGGTCTGTGAAGGCCTCAGTTTAATCATCGTCTCTGCGAGAAAGACGGGAAGCAAAACATGTCGAGGCGAAGGTGAGGCGGTTGTCCTGGGCATCAAATGGGTTCTCGTCCGTGTAGTGTTGGGGGAGAGGAGGAGAAAGCCTCGGAGGAGCTCTGGTTTTCGTCTCTTGGTTCCCCCCTGTGGTTTAGGCCGGGGGTTTGGTCAAATGGCGGCCCCTCTAAAGCCAATTAAACTTGGCAGTCAGTCTGCTGTTTGTTCGCCCTTTTTACACAGACAGTGCTCGTGCGGCCCTGTGTGTTTGCACTGAGTGCCACAACTTAACAGTCTGACGCCGGGAGACGTCCTTCCGACGTGAAAAGCACTAATAATAATAATCCTTGCATTTGATATAGTGCTTTTCACGTCGGGAGGACGTCCCAAAGCTCTTCACAGAACACACTGTAAAGTGAATTGACTGTATATTTGTGGGCAAACGCGGCAGCCAATTGCGCACAGTAATGTCCCACAAACAGTCGTGGATTGAAAATGACCAATTTATTATTGTTTTTGGTTTTGGAGGGATTATTATTAGGCTCTGTGTGGAGTAAGGAAACTTGCCCAAGGTTTCGCCCTCTGCCTGGAATTGAACCCAAGTCTCTCGCTTGCAAGGCGAGTGCTCTAACCACTGAGCTACAGGACTCCACTATATACTGCAGGTGCAATGTGTTGTGCACAGCAACATCCCACGCCCACAGGGAGAAATGATGCATCCTTTTGTGGGATTTTGTGCATTTGGGACATTTGCTGTGCAAATTGGCAGCTGTGTGTCTTATGACTACGAAATACACAATGACTGCTTTACAGTAAGTACTGTGAAGCCTTTGAAATCCTCCCCCAGTGTCGAAGACGATGCACTAAGTACCAACATTATGAAATGCAAGGATCCACCTGAACAAGCAAGTGGACCTCTCGGTTTAGAGTTTTCTCCTGAAGGATTACATCTCTGACAATACAGTGCTCCTCCATTACTGTCAACTATAAACCTAAAGCCTATTTTTTTAAGTTGTCATAACTTTTTATTTTCCTGCATGATATCAATTATATTTGGCGTGTCGTTTCAGATATTTTATGTGGAAGATGCTAAAGCACTATGTAAATGCGGATTTTGTTTCTCTTCGCCCACCCTGCCCAATGCATTACAGTGCAAACCTTTCAGTGGTGTATGTTCCCTGCTGGTTGCTCAGTTCCATATGTGTGTGGTGTATCGTACTGAATTATTGCAGTAAATTTCTTTTCATTTTAGTGGCGTTCTCGCTTCTTCATTGGTCCAACTTCTCAATCATGCTCTGACGAAACTCCAGGATCTGTGGGATTCCATTGGCATTCAGGAAGATATGAGGGTCCAGCGGATGGAATCTGTGAATAACTATATAGAGGTAGTTGCTTTCTCAAATGTTGTGTGAAACTTGTTCCACACCTTTCTGTAGAATGTCCGAGATAACTATTTGTTTGAATTAAAAATCTGTCAAATGGCAATAATTGTGATTTTGTTATTGCTTGAATTTAAATGATTTGAAATCTAAATTGAGTTAAGTAATCTGGCAAAGGAGCTTTCATGCTGCTTGGTTCACATGTGACAGCAGCTTTATTGTGATTGACTCATCAACAAGCAGTAAAATGCTGTCTAGCAAACCTCTAACCTACTTGGCCTCTGGGTGTCTCCTCTGCTTCAGATAATTAGTAATTATTAATTACTGTCACACTTGCATATGCCAAATACCTGAAGACTTTGAGTATAATGTTTTTCCTTCCTTTACCCCTCTTTCTCTTCTCTTCCTCCCCCTGATCAATGGCTGAGAGCAAGCCATCTGAGGTTAAGTTTGAAAACTGCTCTTAAGTGCCTAACATAGGTGAAGGGCCAATAAGGTTCCAGGCATGTGAAGGACATATGTCCCCAACCGCACATGCTGGATGATTCCTTGCCACATGCAATTAGCAGGTTCTCTCCTCCATCAAAGTACAAGCTTGAGTGTCTTTGCAGGAGACCCTGCTTAAACCCAGTATGAAGTGCATTGGTTTAAGGAAAAGGGCAAGCAAGAGGAATTGTTATAATCTTGTATTTGATATAGCACCCATTATGTCATCAAGACATCTCAGAGCACTTCACAGGATATGGTGTAAAGTGGTGACTTTTTTTGTGTGGACAATTTATAACCGAAGGAAGGAGTTTTAGAACATTTATAGCACAAATGGAAACTAACTTTAGAGAGCTAAGCAATCTTCGAGAGTAGAGGTGTAGCAAGGTAACAATGTGATACAGTGGAAGCTGTAGTCTTTCATTTCAATATTATATAATACAAACTATCTACTGGGATCAATTTGCTAATATGTTAAGATTCCTCAATCCATTTGATTAACAATAATAATCCTTGCATTTGATATAGTACCTTATCATGTCTTCGAGATGCTTCAAAACACTTCACAGAATATACTGCAAAGTGAATTGACTCTATATTTTATGGGCAAAATGCGGCAGCCAATTGTACACAGCCGTGTCCCACAAACAGTCGTAGATTGAAGTGACCAATTTATTATGATTATTTTTTTTGAAGGAAGTATTACCCCCAGAAAAGCCATCCGCCAATCGACTAACAACCAGGTTCCTACTTATTGCTAGGTAAACAGACGTGTGGAGTAAGGAAACTTGCCCAACATTTTGCCCTGCTGGAAATTGAACCCAGGTCACTCACTTGCGAGGTGAGTGCGCCCCCCTCCGAGCCACAGGACTCCACACTTGGAGAACTTATTAGTGAGTTTCTGTTGTATCTGTTTTTGCTGCTTAGCATTTAACCACTCGTGGGCAGTGAGTCGAACACAACATACATTTAAAATGTGTCCTGGGTAACTGGACAATGCTTGGAAACTTAATGGGTTTGGCATTGGCTCTCTAAAGTTTGGCATTTCTCCTAGAATCTTCTGGAACAAATGATTCATGAAGAAGAATTTATGAAAGGGCAACTAGAAGAGAGCATTGAGAATTCGCAAAAGGAATTAAAGATACTATGCTCTGAGCTTGAACGAGATCCATATGAGGTAATGTTAGTTAAGAACTTGCAATATATGCTGTCTGACTTAAACTTAACTAGTCTGTTTCATTAGATATGCGCCTGATGTCTGAAGTGATTGCCAAGTAACCATCTGTCAGGAAACATTTATTTTTCCCCCAAAAGTTGAGTGGCTCCTTGTGCAGGTCAGCACCTGTCCTGCAAGACAATATGGAATTACACTGTCTTCACAGAACTTCAGTCTGTGTAGGAAGAGATTGATTTACGATGTGGTATTGAAGTGACATTTTCTTGCTATTTCTTTTTTGGGGGTGAATTTGACTTCTTTGGTTTTAGCATAAATGTTTGGACCAAAAGGTACTCCTGGGCAATACCCCTTTAAAATGAAATAATCCTCTGGTCCTCCAGCACTTTGACTGAAAGTAAATAAAGCAGAGATGTCCTGATAACTCATTTGGTAATTGCCTTGAGTGAAACCAAGCCACACAGATCAGGAAGGTCAAGGGATTGATCCCTGGTCTATGCTGATAAATTATGTTTGGATGTGAGGAAAGTCAGGGTTTCCAGTCCTCCATCCATGTCCCCTGCTGAGAAATATTTGTGTAGATCTGTGAGACAAGGGTTGGACTTGGCTGTGATGCCCCATAATCAAAGAGATGTTCTCAACACTAGCTGTCTAGACTCATAATTGGAGAATGATTGACTTCTGCAGAACTGTAGCCAAGTTGAGTCTGCCTTCAGAAGCAAGAATGGAAGGAACTAATTTACTTTCAATTATTTCTACTAGTGTAATTTAGCTTCCTAGATCAATAACCCACTAGGCATGTTGGTGCTTGCCTTGGTTGCTGTAGTGTATCAGACAAGAAGCGATCTTCCTGGGGTCCTACTAATTAAATCATCATGGGCTAGACATGCTGCTGACTTTCTGGGATAAGGTTTCACAGGGTCAGTTTCTTTATTTTGATTTCATTTAACTACTTAATGGGTAAAAGGTTAACAGCTTTGTTAGCATTGAACACAATTTGTTTTCAGCATAGGTGGCTGGGCTTGAGCTGAAAATGCGCACAAGTAGTTTGCACACCTCAAAATTGTGCTAATAGTGCTTGAATATATGAAGAATAAGGTAGCTCAACAACAACAAAATTACATTTGTATAGTGCCTTTCACGTCGGGAGGATGTTCCAAGGTGCTGGACAGTCAGAGTTTCGGACCCGAGCTGAGGGTTGGGATCGGGGAGGGTGGAGGGCAGGTGGGGAAGCAGGGTGATGAAAGGCATGGTCGAAGAGGAGTAAGAATATAATGCTTTGTGAAATGTATATTGACTGGAATCTTGACCTGTCAGCGTTTGAGGCTAAAACTAATGTCTAATTGGCAGGTTGATGAGAATATTACTATACTTCAGCTGGAAAAAGAGCTTCGAAATAAGCTTGAAATTTTAACTAAAGAGAAGAATGTCCGCCTGGAAGAGTGCAAAAGCCTTCAAGATGAAGATCAAGCTATATGCACTGATATCTGCAAAACGCCATACTACATTCCCACTGGCAAAGTTCCTTCTTTCCAACAAGTAAAGGAGCTTAAGGAGCACATAATGTACATCTCCAAAGAAAAGGTGTTCTTTATACATTTGTTTATAATCTTGCATTTAATACTCTTTCACATCAGGAGGATGTCAAAGTGATTCACCAGATTTACTGTGAAGTGACTGTTTTGTAGATTAATGTGGCAGCAAATGTATACAGCAGTTTCCCACAGATGGTTGTAAAGTGAATGGCCATATTTATCTTGAAGATTGTACATCAGGAAAAATTTCCTTCTCTTTCGAATAGTACCATAGGATCTTTAACGTCCATCTGAACAGATGGGTAGGACTTCAGTTTAGCATCTCGTCCAAAGGATGACACCTCTGACAATCTAGCACAGCACCAGGACTTCACTGGAGTATCAGGCTAGACCAGTGGTGGACCAACAAAAACATTTTTCTTGATTTATATCATAAAATACAATCAAGGAAAAACAAAACAATTTAGAACAGACTTTTTGAAGCCATAGGTTGGTCACCACTGGGCTAGACAATTCCAAATCCTGTCGTGTGAGTTTGAACCCACATCCTACTAACTCCAAGCGACCTAGTTTGTAATCTCTGGGACATAAAGGGCCTGAATGTAATCCTGGTGATATACTCTTGTTGCTGCTATGTAAATTTGGGGAGTTTTTTTGGGGAGGGGGTGTGAGCAACTAAAACCTGCTCAAAGTGACACCTGTTACTTTACCTGCTTAACATGAGCACTTTTGTAAGTCGTGTAATTGGATTACAATATCTGACCAGTTGTCTAATTTCCTTTGAGGGCTATGAAATAGTAATACTGCTGTTTAGGACTAGTGATTAATGCTTGCAGACAAATCACCTCCTACCTTTCTGTTGATCACTGCCTCATCTGGATCACTCTACACTTTTATGACTTCTGCTTTGAATGATATCCATTTTTTAAACTTCAGTCTTGCCTTTATCATTTGGCTTATGTGTTTCCAGTTTGGGGGTTATTTTTAGAATTATTTCCTTTGCTAAAAGATTTTGTACACTTCAAACTATTATACTACAAGTATAATCCTTGGTATGGCAGTCACATACCATAGGTGATCACCTTGCTTCTGGAATCCCGCTTTTACGTTTTAGACCTTGGCAAGGATGTGGCATCATGCTTGACTTTCTGGAATTAAGGCTTGAAAACAATTGTGAACTGTTGGTTTTAAACAACCAATGCTGCATGTGAGAATATGGATGAATCAACGCTGTTAACTTGCATTTTAAAACAACCTTTACCAAAAGTCTATTACCTGTTTCTTTGGAGTAGGGGTGTGGTGATAACTGATTTTCCTGATGTCCTAGTAAATAAAACTAGTAATTAATTTCATGGCTGTGTGGGACATTGATGTACACAAATCAGCTACTGCATTTACCTGTAAATACAGTTGCAGCACTTTACATAAATGATTTATCCTTAATCATTTGACAGGTACTGATGCAGCATTCTATAAATGCAAGTTGTTGTCTTATTACATTGTCAAGACAAGTATGTATCGTCTGCTTTGTTTGAGTTTCGAATTGCAGATTGTGGGCCTAGTGAACTGTTTGGGGTGAGAGTTTAACTTGTCATGTGTAACTAAGCAGTGCTGCTGCACTTTGCATACATCACTCCATATCCATCAAGCCTGTTTCAGGCCCATTCATTCTGCCAATGTTGGTACTGATACTTGTCCAGCAGTCTTAACTATACAACTTTTTTTTTTTTTTCTTGACTGAGTAGTGCATTACGAGTTCTATTTCACTTCTTGCAGCTGGTTACAATGTGGGATTTGTTAGTTGACGTATGTTATTTCCTTTAGGAACGTCGGCAAGATATTTTCCTTGGGCTCAAACAAAAAATCATAAAGCTATTTGAGGATCTAGGTTGTTCTCCTGATACTACACTTGAAAATGATGCAGTCCTTGAGACGGCTAATCTCTTTTATCTCTCTGATGGGAACATTAAAGCACTTGAAGTGTTGCTTGAACAGGTCAGAAAATCTGCTGAACTATATTTTGATGAGTTTTCAGAGGCTAAATTGTATTGTGAAGTGGCACGGTTAAATTGTGTAATGTTTGCATCACTTGTTTTCAACCGCAGCTGAAGCTCCGAAAGGAAGAGTTGCTTGCTACACAGGAGACTCTGAAAAAACAAATGAAGCTTCTGTGGTCTTTACTGCAAATCCCTATAGAGGAGCAGAAAGACTTTGTCTTGCCTGAACAAGGTTCGATACTTGATATAAATCGAGCGGTTAGTATCGAATTCATATTGTGAACTTTAAAAACAAAAGGATTGTGTTTAAGTTAACTTTGAAGCAAAACTGGCTGGAAATGGAAGATCTGTTGTTTTCTTGTTTTTTTTTTGTTGAACTGCTAGCTTGAATGCTTGTACCCACTAACTAGGTTTCTACCTGCAATTCTGATATTGATGTGCAGTTTTGAGTTTTCTTTGCTTTACTGAAGCTGTCTTTCTATTATAGTTAGAACATGAGGTTGAACGACTTGAGCAAGTGAAAGCCAAGAACATTAAGCAGGTTATCACTGGCATCCGCCAAGAGCTACACAATTACTGGGACAAGTGTTTCTGCAGTCAGAAACAAAAGACAAGCTTTGCCGCACTCTCTGATGGTAATGACCGTTCCCTATTTCAGTATGTTTTTGACCACAGCAACAAATTACATTTCTTTAGCGCCGTTCACGTCCGGAGGATGTCCTAAGACGCTGGGCCGTCGGGGATTTGGAACAGAGCAGGAGGTTGAGATCCGGGGGGGGGGGGAGTGGAGGATAGGGGTAGGAGATTGGCCGAATGCACAGTCGAAGAAGATGGTCTTGAGACCTGTTTTGAAGCAGGCGCGCAAGCAAGACTAAGGGACTGGGATGGAATTCCAAAGGGTGGGGGCAGTGAATCTGAAGGCCCGACTGCTGATGGTGGGGTGGTCTGGGCGGGGATGTGAAGCAGGCCAGAGGGAGAGGACAAGTTGGTATGGGGTTAGCAGGTCACAGATGTAGGAAGGAGTAAGGCCGTGGAGGGCCTTAAAGGCGAGGATGTGGATTTTGAACTCTATCTTCTGGGGGAGCCAGTGAAGCCTGGATGATCTGTAACTTGTGGAGGGAAGAGTTGGGAAGGCTGACAAGCAGGGATCTGGTGTAGTCAAACCTGAATGCAATAAACTATGAAACTAGTAAAAGCAAAGGAAATGTGAAAAAGATGTGGATGTTTAATAGTTTTTTTAAAAAATTCAATTCATGTTAAATGACTTCCATACAGATCACTTCACAGAAGAACTACTGAAAGAACATGATGAAGAGCTGCTGAAAATGTCACTTTATCATCAGAAGTACAAGAATATGTTTGAAAATGTTGAAAAATGGGAGCAGAAATGGAAGCAGTTTCTAGAATTGGAGGTATAAGATTGCTAGCTCAGCTTTCTCATTGTTTTTAAATGCTTTCATTTTACAGTGTCACTATTAGTGGTATGTGCTATAATCAATCTGTCCTTGACATTCTCTCTATAAAAGGCTTACTATTATTTAGATCCAGTATTGGGTAATTTGGTTTGATCCTTATTTAGTTTTATCATCTGAGGCTCAAACTTGCAAGACAAATCTGCGTAACCTGGAAAAAAATGAAACTCATTTTGTAGGTTACAATGTTTAAGATATTATGTGGGCTATTGTTCTCAAACTTCTATGAATTCTTTCCACTGCTTTGTCTTGATCGTTCAGTTGCTGCTTCTGAAGAAAAATGACTTATTTATTTGCTTCAGTTTATTCTTTTTTGTCTCTTGTTCATTGTTAGAATCCCAAACTACTTACTGTGCCTTAATTCATACAGCACTTCATGACTGGAACTTGTCTTTTCTCGCCCATACATAATGTATGCTTAACTTTCTGATGTGCTTTGTGTTTTTTATTGCACTTAACTGTCGTGGTCTCCTGCACTGTGCACCTTGAAACGTCGCCCAATTTCTTGATCATGTAATTTGCCTTGGACAATTGACAGTCAGTAGGAAAAGTGTGAATGATCTGTAGTTTGATACATCTTGTTTTGAAAGTTTTGAAATTGATTTAAGCCAGAAGCTTCAGTGTCCCAAGGTCATTTATCTTTTTGAGATCACCATGGATCTTGTTTGAATATTTGGACTGCAGAAATAGCCATGTTTCTCCTTCTGTAGAAGAAGGCGTCAGACCGAAACAGATATGCTAATCGAGGTGGAACTCTACTGAAAGAAGAGAAGGAGCGGAATCAACTTCAGAGAAAGCTGCCAAAGGTGAACACTATCTGAGGAATTTCTCTTTGCTATGTACACTTACAATAGCCTATGTACACTTACCGTACCTCTAGCTGTCCTTCCTCCCCCACATCCTGTCCATGACCGCCTTCTTCCACCTCCGCCACATTTCCCGCCTCTGACCGTACCTTACCTCAAATGCAGCCGAAACCCTTGTGCACGCGCTCGTCACCTCACCTCACTCCCCAATCCACCATCCGGTGCTCCACTCGACTGGTACCAGCCCCCTGCTCGTCCCTTGCACCCTCTACCCCACCATCTGAGATCGCGCTTTCAACCACTGCACCCCAAACTCTGAACACTCTCCCTCAATCCCTCCGCCTTGGCCCATCTCTTCCCTCTTTCAAGTCCTGCCTGAAAACTTTCCTCTTCAACCATGCTTACGGCCACCTCCCCACCAGCTCGGAGTCAGGCTCAGCCACTGTTAAGTGCTCTGAGACGCTGCCCTGTGTGGAGGGCGCTATATTAGTGCACGTTGTTGTTGAGTGAGGAATTCAATTGAAGATCAATATTTGTCATGGGATATTGAACCAGAAGGGAGTTCGAAAATAATCCTTGCATTTGGTTTAGTGCCTTTCATGTTGGGAGGATATCCCATAGTGTTTCACAGGATTTAATGTGACGTTAAGCAACATTGACTATTGTTCAGTTTTCACGAGAGGGTGCTACAACATTCAACTTATTGTGAGCTTTGGGACTTGACATTAATAATAACCCTTGCATTTGATATAGCGCTTTTCACGTCGGGAGGACGTCCCAAAGCGCTTCACAGAACACACTGTAAAGTGAATTGACTGTATATTAGTGGGATCATTACCTTGTGTCAAATTACTATACACAAATAATAATCATTGCATTTGATATATCTCCTTATCATGTCTTTGAAGAAAATTGACTATTTTGTGGGCGACACGCAGCAGCCAATTGTGCACAGTTTTGTCCCACAAACAATTGTGGATTGAGTGACCAATTTATTATTTTTTGGAAGGAATTATTACCCCTGGAAAAGCGATCTGCCAATCACTGGGTTCCTACTTACTGCTAGGCGTGTGGAGTCAGGAAACGTGCCCAAAGTTTTGGCCTGCACAGGAATCGAACCCAGGTCTCGCTTGCGAGTCGAGTGCTCTAACCACTGAGCTACAGGATTCCACATGAAAGTACATGAATTGCTGCCCTTAGTAATAGTTTCTTAAACCATTTGCATCCTTTCTTTCTCTTTGTGCCAATAGGTGTCTGGACCCATTATTATATTGTAAATTCTATGTGTGGCATTGTAATCTCCAAGTTCATATCTGGTCTTAAACAACTCAGTTTTAATTGCATCACATTTCTCCTATGCTTCCATTTCTCTAATTTTATTTAAATCTTGAATTTCAGATGGAGGAAGAACTGAAAGTATGCATTGAAAAATGGGAAGAAGAACAAGGCTGCCCCTTCCTGGTTAATGGTAAAAGGTTTATTGATTATATCGCTGAGCAGTGGGAACAATATAGAATAAAGAGAGAGAAAAGGCAAGGACCGGTAAGTAGATGATTTGAATATTAACGGATTCTCTTCAGTGAAGCCAACTTCTTTATGTGATGTTCAGTTGAATATTTTCCAGCCCAAACACATTTGAATGATCTATAGGCTTAAATTATTTATAATCCTACTTTTATATTTTAAAATATCTCTAATGAGCAGCGCTGAAACTAGCTGGTTTTCAGTCAACTCCTTGGTCTTCATAGAATGTTGCATGACAGAAATATGTCATTGGCTGATTCCAGTCTGCACAAAATCTCCATGAACCACATGATATAATCCCACTCTCCTACACACTTTCCCCCATACTTTAATAGGACAAAATATTAACATAAATATGTTTGTAAACAGATACCTGAGGTTTGTTTGAATATAAGCTCTAAAGGATTGTTTGCTGCTTTTGGTGTCTGCATAATTTTTTTCTTTCCAATGTGAAAAGAAGGAAAGTGGAGTTTCAAGCAAACCATCTCTAAAACGGCCTCTGGGTGGATTTAGTACTCCGAGCAACAAAATCAGAAGAGTAAGTCAAACTGTTTTGTTTCAGTGCTATTTCTAGAACCCCTCGGATGCTTATCCCTTTCTCAGACTTCAAATGCATGTTCTTGTAACCGATAGTTATAGAATTGCTATTGTCCCTATAGTTATTTAATAGCACTCTCGTCTCAGAGTTGGAAGGTTATAGGTTCAAGTCTCACATCAGGACTTGGAACTCAATGTCTAAGTTCACACTGCAGCACAGTACTGAGGTGTGCTGCATTGTTGCCTTGCTTCGGGTGAGATGTTAAACTGAGGCCCTCTCTGCCTGTTCAGGTGGATGTTAAAGATCTCGTCCATGATTCAAAAAGAAGGGAGTTTCTCCCTGTCCTGACTAACAGTCTGCAAAATAAAATAAGTCATTCTTTCCATAGTTGGCAGTTGTGCTTTTGTGCAAATTGACTGCTGTGTTCACCCACCATAGTCACTCCACTTATAATGTATGTATTACGTGAAGTGCTTTGGGACTGCTTCCCGATGTGAAAGGTACAATACCAAATGCAGTAACTAGTATAGTTGACTTGATGAGAAAGGGCTGATGAAAATTGGTCTCTTCTTAAAAGGAAGTTATACCGGGTAAGATTCTAAACTTCATTTTGAACGGGCATGGTGGTATAATAATTTAGTCACTCAGTCTACGACTGTTTGTGGGACACTGCTGTGCGCAATTAGCTACCGTGTTACAGTCTATTCTGTGAAGCGCTTTGAGATGTCGAGAAGACGTGAAAAGTGCTATATCAAATGCAAGGATTATTATTATTATAACCTCCCTCTCCTTTCCAACATCCTTGAACAAGTCATTGCTTCGCTCTTCTCCCGCCACTCTATACGAACCGCTCCAATCGTGTTTCAGTGCTGACCACAGCCCTGGTCAAAGTGACAAATGAAATTCTGTCCATCTGTTGCCTCTTGCTCCTTGACCTCTCTGCTGCCTTTGATACAGTTGACCACTGTATCTTCCTCCACCACCTCTCTCACCTCAACCTTCATGGAATGGTTCAGATACTTCCTCTCGCACAGTCTCCACTTTGTCTCCATAAACTGCTTCTCCTCCAGCCCCTGCACAGTCTTGTGCAGTGTTCCTCAGGGCTCTGTCCTCGGTCCTCTCTTCAACTTGTACATGCTCCTTCTTGGTGACATCATCCGCAGACTTGGGGTCAACTTCCAAGGATGGTATGCAGATGACACCCAACTCTGTCTACCTTCACTCTTGACTCCAGGACCACTCCAGGACATCGAGTCCTGGATGAGAGCTAACTTTCTGCAGCTGAACATCAATAAGACCGAGGCCCTCCTGATTGGCTCCTGTCAGTGCCTCCACACCTCAGGCACTGACAGTATCACCATCCAGGGATGCACATTCCACCTCACTGAGCCAATCCGGAACTTTGGTGTCTTGATTAACCCTCAACTGTCCTTTCTACCTCACATCCGTGCCATGACTCACTCTGGCTTTCCTCCACCTCATTTCCAGGCTCCGCCACTACCTCGCCCCTCAGGTCGCCGAAACCCTCATCACATCTAGGCTTGACTATACCAACTCCCTGCTTGTCGGCCTTCCCAACTCTTCCCTCCAAAATCTGAAGATCATCCAGGACTCTGCAACTCGTATCCTCTCCTGCACCGGGCTCTGTGACCCTATCACCCCCACCATCGCCCAGCTCCCCATCCCCCAGAACGATAGAGGTCAAAATCCTTGTCCTTGCTTTCAAGGCCCTCCGCGGCCTTGCTCCTTCCTATGTCTGATCTGCTGACCCCATATTAACCTGTCCGCTCCTACCACTCAGCAGATTCTGGCTGGCTCTACCTCCGCCGCCTGGCCAATCGCACCATTGGCAGTCAGGCCTTAAGCCTCTCTGCCCTCACCCATTGGAACTCCATCCCACATTCTCTTCACCATGCTCCCTACTCACCTCTTCCAAGGCACGTTTCAAGACCCTCCTCCTCAACTGCACCTTTGGCCACCCTCCTATCTGCCCTCCACCCTCTCTGATCCCAAACCCCTGCTCGAGTCCAAATCCCTGACTGTCCAGCTCCTTGGGCTGCCCTCCCAACGTGAAAGACGCCATACACATGTAATGTTGTATTGTAAAATCCCTTGAAGCACTTTGAGATATCTCTGATAAGGTACTATACCAAGTGTAAGTTTTAAAAGTGAAGTCTTCTAGTAGTGGGTGGCAAAAATGGTAGCTAATAGCCACACAAGATAACCCTGAAAAATACTACTTGGTGAGACAGATTCCTGAGGGAATGATTGGCAGTTAGCTTAGTTCAATTGGTATTACTTCAACTCTTGGTCAGAAGACCTTCAATTCCTGGATCAGGGACTTCAAACTTGTGGTCAGCTGACAGTAGTGCAACGTTGAGAACGCTACATTTCTGGATTGCCTTTCTTTGGATGTGATATAAAACCAATCTCTTTTTTGGTGGATGGTAAAGATTCAGTGATATTATTTGAAGCTTGCCCCACGAATAGTTTGCAGGTGAATGACCAGCTAAGTGAAAGACTGCTGGGCTTTATACTTTTTATATTNAAAAAAACTCCATTCTCTTTTCAAATCTTTAGCATCCACCTGAAAAGGCAGCTGGGATCTATTTGCTATCTTGTCTTGACATGTACTTTACCTCTAAATGTTATTAATTTCAAGATGTGTACTTTGTATTCAAATTGCTTCAAGTTCCCCTTTGACAAGCAAAACTAGCTTACAAAGCTAAAAGATAGCCTTAATAAACTAATTTTGTGCTCACTAATTTATGTGAGCCAGCATATTCATAACTGGTACGTTAACTCGATATTGATCTGATAAATCTCTCCTATTTAATTTTTAATTTGGATGCTAATGCTCAAGTTACATTAGGTGGCATTTTTTTTGACAGTTAACTTGATTGAACTAGCTATACATGAGTTAGTTGTATCTTTGTTCTATTCGAAAAGCAGTTTTATTTCATTCTCTTTAAATGCTTTCTCTTCCAGCTTGATGGAGCCTCTTCGGTGAGCGGTGGCTCCAACGTTTCCAGTGTCCATGTAGGCAAACCGCCTCTTTCTGGTCGGAAGGTCGGTGTTCTGTCTTAAGAACTCTGGTCCAAGTTCTTAAGACGCATGTGTATTTGGAGGGTGGGGTGGGGAATGCATAGTCTTCAAATTAAAGGATTTTATTTGTCACCTATAGCTGTGTTTAGGGAATCCTGAACAAATTTCCTTTAATACACTCAGTGTTGCAATGCATATTCAATATTTGTGTTTCTCTTTGGATTGAAATAGGGCTCCAGTACACAGGCTGTTAAAAATGGTTTCCTTTGCAGCATCTGTTTCATTCTGAGCTTGACTGCTGGATCCATGTGTTAATCTGTGATGGCAAACTATTCAATTAAAGAAGCATCACTTCAGTCAGAGACGGGAGAAGTTGTAATGGAGGATAAGGACATGGCAGAGTCCCTAAATGGGTACTTTGCACCTGTCTTCACCCTAGAAGACACAACAAGTCTGCCAACAATAGAGATGAACCAAGGGGCTAAGGACAGGGAGCAACTTAGGGAAATTTTCATTGGTAGAGAATTGGTGCTAGGGAAACTGTTAGCACTAAAAAATGACAAATCCCCTGGTCCGGATGGCTTGCATCCCAGGGTTTTAAAAGAGGTAGCTTATGAGATAGTGGAGGCCTTATGTCTGATCTTCCAAAATTCCTTGGATTCTGGAACAGTCTCCATGGATTGGAAGATCGCAAATGTCACACCACTATTCAAAAAAGGTGGAAAGGAAAAGATGGGGAACTATAGGCCAGTTAACCTTACATCAGTGATAGGAAAAATTTTAGAATCATTGATTAAGGATGTGGTAGTGCGGTATTTAGGGGAGCACAATATAATTAGGCCAAGTCAACATGGCTTTACAAAAGGGAATTCATGTTTGACAAATCTCATAGTTTTTTGAGGATATTTTGAGTAAACTAGATAAGGGTGAATCAGTGGATGTGGTCTATTTGGACTTCCAGAAGGCATTTGATAAGGTGCCACATTAAAGGTTAGTCCAAAAGATAGGGGCCCATGGAATTGGGGAGAGCATATTAATGTGGATTGGGGAATGGTTAATGGGTAGGAAACAAAGAGTAGGGATAAACGGGTCCTTTTCAGATTGGCGGGATGTGACTAGTGGAGTGCCACAAGGATCAGTCCTTGGGCCTCAGCTACTTACCATCTACATCAACGATCTAGATGAGGACATCAAAGTTAATATATCCAAATTTGCGGATGACACAAAACTAGGAAGTGTCAACACAGAGGATGACATTAAAAAAATGCAGCACGACATAGATAGGTTAGGTGATTGGGCAGGTAGGTGGCAGATGAAGTATAATGTAGGGAAGTGCGAAGTCATCCACCTAGGTAGCAAAAACAGTAGAGCGGGTTATTTTTTAGAAGGGGAGAGATTGGAATGTGTTAGCGTCCAGAGGGACTTGGGTGTCCTTGTACACCAATCACAGAAAGTTAGTCTGCAGGTGCAGCAGCAATTAGGAAGGCGAACGGTATGTTAGCATTCATTATGAAAGGATTAGAGTATAAGAGTAGGGAAGTCTTGCTGCAACTGTATAGGGCCCTGGTGAGACCACACCTGGAATACTGTGTGCAGTTTTGGTCTCCTTATTTAAGGAAGGATGTACTTGCCTTGGAGGGGGTGCAGCGTAGATTTACTTGGTTAGCACCAGGGATGAAGGGGTTGAGTTATGAGGATAGGCTGACCAATTTGGGCCTATATTCTCTAGAAAATAGAAGAATTAGAGAGGATCTTATAGAAACCTATAAGATCATCAAAGGGCACGATAGAGTAGATAGTGGGAGATTGTTTCCCCTGGTTGGAGAAACTAAAACCAGGGGTCACAACCTTAAAATCAGAGGCAGCCCTTTCGCACTGAGTTGAGGAAGAACTTCTTCACTCAAAGGGTGGTGAATGTATGGAACTCACTACCCCAAAGGGCTGTTGACGCTCAGTCCTTGAACATATTCAAGACTGAGATAGATATTTCTTATTGCAAAAGGGATTAAGAGGTATGGGGATAAGGCAGGGTTAGGTTATTAGCTGGAGTTAGATTAGGAGATCAGCCATGATTGAATGGCGGGGCAGGCTCGAAGGGCCAAATGGCTTACTCCTGCTCCTAAATGTTATGTTATTTCCTTTCGTCATCCCTGTTATTCTGTCAAATGGCATCTTCCTCCCTAAAATAAAATTTATCTAGATTTGTCATTTTTAACATATATTTAACAGTGGTGTCTCAAATTAGGCCTTTACTTTATCTCCTCAAGTGCATTTGTAATATCCTTACTAGTTTGTGGAACCTCAAACTTCAGGAATATTAGCACAAAAACTATACTGTCACTCATCTGGCTTCCCATTGAACTTAAAATGAACTTTACAAAATAAGATGGATTGAGTTCCCTTTGCTTTTAAACTGATTATGCTATTTACTATACTCAGCAAAGCAATATGGTTTCCATTGAGCATTACCTGCATTAGTTAGATTTTTTTGCAACTCATTATCTCAGCTGCTTCCTCAAAGGTTTCATAACAGTAGGATGTGGTCCTGCAAGAATGTTTCCTATGTTTAGTGAAACCTATGGGTTTCAGTGACACAAACAAAATTGGTTTGAAATGTTAAGATTGTTTGGGAAGTTAATTGACAAATTGATTTGCAGAGTTTTTTTTCCTTCTGCTTTGTGGCCATTTGTGTTTCTTTATTTTGCCTTGTGATAGAAAGTCAGCAGTCACCACCGTATATCCAAAGGTGGGATTAGAATGAGAGCAGAAATTAGACTTTTGAAGCACAAATGAGATTGAAATTCATCATTGAAGAATTTTAGAATGGCTTATTGAGCCCTTTGTAGTGATAAATATATTGTATTCATTAAATGTTTCTAATTTTAGAGTCCTGAAACAAGCCGATCAAGTATTTGAACATTGTAATTTTTAAAAAAATAAGATGGATTTTAGAGTTTTGACTGTTTCCATTTAGACTCCATGTGTCAGCAAATTGCCAGATCTATTGCAGAGACCAGCTCTACAAGACCATAAACAGGTTAAAACACACATCAGTGTGGCACCTTCACCCAGGACACCTCAGCCACTCAGTACATTGAACCGCTTGGTTACCAGCTATTCAGAGTTTTCGGTAAATAACCGTTATAAGAAATCCTTATTTGATGCATCAACATTCACATTGGGAGGATATCTCAAAATGCTTCACAGGGTTTACCATAAACTGGAGTGATTGTATTTTGTTGAACACTTTTTAAAATGTGTCTATGTTCTAATACTATAGTCTGGCTAGAACTAACCTTAAACAGTTTAAACTTCATTCTGGCATTTTGAGTAATGCTACAATGTGAGGTTCAGTCTTGATTCTCCAAAGCTAAACAAAATGGTGTGCTCTATGAAGACTGGTATGGCACAGAAGGAATTACAGATACCCTTAAGAAATTAACTGCCAAATAAATTAACATTTATTGGTTGTATATTAAGATCGTCATTTGGGCTAATTATATAATTATGGGTAATGTAATTCCTTCTTACTTATATGCAACTCATAATCCACTCCAAAAATTCATTACCTTGCTTCTCATCTCATTGTTAATGGGACATTGCTGGCAACAATTAGCTGCCAGGGTTCCTGACATAACAAATACTTGATTTTAAATTAATTCATTTTTTTTTTGAAGCACTGCAATATTCTTTCATGATAAGTGTGTGTACAAATTACTAATTCGGTTAACCATATTGCAGAGGGATGGGGTGCAAGAAATGGTCTACTTAGACATTCTAATTTAGTATATTGAAGGCTGTTTGAATCTACAGTATTTCTGCCTTTATAAAACATTTAAGAGTCAGGTTGTGATCTCTGTGGCTAATTTCTGACCATAATTTTTTATCTTTCAGCGTGATCTCAACAAAAAATCAAGCAGTGAACAACTAAATTCAACAACTGTTGAAAATAACTGAGGTCTTTGGTTTACTGAGTTGTACTTGGCTCATTGACACTTAAGCAACATCGAGTTGTTTGGCTTATTTGTGAGACTATTTTTAAATCATGGTGAAGCACATGTTGCTGTCTCATCGTGAATTTGTATGAAAGCAAGTTGTATATCCAAAGTTATATTTAAACCTTTAACTGCTCATATGAGCAGTGGGTGTTTTTGAAATGGTGATTGATTTTTTAAAGGTCTCTTGTGTAAGTGTCTTGTGATGCAAGAAAATGGAAACGTCTGTTACTATTCATAATTTCTCTAATAAAATCTTCTAATTACTTGATCTAGTTGCCTAGCAAAGTTCATGTATATGAAATTGCTCACTCAATAGAATTGTATCTGGATCCATTTTTAAATGATTTATCCAGGTTTGATTTTCCAAGTTAAATATCTAAAATCTTTTACTGATCTCATAAACTGGAAAATGGAGCTTCCTTGTTGACTGGACAGTAGGGGGATGTTTCATTGTTAGAAGTGCCTTTTTTTTTTGAATGAGATGTTAAATTTAGGTTCTAATTGCCTGTTTAGGATGTTTGCCCTCTGTGGCTTCTATATTGGTCTGCCAGCGTCCTGGAGCACTTGACAGTCTTGACAATGAGCTGGGGGAGAGGGGATGGAAGCACGATCATAAAGGAAGGTTTTCAGCTGGGATTTGAAGACTGAGGGATTGAGGGAGAGAATTCCAGAATTTTGGGGTATAGTGGCTGAATGCATGGCCACTGATGGTGGAACGAAGGGCAAGCTGGAGGCAGCCGAGCAGTGGGTAAGCAGGTCGCATAGGTGGTGTGATGCGAGGGTATGAAGGGATTTGAAAATGAGTGAGACAATCTTTCAAACGATCCGTTCGGTGATTGGGATCCAGTGGAGCCTCGCAAGGACTAGTATGATGGGGGTACATAGTTTTGTGCAGGTGAGTATCTGGGTGGCAGTTTTGAACAAATTGTGTTGTGTGGTGCTGGGGAGACCAGCCAGGAAATGACTACGGTGTGGATGAGGGTTTCAGCTGCGTCAGTTTCGAGATATGGATGGAGTCGGGCAATGTGGCTGAGGTGGAAAATGGCGATCTGTACCTTTGTCTATATAATGGTGTCTATATGGCTGTCTACCGTTGGTCTCCACTGACACTTGGTTCTCAAGTGCTTGTTGCCCAATCTGAATTTTAACAACTTTAAAGAGTGTATAACAGTTTGACTCAGTAAGTACTATTCTCTCAGATATTTGGGTTTAAAGCCCATAGCCAAAGGGTCAAAATTCCAATAATATATGCCCCCCAAGAGAAACCAATGCATGTAATAAGGCTGGTGAACAATTCATTGGAAAAGTTAAAGATACTATGATACTATTTAAAATGAGAAGAATTTCTCTGATTCTGCTGGCCAACAATTTCCCAATCACTGCAGGGATGTTGTGGGACATTGCTGTGCTCAAATTAGCAGTTGGTCTACAAATGGTCACTAAATGTAACAATTACTGTAAAGTGCTTTGAAACATTGACATTATTGGTACAGTGTCTTGGGACATCCCCCAACATGAAAGGTGCGAACACAAATGTAATTTTGTATTGTACAATATGAAATACAAACATTATTGTCCCCATATACAGGTCAACCACCAAGATTAAGCACTTAAATCCTGGCATGGAGTTTAAACCCACAACCTGCTGTTCCAAAGAGAAGGAATCTTGGATAAATCACATGATAGGGAGAAGACACAATCTCAATTTGCAGGCTTGTGTGCTGTTCCTAGTGTCACCACTAGGAGGTGCACTAGGTCAGTTTAAGTTGGATTGAAGCAGTGCTCATAGACATGCTTGAGATGCTGGGGATTCTGAACTAGGTTATAAGAGCGCCCAGGGTAGGGTGGATCAACTGTTGTGAATAGAAGGCAGTGTACCATTGCAGACTTCTGTAGCAATGATTTTAACTTTAAAAACCTGAAGTACCAGGGCACTGCTGATGACCATAGCCAGCCCAGTTTATCAGCAGGATTTAGAAGGGAGGTCAGTCACTGGGGCAGAAATTCTTCCCACTCAGCTCCTGTTAAACCCTGCAAGCCAAAGCCCTAGCAGGTAGGATGGTCCTAGCTGGACAAGCAGAGAGAAACTTGCCAGACAGTGCTATCAACGGCAAGCTATGTGTCTGGCTGGTTGAACTCCAGCAGTACCCTAACAACAATTTTTCATTGATATAGCACCTTTCACATCAAGTGAATAAGTCAAAGCCACTTCAGAGCTGACAGCTTGAGCAGTGGATTTTGGGGCAGGGGGCAAAAGGGTGACTGAAAGCACAAAAGGTCTTGCGGTAGACCATAAGGATGGGAGGGAGTCTGAGGATCTTGAAATCAATCTATTCTGTGGCTCCCTTTCACCAATAGATGCCAACCAACAGGTGAGACAATTACAGGAGTCCTGTAGCTCAGTGGTTAGAGCACTCGCTTTGCAAGCGAGAGACCTGAGTTCAATTCCAGGCAGGGCGAAACCTTGGGCAAGTTTCCTTACTCCACACAGAGCCTAATAATAATCCCTTCAAAAAACCCAAAACAATAATAAATTGGTCATTTTCAATCTACGACTGTTTGTGGGACATTGCTGTGCGCAATTGGCTGCCGCGTTCGCCCACAAATATACAGTCAATTCACTTTACAGTATATTCTGTGAAGCGCTTTGGGACGTCCTCCCGACGTGAAAAGCGCTATATCAAATGCAAGGATTATTATTATATTATTATTATTATTAATGTTGACACTGACAATGCAACACTCCCCTGTACAGGAGTATCAGTCTGGACCATGAGCTCAAGTCCAACATGAGGCTGTGTTGAGGGACAGCAGAGGATGCAGATATTATATACATTAGTTAGCCACTTCCTTCAGAAAGCAAAGGATGGCAAGTAATGCCAGGCTCCCTTAATGCACTGCTCAGTGGTTGGTTACAACAAAATTACGTTTGTACAGCACCTTTCACATTGGGAGGACGTTCCAAGGTGCTGGACAATGTTTCAGACCCAAGCTGGGGGAATCGGGGAGGGTGACCAAAGGCACGGTTGAAGAGGGTCTTGAAGGAGGCAAGGGAGGGGTGAGGTGGAGGGACTGCAGGATGGAGTTCTAGAGGGTGATTGGAATAAGCAGCACTGGCAAAAGTACTGCCACCAGATCCTTTTAGTCAGCAAATGAGATGACATCAAGGCAACATGAAAGACAAATACTGTAAATAAACTCAACTATCCAGTACTTTACAAAGGAAATAGTTATTTCTGTAATAAAGGAAAAATTAAATATACCCTTTGTTTCAAAGGTTTCAATGTTGCAATGCATTCTCTCTTTGGAATTTACCCAAGTGCTGCTTCCAAGCATCCCACCTTTTGTCGAGTTGAACAAAATCATTACATTCAGCAGACTGACATTTCTATGCATGGAGGTGGTTTATGAAGGTTTTCAATTGTTTAGTAATCCAGTCAGGTTTTCCAGTGACTTATTCAACTGAACTAGCTGCTAGTGGGGAAAAATAGCAACGAAAAGCCCCTTGTAAAGCAGAAATACATGAAATTCCTCAGTTTACATTTTCACAAGCCTTCTTTTGAAAAAAATGATTCACGCGGCTTGATTCCAGGTTTGAAATTTCATTTGTGAGTCAATTGATTGCAGCATTTGCTAGCATGGTTACTGACTAGAATATTCAACAACTTGCATATACAGTTTATAGCTTCCTTCACTTTGTTAATTGGCATATTTGAGGAATTCTCCAAGGACTGACTTATCTAGTGTAAAGTGAACTGAACAGATCACTTAGGCCCAAGGTCAATCCCTGGTTTATAAATAGTTGACATCAACTGGGAGGGTATTAAGGAAACTACACAAAGGCTTCATCGGATAGAGAAAGTAATGCAACAATGCTGTTAGCTATTCCAGGAATACCCGCACTGAAACCTTGCTGGATCTTTGGTTCTAACACTGGGTATATATAACACCAACAATGACAGCTTTGCCTTCAGTAGAAATACTGTAATACAAATATAAGCATCCTGGTGCCTTGAGGCACTTACCATGTCCAAGTGAATCTTCATTTAGGCTTGAGGCCACAACTGCCAAGACAACAAGGTTAAATAGTGTCAGCTACTACTAGATACACTGGCAAAATATTGGAGCTCTGCCCCTCTGTGACCAGATACATTAGTAATACATTGATGCTTTGTGTGTCTGATTGGATACATGGTCAATCATGCATTCTTGAGGTCCCATCTTTTATTGAGAGGTGGATCCTCATCTGGCTTCTGGAGGTAACCCCACAAGAGAGAGTGGGATAAACTGTCCCTCTTGTTGCAGCAGGGAGAGGGACACTGGTTTTGGCAGAAACCTTTCTATTGTAATCAGAGCCTTCCTGAACAATGGGAAAGATCCTCAGGCAGAAAAGTGTCAGGAAGCAGAGTGAAGATGCAAGGCCCTGGAGTTCACAGCAACAGTCTGTAAATAAGAAGCTCCATCGTGGATGTACATTGCAACTTGCTTTCAGGCAAGTTAAAACATAAACTGCAAATGCATTGAAATAACATGCTATGATTAAAGTCTCAATCAAATCCTTTTACTCAGATGAATTCTATACATAATTTTTGCCAGACAGTCTGAACAAAACCAACACCATACAGAGCAGTGTACTTTCAACATGTAAACCAACTGGCACTAAGATATAAGGCACTGGATCTTAAAAATTACAATAGACATTTCTGAATTTAAAAAAATTGTGTCTCTTTAGTTAAACCCTTTTAATATTCTCTAACTTTCACCAGTGAGTATTTAGATTTGAAGGAAATACTTTTTGGAATGTGAAGCTATCTCATTGCCCAACTTTGCAGAGGTTCCCAAATGGAGCTCTTTAATGTAGGTGTCAAAAAATTACCACTCCTTTGAAAGGAGAGATTATTTTGCTGAATTGCCCAACAATCATATACACTTTTTCAGCAGACACCTGAACAGTATGCCTCAGTTAGAATGACTGGTAGAGGCAACCTGGGAGCACAGATTTGGCATCAATGTCCATTATCTGATATATGGCATTCACTGCAGTGGCAACCTCTACCGTAGCAAGGATCCCAGATAGTGCTCCATCTTCACATCAGAAAAGGGCAGCTGGACTAAAGTCAGGTTAGCATCGACAAGAGATAACTGGCTGCTCAGGCACTGTCCCAGTGTACCAATAGAGCAATTCAGTTCAAAATACTTTCTCCACTTTAAGAAATTAACCCTGTATTTGAAAGTGTAAGGTGCTATCCAGATCCAATACATACATGGTACTGATCTTTTATACAAGTTCATTATAGAAAATTGTAGCTTTCCCAATATGTGTACGAAATACAACATGGCTTCTGTTAGCAGATGTGACAGGCATAAGAACAAATACACATTCACACTATAGACAATGGTTTGTGCAAACCCAAGTTCCCCATCACTTTACAAAATTCAACAGGGCGTGAACATCTAAGCTTGTTACATTGGCTGGAATCTGCACAGCTAGTAGGGACTGTTAAATCCAAAACCAAATAACATTGCTCTCAGTATTAACTATTATATCGAGATCACTGAATTTCACATTTATCAGACCATTGACCTGTGTGAAAGTGCAGTTTTATTTTGGCGTAAGAAGTCAGATTTAAATATCTAATACCATCCAAATTAAATTTTTAGCCATGATTGTAACATTACAACAGTTTTAGTAACTCACTTTGAACTTCCGCGCAAAACACCTTCTCCCAGAGTAACTCTAACCAGCACTTCAACACGGTAACGAGAGGCGACCGATTTCATTCACTGGAGAAAACGCGAACGGAGCTGGACTAGAATTTAGCTCCTCGTCCCTTTTCGGTCAAGTCTGAATTTGGCATATACTGCACTGCAAAAGTTAACACAGTGTCTGCCCCAGATTCATATGGTGGCAGTTTTTTTTTTTAAATGTTCGAAGTTCAGTCTTGATGGTCATCTGAAACATTGTGCAAAATAATCTGATTCATAGGATTTGTTTTTGGAATATGTTCAGCAGGATATAGAACGCTCAATCTCATGTGGAACTCTTCCTTCAAGTAGAGTGGTTGACCATGATAGAATTTCTTTGGCAAGGAATGACAGTACGATATCGCCGTCAAGACCCAGGTAGGATTTAGTAATGACATAGCAGCTTGTTTAATTATTGCATAGAGGAGATGGTTTTAATATACATGTGCTTGAAGTTGAGATTTAAGTTAAATATAAAAATGTTCAGTTGTCAAATAAACCCAATCGTCAAGCAATGGTTGTAGAGTAGTTAAAAATTGAGCTAAACCTGGACCTAAACAAAAGGATTATCCAAAGCCAAAAAAACATCCTCCCCGATTTCTTATAGTCAGATTCAAGTTGTACTCTGGAAAGGGTGTTTGATTAGTTACCAAACTGAAGAATCTTCTTTAGTGTAGACCACTTTGGTTTGGTGGCTCAGGGACCAAGTCTTAAGATCTCTGGATTCCTGCTGGCTCCTCACAACTTCTGTACTCGTGTGTATTTTCTACAGGATGTCTTCAAGCAGCTTGGAGGCCAAGAGAGAGGCCACATGAAGGAACAGGGAACTGAACTGTGCACATTCTTCTCAAAGAAAAGGAAGATTTGGAACCACCAGGCCTGGGAGAACTGGTTGGTTTTTGAAGGCGTTTTCAGATTCTGTTGAGCAAAACAAGAGCTTGTAAGTCACAGGTACTGGAAGGATTTGATGCACATCAACTATTACATAGAACAATCTTTTTGTTACTCGGTTATAATGGGGGAAGCCCACCATAAGTCCCGTAGTGTAGTGGTTAGCAGAGTCTCCTAGCAAGCAAGAGGACCTTGGTTTGATTCCCGAGCTGAGCAAAGGCTTAGGCAAGTTTCCTTACTCTGCAATCCCCTGTTTACTTAGCAGTAAGAAGGAACCCAGTTGTTATTCAATTTGCAGATCGCTCTCCAAGGGTAATAATCTCTCAAAAAAATTGTTTTCAAATTGGTTATTCAATCCATGACTATTTGTGGGAGTCTTCTATGCGCAATTGGCTGCCACGTTTCACCCACAAAGTACAGTCAATCCACAATATATTCTGTGAATTGCTTTGAGACGTCTCAATGATGTGATAATATCAAATGCAAGGATTATTATTATACTGTTATAAACAATAGACAAAAATGGACTCATTTGATATACGTATAGATACATATTAAGATATTCTAGATTACGGATTCTAAAACAATCATTTTACATTTAATGTATATGCATAAAATGAGTCAAGCGACATTGTATATTTAGTACAATTGAATCTATGAATAATCAGTTATAATTCTTGCGTTAGATTATAGTGCCTTATCACATCATCAAGAGGTATGAAAGCATTTCACAGGATACATTGTAAATTGATGTGGCTATTTATATTTTGTTGACGTCCTAATGCAGACAAATTGGTACAGTTATCCCATTTCCTTATAGAGACCAAGTAATAGACATGGTTGCTGCTCTGTTGGTTTTGTATGATTTTTTAAAAAAAAGTAGTCTCTAGAGTCACAACATTCAAACACCAGGAATACGCAACACCCAAAAACGGTTAGATTTCCCTCCCCACCCTCAATAAAATTTTCAATAAATTCCAACTGATCCAAAAGAAGGAATACATGCGAGTCAACGACCCTCTCACGCCGTTTAGTGGTGTATTCAAGAGTGCAACAGAGCACAGGCAGATAAGCTTAGAATTGCTTCAAATACAACAACATCAAATTACATTTGGATAGCGCCTTTCATGTTGGGAGGCTCTGATACAAATACAAATTTACATTTCTATATCACATTTCACTTCAGGAGAATCACTGACAGTCCTGACTAGACATTGATTGATGAGCTTAAAGTAGTAAAAGATCACTTTGACTATTTCCATCAGCCACTGGAAGCTCACCGAAATATTAGCCATTGTGTGATACAACCAGAAGAGTCGTGTTGTGATGTAATAGGCCACAAGGACATCCACACTGTAGTGCTCGTGTGCCAGAAGAATGCACATAATCCCCATGGCGCTGAGAAGCCAGCAGATCCAGTGATACCACCAGAACCGACGCGGTGAATCTACCGGAAACAAAAAACAAAGGCCTCGGATTACTTGATGTGTTCCAAATTAAGTCTTCCGCAGTACAATACATTCACAGGCAGAACAGCAAGGCTCACAATGCAATCAAAAAGGTTTTCTACGACCAAGATAATATCACATTAATAATATTATTAATACAGTCGAACAATCACCTCCATTCAGCAACCACTTAGGAACAGCCCCGGTTCTCACACCAACGAACCCTTACTCAGAGGTCTGAAGCTAATTGATCTGGTTGAGGTTCTTTAACATAACAAAGGGAACTGACAAGATAAATAGGTATAATTCTCTCTGGAAGAGGAGAGTCAAAATAGGGGGCCATAATAATAATTGCATTTTATATAGCGTCTCTCACATATTTGAGAAGGCTCAAAGCGCTTCACAGAATACACTGTAAAGTGAATTGACTGTATATTTGTTTTAGACCAATCGCGCCAGCCAATTGCACTCAATCCATAAACAGTCGTGGATTGAGTGAGCAAATTATTATAATTTTTTTCTGAAGGGGTTATTGCCCCCGAAAAAGGTAAACTCCAATTGACTAACAACTGAGATCCTACCTATTTCTAGCTAAAGAGAGGCATAAGGAAACTTTCCAATGTTTCACCCTGCCAGGAATCAAACCCAGGTCCTTTTGCTTGCGAGGCGAGTGCTCCAACCACTAAGCTACAGGACTCCACAAATCAAAATCCAAGGTAAAAGTGAGACCAGAAAAGGTTTCCAAGAATGCCCTAGATACAAAAAAAACAATTGAGACGTTTAAAGGGGAACTAGATGGGAACTAAGAAGAGATGAAAAGATTTCATCTAACAAAATGGAGTAACAGAGACTTCACAGGCCAAAAAGGCCTCCTCCAATTTGTATATTCCCAAGTTAAATTTATGCACAGCACATTTATCATTTTATTTCGATCTTAATGGAAAAGACAACCCAATGTCGAAGAGACAGATCCTCTCTGTAACTGACCACGGTTTGGAGTGACTCTCCCTTCACTCCTGTGGGGAAGTGCCTGGCCTCTGGCTCAGCACCTCCTTGTGCTATCCTGTGAAGGGCACTAAATAAATGTAAGATGTTGTTGCGACTCATATTAGATACTATTGCAGTACGTTTGCATTGCATGTGTAAATCTCTAGTTTACAACTGCACCACAGCACACTATCCAATGCCCTGCCCTTTCAGCAGCATGTAATGACCACCACTTACATTCTTTGATAAATAAGTAAGTGAGCGTCAGCATGACAGTGTGCCCACTATACAGGAAGTCACCACACAGGATGTGTGAACCAGTGATGGAAAGTCCTCCGCCTGAGATCAGTTTCAAGATCCTTTGAAGTTTCGCTTGGGAGTCTCCGTTCAACTGAAAGAACAAACGCAATAAGGAAACATTTCTTTACACCAAGGGTCATCAACAACTGGAATAAGATGAGAAACGCCTTTCATTTTTAAAAAAACTTCAAATTCTCTTTTCCCACCTCAAACATTGTGTTCTCTGAATGAATATTACAACTGTATTGTTGGAGGTGCCGTCTTAGGAATGTGTATGCTAAATTCAGCTACCTATTCAGGTGCACGTTAAAGATCCCGGGCTAATGTTTGTGAAGAGAAGAGTTTTTCCCAGTGTCCTGGCCAACAATCCCCGAAATAAAATTAGTCACTCACTTCATTTCTGTTGGTGGGATATTGCTGTGTGCAAATTAGCTGCCGCATTGGCCCATAAAACAGTCATTGCATTATATAGTAAATCCTGTGAAGTGCTTTGGGATGTCCTGCTGATGTGAAAAGCACTATACCAAATGTAAGGATCATTAAGGATTAATATAATGGCATCTCGTAGTCTCTTGAACCCATCTCTTTATTACAACCAACCTAATAAACGTTTCATCGCCTTGCTCTGCGCATTGCTATTACTTTTCTTTAGGCAGGAGTCTACTTTTCTACACCAGGAAGAAGCTCTTCATTTACTTTTTGGTTCTTTCCTCATGATTAATATTGCAAATTCACCAGTAACATGTTTGGGCCTTAGAACTCTTGGTTTATTTCCAGTTGAGCCGACTGCTGACGCTAACAGACACAGAGTGGCTGTTGCTTCCAGAGTACGTTATCAACCAGTCCTAATGTGGGTCTTTATCCTGCATTAAAAGGCAAAGAGCATCAGCAAGGCTAACATGTTGCTGGCTGCAATAGCTACCAGTGTTCCAGGGTATGTCTCCAGGCCAGCAATGCTGTTTAAGCGCTGATAACCTTTAAACTGGGCCATGGCCACACAAGCTTGGAAATCGTGTGCAGCAGTTCACGTTCACAAGGTTGGTTCCATTTGTCTCGGGTGTCTTGGCTTATGTTCTGCATTGCAGAGAGTGGAATCCAAACACCAGCAGCCTCACTGCATTTGAAAACCGGTTCTTGAATACTGTAGACTGTAAGCTAGATCCAGCATTACACAAGCGAATGGAATCTTTTTTAACATACTGCATATTACAATTTGCTTTCTTGCAGCATTTTGCGTTCTACACAAAGTTCATTGATCGTGTTACACACTGGGGTCTAAAACACAGTAATTCCCTTTGGAGGAATACAATGAGAAAACAAGAAGTGTCTTACTGACTTGCAGGAACTTTTCTCCAAACGACCTACTTTCAGGGCAGAGCTGCTCTAGGCGGGCGTGAAGCCACAAAACCTTTCAAGTACTAGAAATAAATCCCTTGTAGATTCCTTATTTATCAAATCCTGTTCAAATTGTCGACGTGTAAACTCCAAAGACTCAAGTTACTGCTGTGCAGCAATGGAAGTGGCTATTCTAAAGCAAAATTCGAAAGATGGACTACAACTGTGGGGAACAGGTATGAGATCGTGAGCAATAGTTTGGAAAACGAGACTGGTCATTGTACTATAATCTTCTGATCTCATCCAGTCTCATTTGCCTATGATCAAAGTACTACAGGATGAGATACGTTCTTCAGTTGAGAAACAAAATGGAGAATAATAGAAATGACTTGGTGGCCATTTACTCTTTTTTAGTGCTTTTTGCTGAGGATGAGCACAAAATACTTGATAATTAATTGTTATGACAACTTGGGAAGGGGATGCTGAGGGGAAAAGTTGTCTTGAAATGTTCTTGTCCTGCCGAGACAATGTGATAATTAGGAAAGTTAGGACACAGGCATCATCAAAAATAATCCTTACATTTGATATTGTGCCTTTCACATTGGGAGGAGATCTCAAAGTGGACTTACTATAAAGTGGAGTGACAATAGGCAAATGTGAGAGAGAGCTTTAATATATACTTGTGACATTATTAGGGCACGGAAATAGAAAATGTGAGGGAGCTCTAATGTACAGTTGATGTGCTGTGGTAGGGCACATTTTAGAGAGCAGTAAAATCAGTATGGTTCTAGTTTTTAATTTCTAACAAGGGAAACCCTGCTGGAAAAATTGTTTGGCCATCACATGAAAGCTGGACTGGGGTGGGTGGGGAGTGCTATTGCGAATTAAAAATGCTAGTTATAAATTTGCCATCAGTTCAGCTTCTCCACACTGACATACTCAGTAACTGATCCAAGGAATTTCTCCCCACTTCTGATTTTTAAAGATGAACAAATTTTGGGGGAAAATTGTTGCACTCTTGTTCATGCCTTCATCACATCCAGGATCGACTATGCAAACCCCCTGCTTGTCAGCCTTCCCAACTCCTCCCTCCACAGGCTGCAGATAATCCAGAACTCTGCAGTCCGTGTCCTCTCTCGCACCAAACTCCGTGACCCCATCTCCGCCATTCTCGCCCGACTCCATTGGCTCCCTATCCTTCAGAGGATCCAGTTCAAGATCCTGGTCCTCACCTACAAAGCCCTCCATGGCCTCGCCCCACCCTACCTCTGCGACCTCCTAACCCCCTACGAACCCGCCTGCTCCCTCCGCTCAGCCGGCTCCAGCCTGCTCCATGTCCAACCCACCCGCCCCACCATTGGCGGGAGAGCCTTCAGCCACTCTTCCCCCAACCGCTGGAATTCCATCCCCCAATCACTTTGTCTCGCGCCCTCCTTAGCCTCCTTCAAAACCCTCCTCTTCGACCATGCCATCGGCCACCCCCTTTCCCATCCCCTCCATTCTCCCTCCCCGAACCCAGCTTGGGACTGAAATGCTATACACTGTCTAGTGCCTTGGGACGTCGTCCCGACGTGAAAGGCGCTACACAAATGTAATCTTGTTGTTGTTGTACTTTTTTTTGAAGGGATTCTGATAGCAAGAGTCAATAGTAACAGTTTTCTTTTCAACTTTTTTTTATAAAAACACAAAGGGTAATCTGTGCATTGAAATACCAATGCTTTTCTTAGCTGTGCTCTAGATATTTCTACACTTGTAAGCAAAACCCCATTGCTAAGCGCATGAGCATTGTGTCCTTTCCCAGCAATTGCTCAAGTTAATCTATGTCTATTTGGCATTTGAAGGTAGCTGCACCTGCAAGTTTCAAATTAACACAGGCGCGAGCAGGTCATTGACCTCTCATCTCAACAGTCAGTAATTCTACAATGCTGTGAGGTCTCAGCCAAGAAACAGGAGTCATGCACCTGGAGTGTCTGGTTATCAGTGGGGGTGGGGAAATAGCACATTGTCGGAGGGCAGGCACTTCATTGTCAGGATAATTTGAGGCAAGTTTCTGCCCACTACAGGAATGTTGCAGCACTCGCTAAAAGCCTGAAAGTCAAGTCGTACACACATTACAAAGCTCCAGCAAACCAGTTTATGAACCTTCACCCAGATCTTCTTATCTTTTCTGTCTTAAGTAAAATAACCCTTTGATTTGATATAGCAGCTGTCACAACAACAATATTACATTTGTATAGTGTCTTTCACGTCGGGAGGACGTCCCAAGGCACTGGATAGTGTACAGCATTTCAGAACAAGCAGAACACATCATAACACTTCACCGGATTTAACTGTTAAGTGTGGCGACTGCATTTTGCAAGCAAAACAGAGCAAACAATTTACCCGCAGCATTGTCCCCAAACCCCCCACCACCACTACAAAGTGAATAACCAATTTTACCTGGGGGTAATCAAATCGTAGTCAGTTAGGACATAATAATTACTATTATCCCATTTTAATTTATAATGTTAGTGAAGAGCTGGTTACATAACATTACATCAAAAATGTTTGGAGCAGCTTCTAGAGGACCCTGACTGTGGATTGGCACTTCCTGCATTTACTACACAGCAGCATTGCAAATCAATGTCCTGGTGAAACTATCTCCTCAAAGTGGCCTTGTAAGCCTTGAGCAGGACTGATGCAGTTATTAATCCAAACAAAGTGTAGAATAAATAAGACATTCAAGCTGTGTGTGTGTGTATACACACATGTTTATCTGCAAGCATTGCCAGGTGAATATTCACATACTTTATGCATCAAAACTATTCCCAATAATCACAAAGTGGGATTTAAGTTTTTTTGTTTTTATACTATAGTATTCAGGTAGGTCCTTTATAAAAGTCAAATTTTTTTTGCTCTTCCTACCTTTTCTGTATTAATAAAATAATAATCTTTTCATTTGATATAACACCTATCACATAAGAACAAATCATAGTGAACATACCTTCATAGGAATTACTGTAAAGTTAATGATATTAATGTGCATTTTGCATGCAAACACAGTAGTGTTCCACAAATAGCTATGAAGTGAACGATCAATTTTATTTGTGGGATTGTCAGTCAGGATACTGGAGGAAACTTCCTTTTTTTCCCCCCAAATAGTGCGATGGATCTTTAACATCCAATTGAACAGGCAGGAGAGAGCCTCAATTTAAGGTCTAGCTTCCTGGCACTGAATTGGAAGACTATAGTGAAGCGCATCACAAGAATATATTTTGGCATGTAAACCTTATCCAAAATATGTATCCCACTGCCTTCCCATTGCTGCTTCAAGCTGTACCTTGGCCTGCACGTGACAATAGTTTGGCATTTCAACAGATATTTCAAAGTTGAGATGTTTTTCTCCCTAGGTCATATTCCACGCTCGGGATAAGAGAATTATCCAAATGGGAAAGCCACAAGGCAATATCCCTTTAAGACTTTGGGATGAAATTGCAACTTTTGATGTGTTAACACCGACAGCACTGGTTAACACTGTTGAAGAAGAGGTGATTTGCTGAACTATCGAGTAGTCTGAGGGTGTGCAGCTATAACAGTTGCTCCCTGAAGCACACGTTGAGGCTGTGTCTCATTCATTGCAGCTTTGGACCACTAGTCCGTGGGATGCCAGCTGGGCTAAACAGAATTAAGATGGCTAAGCCAAAGTTCAGATTGTGATCCATAAACCACAAGTTAAATCCACTGCATGGCTCCTGGGTGCAGCCATTGTGAATGGTATTGGCGAGAGAAAGATGTCCACTTCCAACTTTGCATGGTCCAGTTGATAATTAACACAACTGCTGGGCACTTTTTCCATCAATGTCAATTAGCACTATTTGTGCAAATTAACACATGGCAATTTGCATCTCAGTCTTAAAGGGGAAGTGCCAGGTGGGTTTTCCATTTGTAAAAACATTCTTATCCCAGGGCGGAAAGGGAGTCAAGGGGGGAAAAAAAAGGCACATTTTCTGGATCAATAGCCTCTTCAGCAAACGGTACCAAGCAAATGGTGGATCAGTGTCACCTTACAATGGTCTTTCAAACATAGCTGGAAAATCAGCAAACAATATTTGCAGGTGAGGTGCCAGATCATTTACAATAACTCACATTATCTAGCCATTTTCCCTTGCAACAGCCACAAAAGCCAAGTTTCTCCTGGCCAACAATCCCCCCAAATAAAATTGGTCAATCATTCTATGGCTCTTCGTGGACAATGCTATGCACAAATTGGCTGCAGTATTCACCCACACAGTTAATACAATTTACAATATATTCTGTGAAGCACTTCTTTAACGTTGACAATGTGGTAAGACCCTATATCAAATGCAAGGAATATTATCATTATTAATATCAGTCAATGCATTCTTAGTCTCCCCCCACCCAGCCAGTAGAATAAATAAATAGATAAGCATTTTGCTGCTAGTTGCCTTACCTTTGGGGCACATTGGAAGTGCATTCCAGGCACAGGTAAAGTGGTTACATACATGGTGATACATCTATACAGGTACAGAGTCCCAATTATGAAGAAATATCTGCGTGCCACAATGGACCTACAGTAGAAATACAATCACATTATAACTGCTATTCTCTCATTATACATAGATTTGGCATCATCACTGAAGATGCCAAGAACAAGAGACAAACAAAACAAAACAAATCTCTCCTCCCCAGTGATCAGAGTACAGACCTTGAATTTCAGCTCAACTCTCAGTGAACACATCAATAACATGACATGAGTCTTATAGGGGAGTTACTTGATAAGGAAGATAACAAATTTCTATTGTATTAAAATGTCCAATGTGCTATAGACCAATCTCAATCTTCAATGAGAATGCTACTGTTTCAGGTCTATTCAATATGATATCAATTGCAAATTTCACTCCATTATGTGCAAAACTCTCATTATCTGCATTTCTGAGTCACTAACTGACTATAATGGGGACATGATCCCAGCATTATTGTTGCAGCAATACCTCCGCACTTTCAGATAACCAGCTGAGTGATGCTTAACCACTTGAATAAATAAATATACAAAGAAGGCAAGATAAAGAGCGTGACTTACACGCAAGTGGATTACTTACCGATACCTAAGGAGTAACCACTGGATTCCCCAAAAGCCAATGAGGACCATGCCATTGATTTCAGACACTTTGAAAGCCCACTCGACACGGTCAACATAGTCAAAGAAGGTATCAGGAAGAGGAGGATTCTTCTCTTTGGGAGGAACTCTTTCGTGTACAACTGTGATCATCACACTAGTCATCACCAAATTAAATGCAGCATAAGCAAATGCGATGCCAGTCTTCCACCACTCCAGCGGGAACTTAAAGTTTGAATCAGGCAAGGAGATCTGGATGTACTCCTTCTGTTTCTTTTGACTTTTTCTGATGCCATTTGGTAAACTGCTGGATTTGATGCCCTCGTGGGTGTAGGGAACTAACAGGGCTCTTGCATAGCCATTGGAAGGCATGTTCTGCTGATCTCGCACGTGTTCTTCTGCTGACCGCATTTCAATCACTTCCATCAATGTCGAGGAATTTGCTAATCCACCAAAGCCAAAAGGTACACAAACCTGCCAATTGGAGCAACGTCTACAGTTTATTCCTTAAAAACTTTATGCATCACTGACGTCGCTGTGTAATGTCTTCCACCCCTTGATCAGAGTAGCAACTGGTAGGACTATAGGGGAATTTGGAGTCAATGTGATCCAGGTCTCAGCTAGAGGCAGCTGCACATGGTAGGACCAAGGTGTTCCAAGGTGCTGCAGCATTGATGTGGAAAGCAGAGAAAGGTCCGATTCATTCCAGTGCAATTTCCATCTGGGGAAAACACAGAGACAAACATCAGTGTTTTCAACCACATACTAATACGTCTTGCACACAATAGGAATGAAACTGGAAGAAATTCAGGTGTTAACGAAATTAACAGAGCAGAATTGCACAGAAACTCCATATTGAACAATCTATTTGATGTATAACACGTTTACTTCATAAAAATCAGTACAAGTATTGGAAGCCAACGAGCCATCAGAAGGCTGTCGACTACTCAAAATGTCTTCCTCACTGGTCTCCCTGGCTCCACTATCTACAAAATTCAACACTCTGCCGCCTACATTCTCACTTGCATTAAACTCCATACCTCTGCATCATCCGTGCCTTCACCTCCCCTCTCAACTCTCTACCCCCTCCTCGCTCCCTCCCTTCCCTCCCCCTGACCATTTCCCCCCTGCTCGGGTCCTGACCCAACTGTCCAGCGCCTTGGGACATCCTCCCGACATGAAAGGCGCTCTATAAATGCAATCTTGTTTTTGTTGTTGCCCGCGGACACCCCGCTCAACCATCGGCGGCCGTGCTTTCAGCCACCATGCTCCAAAGCTCTGGAATTCCCTCCCTCAATTTTTTCACCTTGCCCCCCTCTCCCATTTTCAGGTTGCACTTGAAGACATTCCTCTTTGACCGTGCCTACAGTCACCTTCCCTCAGCATCGGGCTGCGCCACTGTTAAGCACTCCAAGATGCCATCCGACGTGAAGAATGCTGTATAAATGCAAGTTATTGTTGTTGATTATGACAGAAATGGATAATTCCACTCATCATAGAAATGCCTTAAAGCACGAAGATTTTACAGTCAAGTGCAGCTACTGTGTGTTTGTAAACCTGGCAGTCAATTTGTACACAGCAATTTCCCACAAAATGCCATGAAGTAAATAATCAATTTTGTATCGGAAGCATTGTTGGCCATGGGACTATCTCTTTTCAAATAGTGCCATGGGATCTTTAACATCCATGTGAACAGGCAGACTGCACCTTAGTTTGACATCTCAACTGAAGCGATGACATCTCTGAAAATGCAGTACAACCCCAGCGCTGCATTGTATCAGCCTAGACTATGAGATCAAAGTTCCTGATGTGGGGCTTGAGCCAACTTTGAGAGACGAGAATGCTACCAACTGAACCAAACTGACTCCTGAATTATTCTCGGCCTCAATACAAAAAATTGTGAAAAGTGAACTAATGGATATTAGGAAGCTGAAAGCAGTATAGGTTGAATCAAGTTGAGATTTAAAACAATAATGTTGGGCATAGGTATACTGGGATAAGCTCCCTTCACTTTTGAGGAATGGACATATATAATCTAAAAATTGTCACCCTACAGTCACCATTTCTCCCCACGCACTTTGTCCTGAAGCCACAATAAAAGCAGAGGGAAGTGAGAACTTGCTACCCAAAGTAGTGGTTGAATCAGATAGTATGGATTCATTTAAGAGTAAGCTGGATACACACAAGGATTCCTGTAACTTATTGTTGAGAGCACTGGGATCCGGGTTCGCTTCCCAGGCACGGCAAAATTAGGGAAGTTAGGAAAGTTTCCTTACTCCACACGCCTCCATTTACTTAGCAGTACATAGGAACCTGATTAGCAGATTATTTTTCCGAGGGTAATAATACCTTTAAAAAATTGGGTCACTCAACCCACGACTGTTTGTGGGACGCTGCTGTGCTCAATTGACTGCCGCGTTTCGCCCACAAAATACAGTCAATTCACTTTACAGTTCATTGTGTTAAGGCGCTTTGAGATGTCTCAAAGACATGATAAGGTGCTATATCAAAAGCAAGGATTATTATTATAATAAGGGAGAAGGGAATAGAGTGGTATGGGAGGAAATAAGGAGGCAAGACTTGTGTAGAGTACGATCATAGGCTGGTTGGGCTGATTGGCTCGTACAATTTATGTAAGGGACAGGCAACACCTGCCCCTTCAAATCGGTTCACACCACTGCCCTGAAACCTTTTCCACACACCTGCATCAATCTTGCATGCTGTATAGTAATGTATTTGATGCCAACTAAGCAATGCTAAGCGGCTTGGGAAACAAATGTCAATCACTTTGGCTCTGGCTTTGAAGCAAGATTGTGATCTTGGCTCGCCACTCATCTTTGCCCCCACACCTACTCCAGCCAAGCCAGAATTATCTTAACATTTTTGTAGGAACCATTTCGATCACCCTAGATTAAATATAAATTAACTTGACACAGGGATAAGGATAACGTGACATGACACTGACTCATCCACTCTGCTTTTCCTGAGGTTGTCACCACTAGCCATTCACAATGCATTATTCTTGTCTGATTGTTGAGATTCGCAAACAGGATTCAAAGTGCTAGTTAAAACTTGCAAATATCAAAAGCATTTTGATGTTCGCAATTGACTGCTTTGTGAATGGTGATTTCCAAAAGGCAGGCGAATTGCTGGTGTTTTGCTCTCCAACTTACTTTTTCACTTGATGGCTTTTCAAATCTTAGTGTATTTTTATAAATATGACAAGTGGCTTTATTGCATTCAGATGTCCTTCTGATGTGCAAGGTGCTATATAAATGTCAATATGTATTGTTTATGGCAAATAGGGCTTATGATTTTCAGATGTGACTGGGTATCCGTTAGCATGTCAAATACAATTGGCAAATTTCATGATTTAGTCTCCAATATCCGCATAAACTGCTTCAAATTGTACATCTGTTTATTCTTCCTACTGATTTGTCTTCTCCTTTATATAACTTCTCCCAACTCACCTGTTCAGCTTGATGAAAGGTCGTACCTAAAACAAGTTTGTAATCTTTCCAGCCAGGATTATAGTGTTCATTTCACAACCTGACTTTCCAACTATTCATCAGCCATATCCTTCAACAAGCTGGAAATACCAAAATTCAGGGATTTAATAGACCGTAGCTTTACTTCATTGAATCCACAAGGTAAATTTATGATATTAACTCCAGAAATGAAGAGAATTGCCAAATTGGAAACCGGCCAGGAAATTGCTTTCCACGGATTGGGATTTTGACTTTCTGATCCATTCAACAGCCACAGGTGGAGCGCTATACCATAACCCATCTATTGCAGTTCATCTAATGGGTTAAAGATTACATGGAACTACTGGATTTTGCAAAACTGAAAATCCAGAAGGGTGCAACTGAAATCAGCCAGGAATCCTGCTCCAGACTGTTAGAATCAGGTTTAGCTTTCACACCCTCAAAGACAAACAGCCTCCCAACACTCACAAACAAGGTTCTCACTTCAACAGCAATTTGGCAACATTCCTAGGGGGTGAAAAGTGTGATGTTTCGAACCAGATTCAATGTGATTATTATCATGTTATCTAAATTTTTTTTTAAAAAAACTTTTACTGCACATCAATGAGGCATTCAAGCCAAATCACAAGTTACTCGCCGTAGTTCCTGTTAAGCCTTTTAAGAACTAAAGCAGCACCATTTCTAAGAAATGCTTAAAAAAAACTTCCTTTGTGCTGTACTTTTGTCATTACAGGATCAGGAGAAAATGCCCAATACTATTCTATCTTAGACGGTTTAGCAATGGTGCACACAATAGGTAATGTGTTCAAACAGTATTGCCTTGGAAACTTGGCTCAAGTATTAATTTAAGCAACACTGGGAGAAGGTAAATCCATTTATTACTGTACCTCAACTCATTAAATCTTTCATCAAGCATGAAGGCTTTGTTAGTAAAAAGGCTTTAAGGTGCAGTCATTCGCTGAGTATAGAAATAATATCAAAAAGATTTTAGTTATAGCTTTCTCCTCCTCTTCCCCTATTTGTATTGGGGAAAAAGTAAATTATTTTAACATTAACATGACTTGTAACATTCAGCACACCACAGAGAGAAGTTCGAGTATCTTTTTAAAAATATATTAATGTGATTCCTATCTGTTTGATGAGGTTGACTAAAATGTTACATTTCATATGAAACTGCAGCTGTACCCATCGCCTTTGAAGACAGATACAATAGACAATAGTGCAAAGTAGAAACTGAAAACTCAAGCCAAAATAGAACAGAAAAACAAGGAGAGAGAGCGAGAGAGACGGGAGGTGGGGGGGGCTCATTTTAAAAAATATGCACCACTTCGTCACAATATAGCACCCAAGAGAAAAATAAGGCTATTTACTCCACTTCTGAATTCCCCCACTCCCCGATCGAACACTATTCCTGACATAAGAAAGCAAACTGTTGCTTAATAACATTTCTTGCATTTGAAATAGTGCCTTATCATGTCATCAAGATGTCTCAAAGTGCTTCACAGGATATTCTGTAAAGCGATGCAACTGATTTTGTGGGTGAAGTCAGCAGCCAATTTGTGTAGAGAACATCTAACAAACTGCCATGAAGTGAATGACCAATTTTATTTGGAGGATTGTTGGCCAGGATACTAGTAGAAACTCCCTTCTCTTCACAAACAGTGCTACAGAATATTTAATTTCCACTTGAATATGGGAGCCATTAGGCAGATGGGACCTTATTTTAACATCTGAAGGATGGCACCTCCAACAATGCAGCCCACCTCTTGCATTAAGAGTTCCATCTTAGACCATGCGATTTCAAGGCAAGATGTGGGGCTTAAACCCACAACCTTCTGATTCAGAGGCAAGAGTGTTATCACTGCACAAGGCTGACACACACACTTCTAAGCGAAGAATTACTGAAGTACTCCAATGCTATGTATTTAGCCTCATTTACACCATGGGGATAAAAATGCACAACATTTTCAGTACTTTCACATCTAGAATCAGGATCTAATACTTTGGCTATTATTCCCACGGTTTCCACATCCCAAGACAGCTCATTGGCCCATTTCATCACATCTTTCCGGAACACCAACTTTCCCTTCCCATTATAGCCTGAAGTAATTTCTTATGTTAAATCAGTGTGCTGGCCTCAACCACCCTTCCTGGTAACTCTTCCAGCTTGTATAAAGTCACTTCCTGCCGACTGACCTAAATTTTCCTATCACAATCCTGAATCTGTGCCTTC